ATGAGACCGAGTGCGCTCCGCGATGGTCTGGGCGGTAGCAGGTGCAGTAGACAATGAAGCAGCTAGGAGGTCATACTCCGTCCAAAGATGCATGGCCGCCTGATAATACGAGCGAATATCCTTGTCGCCCTGACACAATTGAGCCAGTTCCAATTCAATATCAAATTGGCGTGATGCATTAGCTTGACAGTTCGTAGTCTGCAGATGAGTCCACATATCACTAGCACATTCAAAGCGCCGCAGACTTAGCCCGGTTGGAACGTCCACCGCGGCAAGTAGCCAATGGATGACTTGCGCATTATCAGCTTCCCAATCTGCCAATGCCTTCTCATCATCTTCCCCAGGTTTAGTTCTCTTACTCGTCAGAATAGGAAGGAGCCTCTTCCCTTGAACAAAGGTGCGGAATTGAAACTCCTAGAGGGAAAAATTCTTCCCATCAAATCGACCCACATGATCACCTTACACAGAGTCCATAATTCCAACACACAAGACCACGAAGAACCCACACAAAAGAATAACCAGTATACCCACCAAACCAAGCTAAATAACCACCGCCAAGTCAAAGAGCAAGAGGAAATTACCCAAACACTAGCAGCCGAGAGCAAAAGAAATCCCAGCTAGCAAGGAATCCTAGCGAGCAGCCGAACAAAGGGTAGCAACCCTAAGGATAACGAACCAGCAGAAGGACAAAGAGAACGACAGCCGACAACCTCCACGAGCAGCCGAAAACACCCAAACGAAACGATCTTAGACATAAAGCTCTGATACCATGATAAGAACTATGAAATCAACAACATGAACACCAGATTTACGTGTATTCCCTGAGAATCAGGACTAGTCCACGGGAGAGCTAGAACTCTCCAAAGTCAATATTATTCACGTTACTTTCACCGTACAGCCGAAGAGAGTATATATACATATGGGAGCTGGGTTTATTAACCCTAATATGACTTAGTTAGGGACTTAAGGATAATTACATAAAGCCTCCCAAACTAAGGACATTGGTGATTTTCAACACCAAATTCTGCTATCCCGTGGTTTTGAAGTTTTGGGAGGATCTCATGCCACGCAATTAAATCTTAGTCACACTGAGGTAATTATCAATATTCGAACAATAAAACTTAATTTTTATATAGGATTCACTTCTATATTAGGGTTCAAGAAGACGTAATTCTGCGTAAAGATCAAATGTTTTGCTTAGGTCCTAGGCAGATAATTAGGTATTCATAATGTATCGGTGGCGTCTAAGTGAAGCTGAGTATGATTAATAAACATGAAATATATATGATTAATCAAAGTGATTCGTGCTTAAGCATGTTGCAAGTACGCTTTCATCTCTAGTCGTCTTATATTCGACGTGTTCTTCACTTCTCCTTCCTCGATTTTGAATTTTGATTTTAGGTTAATGAGATAAAGACTCATTACTCAGGAATTGCAACGACTTCTTTTTTTCGCTCAATCCTTTCGCCCTCTGGCCTGCTTTTAGTTGTTGCCGACTGCAGAGCAGTCACAATGTACAAAATTTGTTGTTCATCTCCAGCTTCACTCGGCTCGACCCTCTGGCCCTCTTTATGAGTTATGTGATAATCGGCTTTAACATATTGAATTCTTGGACTTTATGTGATTATCCATGGTATGTTTTAGCCAATTGGTGCTATTTTAGGGCTCGCTAACCCGAGAATGGTTGAAAAACCATTATTTCCTAGTGCTACGAGTTTGATGTATTACAGGTGAAGAAAACACGAAAAAGAAGTTGCACTGGCAAACATTTCTCGAAAGCTGGGCCTAAAACCCAGCTGGATGGGGATTTCTTATTGGACCGAGAAGGCAAAAGGCGGAACAATTGGACCGGGAATTGATTGGCCCAAGGGGGACTATTTTGGAGGCAAGATTTTTGGGCCAAGGGTTTTTGCCAAATTCTGGGAGGAAACGAAATTCTCTGGTGGCGGGGGGGGGGGGGGGGATTGAAAGCGAGAAGAAAAAAGAAAGGCTAATTTTTGGACGGAAGTCCAATTGAGTGGAGAAGGGAATTGTCTTTGGCGGTGGACTTTTGGGGGAAGGTGGAAATTAATTGGCTGGGCTTTTGGAATTAAAAAGGCGACAGGCAAAAAGGGGGCGAATTTCTTTGGGGAGCAGCGAATTCTCGAGGGGAGAAAGAAAGGAAGCGGCGCAGCAAGGCAGCAGCCGAGCAAAAGGCGACCAGCCGATTTTCAATCGGCGAATCAGTTTTCCAAGGCTACCTGAGTTGAGTTCAACGAGAGCGATTAGTTGGTTGGATTTCTTAAACCAAATTAGTTGTTTCTTGTTGATTTAGAACATGATGAACAAAACCCTATCGATTTATCTTAATTTCGTCATGAACTAAACCCCAATTTCTGGGGGAAACACCATAGGATGTAGCTATTTCTTGATTTGATGGATTGATTCATGATTCTTTTCTTCCAATCTCTATTGCATGGAATTGTTTAATGCTTTGTGTTGACTGGCCACCAATACAATGAATCGTAGTTGATTAGGTTATTAGCGACAGTGAAACCCTATTAACTGAACCTATTTCATGTGACATAGTAACTTATCGAAGCGACAGTGGATTAAATAAGGTGCTATGCGGTCTTAAATTGGATATCGATCTTCAGACTATATAGTTAATTCATTGAGCTACGACAGTAGGATTTGAATTGATTATATAGTACGTAGTAATTCCCGACAGGGATAGCTAGCACATTCGTGATATCCTGGCTGTAGAGAGTTGGATTAAACTGATTGGAATGTGTGAATTAATCTGGATAGGATAGGTAGTAAATCCCGGTGTTTCTCCCAGAGCTTTCTCCCATTGAATTAAACCCGACAGTTTTCACTTGCTTAATTTGTTTAGTTAATTTTGCTTTTAGTTAATAATTTCATCTCTTAAACATTTTCACATATAGTTTGCTCGAAAGAATTGATAAATCATAAGGTTGTACCAGTCCCTGAGAGACGATACCCGGACTTTCCGGATTACTACAAGATAGGAATTGGCATTACGCTTTTGCCCTATCATTATGACACCATCGTCCATAGTGAAACCACAACCCACGACTCTTTCGGTTCTTCTCCAGCTTATTAGAGACAGATTAGGAATAATCTTATATTTTCTTGTCCTTCTAGTATAAGTCTTAGTATTTCCGTGTCCTTCTAGTATTACCATTATTATGGTTCTCTTACTTATTGTCCAAGTATTGTAATCTATATAAACCCCTTTGTGGTTTCATAATAATACACACTACTATGCCTAAAACTCCTATATGGTATCAGAGCCTGTAGCTTAACAGCGTTGATCCAGAAACCCTAAACCTCCTTGTTTCATTCCACCGGCGGCATGTTTCCACATTCTCCCGGATCTATCTAGTTCTTCCGCTAGTTCTCCAAAAAGCTACCTTCTTTGCTTATTTATTTATTTATTAGTTTGATAGTTTTTGTTTCATTAAAAAAAAACTATGCTAATCGTTTCCTTGTCCCACACCCCTAGCCACTATCCCTACTTGCTTCCCTGTCCCACGTCCCCAACCGCGTCCGGTTGTCATTCCCCATTCAATCTTTCATCGATTGATGATCGATATTTTCCATTGCCACCGACTCTGCTAATTTTTGTGCCATGTAGATCGACCATTGCCTCCTTACTTCGGAGATGAAGCTCCGGCTTTTACAACTGGTATCTCATGTGTCTTATTTCAGCTCTTTCATGATCAAGAGATTTTATGGTATGGAGTTCACAGTCAATCTCTATCCATCTCTCCTTTGTTTGTATGGAACAAAGGAAGTTTCTCCGACCACAGTCATTCGGATGAATTCTTCGTGTCCTACACCATTTTACGTTTATTGGTATGGTTAAAACCAATTCATTCATCTCGATCCTGGTCAACTTTTGACGGCGAGTGAGTTTCGTTGCAACAACATATGCATTGCAAGTTTGATGATTTTTTCTTCTCCAAGATGACGGTTAGTTAGCTTTGCTCTACAAGCACGAGAGTTCAACTAGTTTTCATCACATTCTACACCATCACATTGCGGGGGGGGGGGGGGGGGGGGGGGGGGGGGGGGGGGAGGGGGGCGTGTTCTACAAGATTGGCGTATGTTGGTCAAGATTGATGTTGTTCTTCGCACAATCATCTTGCGGGGGCGTGTTAGAGATAGATTAGGAATAATCTTATATTTCCTTGTCCTTCTAGTATAAGTCTTAGTATTTCCGTGTCTTTGTAGTATTACAATTATTGTGGTTCTCTTACTTATTTTCCAAGTATTGTAATCTATATAAACCCCTTTGTGGTTTCATAATAATACACGCTGCTATTCTTAAAACTCCTATACAGCTCTGGTAAGTCAACCCTACTCTCCGCCCTGTTCTTCACCATTGTTGACTACATAACAACCATAACCCACAAATTCTATAAGCTTGTGATGTTAAGAAATCATGTCATATTTTGCTTGCTTGTTAAGAGTTATCTAAGCTATTAATCATTTGAAATTCAACTAAAGTAAACAAATGCTATAAATTTGCTAATACTACTAAAAATGGATTAAAACGCCTAAACACCGTCAAAACGAGGCTTATGCATGCTACGCGCTAGACAAGACTCCAAAAACCTTTTTGGTGCCTAGCCCCTTCTTAACTTTGTGTATGCGTGTGAGCAAATTAATCAAAAGGTTGTAAAGATAATAATACGTGTATGCATGTGATTCACGGCATAGCCAAAATGAATACCATGCATGCAATATACTTTATTAGTAATCCAAATTTTTAAAATAAGCAATTTCATGCAATTAATTAATTGTTGTTTTCTTGGAGATTATGTAGATGTTTGGTAAGATATGTGATGTCAGTCCTAAAGATTTGGGAAGATCGAGATATTATAGGTCCGTTTTAGTCTCTTAATGGCGGGTACTAATATATGATCCATTATTTATATTATATGCATGACTTGCATAGAGAAGTAGTATAATATATATTTCACTTCTCCTATATGAAATAGCTTATATTATTATTTATCAATGTTCATGGCTTCTCTCTATCCTCAAATAGATCGAGTTAGAAGTTTGAACCAGTACCACCTAATTAAAAGGGTAAAAATATGATTTGGATTACGGTACAAAACCTACAAACACCCAATCATACCATCCTGATACGATGGTGATATGATCGTGTTATAAACGCGCTGTTACGGATCGGGAAATCGCCGGAATCGAGAAAGCAAGAATACGAAAGCGAGAATTGAAAATTACAGGCACACGATTTACGTGGTTCACTAACACGATGTGTGTTAGCTAGTCCACGGGCGAGAGAGAGCCAGTTTCACTATATCGAGGAGATTACAGATTACAGAGGAGTATGAGAAGTATTTATAGTACTTCTCCATGTGGGTCTAAACCTAATCCAATCTGGCAAAGGAAACGGTAATAGACCAGACCCAGAACCCGAACCCAAATAACAGCGAGACCCCCGACTACTAGTCGTAGCGGTTGATAGTCCGATTCAAGTCACATCAACAGATCGGGGTTTGTAGAGTTTTGTAAAAAAGATTTGTACCCTATAATTTTTCCAAAAATGTGATCCCAAAATCAAATAGGCGCTAATCAAATGAGATTTCGATCATCATAATTTTGAAGTATATATAGCAACTTGGCTTTTCCTTAGAATCCGTATGTTGATGGAGGAGATTGCATTTCTAGCATATGACCCCAAAATCAAATGTTGGTGGTGCTTGTTGTTCTTGCTAGTGAGAAGAGGACCGGACTTCTAGGTACAAGGCTTGTATATTTCTAGCATATCCCGTGATGAGTTTGTTCCCGAGCATCGTTAGGAGCAATGAGTTTGTTCACGAGCATCGTTGTAGAAACTATCAATGTCTCGTCACTTCACTAGTTTATTAATCCTCACGAAAAGCAATCTTCCATTGCCTTGTCAACCAACGAAGCTGAATATCTAGTGGTCAAAATGCTTTGGCTGGTCTTGCATGGATTTGGGTTTGAACTTTGAAAGTCAAACCAAATCAGACCATGTCTATGACAATGTTGGTCTTTGTTCGACACCAGTAAACCCTCCAAGATTCTTGCCAACTAAGTCACATTTTTTTATGATAGTGGGTTGCAAGCCCAATTAGTGTGCTACTAGTCTATCACCTTGAGCAGCTGCAGTCCTTCGTTGGAAGCTATGTGAGAAGCCCATTGGACAATTGGGTTTGATTCAGATATGGAAAGTTGTGTTTAGTGCTGTTAATTTGGTTTTTCGGTTTTAACTTAAACAAAACTATTAAAAGGTTAATTGTTTTGGTTTTTCGGTTTTAAATCATTTAGCATATTAATGGTTTTGATTTCGATTAAAACCAAAAAACCGATAAGAACTCCTGTTTTCTTGAAGGACCCCTGATTTCCTTAAAGCCAACTATGATTTTGGTTTATCGAAACCATTAAGGAACTTATCGGTTTATGGTTATCCAAAAACCGATAAGCCTTTTATTGGTTTTGGTTTTTGTGAATATGCCTCATTTGGTTTTTGGTTTTCATGCTAATGGTTTGGTTTGGTTTTGGTTATCCAAATTGACAGCCCTAGCTGTGTTTGGTCGTACCTCGCACAACAAAATTAAGAAAACAGAAATCAATCACAACACTCCATTGTCATTTCATTCAGTTGGATCAAAACGGTTCACAAAGTCAAAGTCATTGTCTCAATGAGCAACCACAAACATATTCAAATGGGTGACAATGTAGCAATTAATTCATGGAGGGAACTATCGCATCATTAAACTACACATCACATTTTCCCCACTTTATTCTTCTGCCTGCATAATTATTCAAGAACATACATACCAGATCCACTCACACTCAATCTAACTCATTCACCACATCCACGTCATAAACCAATTGGTTCAAACAAACATCGTATCGAGCCAAATCGAATGATCAATCAGTCGGCCCAACCGGACCTCTTGAAGATGGAAGGCCTCGATGGTCTGTTGTTACTTCCCAGCCAGTACTGCATATGAACACCAATGGCGTCCAAGTAAGCCCCGCTCCTCCCATGGAAGCCAACCACCTTGCCATCGGCCATCGGAGAAGTGAAGAACGTCCCAACCTCCTCCCCAAACGGCCCGTACTTCCCCCTGCTGGTCTGAAACGACAGCGACTTCACGAACTTGTGCTTGTCCTCTCTGTTCGTTGAACCGTGATACCCTGAGATCGACACCAGGAATTCATGTGGGTGCTCCAGTTTCAACTGTGACATCATGGACAAAAGGGGGGGAAGTCTTTCGCATCAGTTCTCAATCTACTGCTTCGGGACCTTTTAAACAGTGAATGAAAGAGAAGTTAGTGAATATACCCTGTGAGTGGCATTTCCCACAGTGCCACCGTGTTTGACAGACCAAACAGACTGCCCACTTCGATCATATTCGATCTGTATGGAACAAATGGCATCTGCAGCCCTTGTGACAAATATCTGTTTCACCCCGGAGAAAACTCCATCGTCCCATGGCCTTCCTCCATCTCCTCCCCATGGACCTGGTCCTTGAGGAACAGACTCCTTCAACACTCCATAAGATACCTACAAGAAACAAAGAGTCATAAGTTTTCATCCATTTGGAATGTAAGTTATCAGAAGGTAGAGATCAATCATAGAGGATAAACCTCTTCTGCTGGATGTCCACGTTTGGCAAGGACTAGTTTATTAGACCAAGGATAGTTGTCAATCTCTGCAACGTGATGATCACCACCAGCTTTGACAATTGCATCAGAGAAAGCGCTCTTCGGCGGCTTCACAATCCCTTCCAGCACATGAACTCCAATACCATCCAAGAAAAACCCTTCCCTTCCATGGAACCCAACGATTCTGCCTTCGTCAATTTTGCTAGAGAAAGATGGACCTTGTTCCTCCCCAAATGGTCCATGTTTCCCTTTGTTGGTGTAGAAAGTTAATGACTTTATAATATTAGGACCCATGTACATCAAGGGGCCGTAAGTTCCAGTGATGTGTGTCAGAATCTCTTGTGGGTAGTCAAACATTATCTGCAACCAGAGGGAAGAAAGGACAGAGTTGAGGCTTCATGTGTCAAACACTAATGTACTTATGTTTACAGTTAAATATTGCAGGATGCTTTTGTCAAACATTGATGTACTCCATGTTTCTCTCACCTTGTCCGTTTTGAACCCTCCTGTGCCACCATGTCTGCTTCCCCAAACCGGCTCTCCGTCACGGTCGTATTGAGCTCTTAAGTACACAATTCCAACGTTTCGCGAAACATAAATTTGTCTGATCCCAGTGTATGTCCCATCATCAAACGCAGTACCATTATGTCCTCCCCATGGTCCATACCTTAAGACCCCATCAGTTTTTGAGGCTGGCACTTCAGTTTTGGAGGGTTTCCCTTCAGGTTTAACCACCTATATCGTCAAAGCATTCTGGAGTTTAACAAAAAGGAAGTTGAGAAACGCTGCACTAAAAGTTGGGACTAGAAGCTTGTTTCACCTTGTCTAAGCTTCCTGAAGCATTGTTGGCCTCCAGGGGCAGGGGACTCTTCTGGGGAGGCGAGACTTTAGAATGATCATTCTTGTTTCTCACGGCAACTACAATATCATAGTTACTGCCATCAGCACTTCCTTGGATAACTGAGTAGCCAGCTTTGTCCGTCCCGCCATTCACATAATTGTTGGCCTGAACCAGAGGTTTGGAAGGAGCCTTCAGTTCTTGCTTTGCAGGCTTAAGGTGTATCCCAATTGCATCCACATACCAATCGCTCCTTCCATGGAGCCCAACAATCTTTCCTCCAGCCGTTGGGATAGAAAAATACGTGCCTTGTTCATTTCCAAATGGTCCAAATCTTCTTTTGTTGGTTTCAAGAGTCAATGATCGAACCATGACCGGGCCCCATTCGTACAAGCTGCCGTAATGTCCATGGACAGAAGTAAGAAACTCATTGGGGTAGTCCAACTTGACCTGCAAGAAAGAAACAGTTTTGGTAGTTTAAATTTAAGGTTCACTAGAAACAAAGACCCTTCATCATCAACAGTTCTCATACAAAAGATATTAAGAAGTTTATACATGAACCATGTAAATGCGACTATGTTTAATTGGACTAACCAACCTTGTCAGTTTTGTTGCCACCACTGCCGCCGTGTCTCTCTGACCAAATCGAAGCGCCTTTCTTGTCATATTCAATTTGGAGGGAGTCAATGCCTGATCCATGAGCTACAACCAGTTGCCTGACTCCCGAATACACCCCATCGTCCCACCCGAAACCGCCCTGGCCACCAAATGGCCCGACCCGTACTGGTTTCTTCTCGCTGTTATCGGCGCTCTGCAACAAAAACTTGATAACTCAAGTTTATGGTTATTCCATTAGCAAGAGATCTTATGCAGAGAAAGAAAGCAATTGAACTAGAGAATGGCTACCATTTCTTGATGTGTTCGCAGGAGTAGCCTTCAGTCCTTCGTAGACGGATGGCCTGAAATGGGAATGGAGCTGAGGAGTATTTAAAGCAGCCTGAAAAGGAAAATGCCAAAGACTCTTGATCATGAGTCCTATCAGAAAAGCATCCACCTTTACATAAGATCGAAGATTCCAACTCCACCAAGAAGGGAAGGGATTGAAGGGCAGAGAACTTTGTAGAGAAGGATCAGTACCACATTCTGTCATTACATGAAGCATCTTTCTCTGTGAGCGTTGGAAATGAGTTTACATTCTAAATGCTGAGATTCTCCATTTTCTTTCTAGAAGACCCACTCCGTCCACTAACCATTTTACAGAATGACATGACAGACCTCATTGTTACCCGAAGGGACAGGCTCAATCATTTTCAGCAGAAATGGACATGGAGGATTTGTCTTTTCTTTCAGTCCATAGAACATCATAATCCACCATGGGAAGGTTGAAGGCATAACCATCCAAACTGAAGCGGCACAGAAAGAATGTAACCATTAAACTGATAGAGCAGGTTCCAACAGACACCACACAAGCTAAACACAGCCACCGCACATCAATATCAAGTCGACCATTAGCCCAACAATCTATGCGTCGCTCAAGGACCCCTAACGCCGCTTCGACCTTGGCTGTTCCTGATTCCAAGTTCTTATTGAAGATGGTACTCTGCAAAAGCCACTGGAATCATTGAGAGACGTGATGCTTGGACTCCCGAAATAAGTAACTGAACTTCTCAATTCTCATATCAGCCGCATAGGGCTGGTTCCAAAAAGAAGAAGCCAGTGAGAGTGGCACCAAGAGGAACAAAATTTGTAAGGCATTAGGGATCGACATGGGTCTTCTCTTTTCTTCTTCTGCGGAAACCCTACTGAATCCTAGAATTAGGAAAACTAGTGAATCGGAGAGTACAGGGAGAGAACAGGCAGGGGATAACGAGGGTAAGAAAATCCAATCCAATTGGATGAATAATTCATTTCAAACCCCCGCCGGCTCAAGATGAGAGGTTTCTGGGATCTGGCTTTGTCGCTCTCCGACTTTCCGTCGGATTAAAATACGTGGACGTGAGGGCGCGAATTAGGGTTTTAACGACGGCGGAGGAAAGGAATAGCGGGGAAACCTGCCCAAAAATGCCGGCAAACCGCGCGAGACCGGAGAGAACGCGATCAGAAACGCCGAAACTCAAAACGTTTCGAAACGCGATAAGTTAACGATATAATAAATACCGCGGTATTATCGGAGTTATTGACTATTGTGAAATATTGACCCGATAATATAATACTCCAAGGAAATCGTGACCGAAAATCCGTTATCTTATCCAATTCTTGTAATCCTTCTGGGAAAGAAAATCAAAATACCCGCGCAGAAAGGCAACCTCCGGCCTGGATGAAGCAGTGCTTACTTTACCAGTCGCCTCTCCGGCCACTCACCATTGCATAGGTTATTCTCGTTTGGGGATGTTGAAGAAGCGCTAATGGTGACATCGATGTTACTCAGCACTTCAAAGCCGCCTTCTTCCGCCATTCCAATCAAGCAAGACAATGTACCGGAAAATTCGTCCTTCCCGCCGAAACCCACCTCCGTTTCTTACTCCAAGAAGCCGCATTCAGCAATGGTGGACTCCCACCTGAATTTCCTTCGCAAAAATGGGCGACTAAGCGAGGCTGTGGAGGTTCTCGACGCTCTGGCTCAGGATGGGACGAAGGTAAATTCCAAGACTTTGATCGGGCTGCTCCAGTCGTGCATCGACTCCAATGCCGTCGATTTGGGCCGAAAGATTCACGCCAGAATTAGCCTGGCGGAGGAAAAGTCGGCGTTTCTCGAGACGAAGCTGGTTGGGATGTACGCGAAATGCGGGTGCTTGCGTGATGCCCGCATGGTGTTCGATGAAATGCGGGAGAGAAACTTGTACACGTGGTCCGCGATGATCGGTGCCTGCTGCAGGGATCAGAGATGGAAGGAAGTCGTGGGGCTTTTCCATATGATGATGGCAGATGGGATTTTGGCGGATGGTTTTCTGCTGCCTAAGATCCTGCAAGCGTGCGGCAACTGTGGTGATTTTCGGACTGGGAAGCTGTTACATTCTTTGGTGGTGAAATGTGGTATGGGTGATTTCCCACGAGTGAATAATTCGATTCTGGCTGTGTATGCGAAATGTGGGGAGTTGGGATTAGCTAGGAAGTTTTTTGACGGTATGGATGATAAGACAGATAGAGTTGCTTGGAATGCTTTGATATCTGGGTATTGCCAGAAAGGTGAGATCAAGGAAGCTCATAGATTGTTTGATGCCATGTGTAAAGAAGGGGTTGAACCAGGTTTGGTAACTTGGAATATACTGATTACTGGGTACAATCAGATTGGACAGTGTGATGTTGCAATGGAATTGATGGAAGAAATGGTGAGATTTGGGATAGAACCAGATGTGGTTGCTTGGACTGCTATGATCTCTGGGTATGCTCAAAACAACAGGCAAATTCAGGCACTAGATTTGTTTGAGGATATGATTTCGTCTGGGGTTGAACCAAATGGAGTTACTATTGCAACTGCAATTTCTGCTTGTTCAGTTTTGAAATTATTAAACAATGGGATGGCAATTCATGCTCTGGCTGTTGAAATAGGCTGCACTGATGATGTACTTGTCGGGAATGCACTCATCGATTTCTACTCAAAGTGCGAGAAGCTGGAGGCTTCTCAGCTAGTCTTTGATTGTATGCCCGAGAAAGATGTTTTCACTTGGAATTCGATGATTGGAGGATATATTCAAGCAGGATACAGTGGGAAAGCCAATGAACTATTCACGAGGATGCAGAATTCCGAGATTCAACCCGATGTTATCACTTGGAATACAATGATATCGGGATATATAGAAAATGGAGACGAAGATGAAGCCACAGATCTCTTCCACAAGATGGAAAAGGATGGGAAAATAAAGCGTGACACAGCATCATGGAATTCTCTTATCGCTGGTTACTTGCATATTGGACAGAAACAGAAGGCACTTTGTATGTTCAGACAAATGCAGTCTTCAGGTTTCAGTCCTAATGCTGTAACAATACTGAGTGTTTTGCCTGCTTGTGCAAATTTAGTTGCACTGAAAAAGGTCAAAGAGATCCATGGCATTGTGCTACGGAGAAACCTAGAAGCTGCAGTCTCCATCCCAAATTCACTTATCGACACTTATGCCAAATCCGGGAAACTAGTTTATTCAAGATCCTTGTTCGACCGAATGAAGTCCAAAGATTTCATTACCTGGAACTCGATAATTGCTGCGTATGTACTACATGGCTGTTCGGATGAAGCCCTTAGTCTTGTGGAGCAGATGTTGATGTTGGGATTGAAGCCAGAGCGGAGTACTTTTGTCAATATCATACTCGCCCATAGCCTTAATGAGAATGTTGAAGAGGGGAAGCATATTCTCACTACCATGATTGAAGACGATCAACTCAATCCTGCCATTGAAAATTATGCAGCTATGGTAGATTTGTATGGTCGTGCTGGCAGGCTTGAAGAAGCAATACGGTTTATTGAGGCTATGCCAGTGAAGCCCGACTCATCAGTGTGGTCTAGATTATTAACTGCCTGCAGAGTTCATGGCTGTCTCGACTTGGGAATCCATGCAGGGGAAAGACTTCTTAACTTGGAACCAGGAAATGCATTGATCAGTCATTTGGTCTTACAAGCATATGCTCTTCGTGGAACGCGGGAGGACACATTCAGACTGCAAAGGCTTCAAAATGAGCACCAACTGCCTAAACTTATTGGGGAGAGCTGGATTGAAAGTAAAAATAAAATGCATTCTTTTGTTTCGGGAGATCGGTCTAAACCTTACTCGAACCTCCTATTCGCTTGGATAGATCGGATATCTATTGAAGACAAAGGAATTGGAAGAAGGCAGGGTTTGTGCATTGGAGATGAAGAGAAGGAAGAAATTGTTGGGGTTCACAGTGAAAAGCTTGCATTAGCTTTTGCATTTGTTTGCTCACAACCAGTGGTTCCTCGGAGTATAAGGATTGTGAAGAACCTGAGAATGTGCAGTGATTGTCACCGGATGGCGAAACATATCTCACTGAAATATGGATGTGAGATATACTTGAGTCACCCGAAGTGCTTCCACCACTTTAAAGATGGCCATTGTTCTTGCGGTGATTACTGGTAGCACAAAATGTACAAAGCAAAACAAATAACAAAATTTTGTTCCAGGGTTTCCTTAGATGAATTTGTACAGGATTCAAGCTGCCAGAGAATGCTGCAGCAGATTATATGAGATCAATCATATTTTCTGTTTGTCAATGGTTCATCCTTGGTTTTTACTCAATCTGGTTGAAACCTAATGAAGGGAATGATCTGAACAGTGGTGCATGACTGCAGCCATTGCTAGCCACCTGTTGTCTTTGCTCAGGACATCAATTAATCTTGGCAGGAAAAATTAACTGATATTGGTGAGGAAGAGGGAAAGTTTTAAACGAATAATGTACGAGTTCTTATTCCTTATCAAGATAGTGATATGTTCGTCTCTTCTTCCCTGCCAAATAAGTGTACGAGTTCTTATTCCTTATCAAGATAGTGATATCGTTTAATACCATTTATGTCACCTTATTTCTTGTTCATAAAGGGTAGTAACTAGTATTGAACCCTTGGACCGTTAACCAACAAACCCAACCGAGGATACATAACGAAAGACATCATCCCAAGTTTCTAGTTCATTAGGTGCTGAACATGTGGCTTGACTTGATCAGTTTTGTTGCTACCGTCTTAACGTGCCTGCTGACTACTCGATCTCCGACCATCGATGACTCCAAACCACGGTAGAAAACTGGTTGTTGTTGTTGTTGTTGTTGCTGCTGCTGCTGCATGTGAATTCCCAGAGCGTTCAAGTAACATCCACTTCTTCCATGGAACCCAACAATCCTTCCTTCACCCTCAGCAGTAGATGTGAAGAATGCTCCCCTTTCTTCCCCGTACGGCCCATACTTCCCTTTGTTGGTGTGGAAAGTCAGAGACTTCATGACGTCGCTCCTGTCACCGCCGGTCAGGGAGCCATGGTAGCCGGAGACAGCTGTTAGGACCTCTTGTGGGTATTCGAAGTTGATCTGTGTCTCCATATGCCATTGAAGTTAGTTACACATGCAAAACAATTAGTTCACCAACTCGAACTATAACCTTTAACTTGGAATCATCAAGATCTCTAAATTCTGATGAAACTATGGATTATATACCATTCCAGGCAGAGCAGCGTTATTTGGAAGCGATCAATAATCAATAAACCAAGTAGGCAGATTGCTTACAGAGGAGTGTTAACTTGGAATTATCAAGATCTCTAAATTCTGATGAAACTATGGATTATATACCATTCCAGGCAGAGCAGCGTTATTTGGAAGCGATCAATAATCAATAAAGCAAGTAGGCAGATTGCTTACAGAGTGAGTGTTGACTTCGCTGCCACCTCCATGCCTAGCTGACCAAACAGATTGTCCACCCTTGCCATCGTACTCAAATTGTATGCAACAGATAGCTTCTCCTCTCGTCAGAAAAATCTTCTTCACTCCATAGAATATCCCATCATCCCACGGCTGCCCTCTCTCGCCACCCCATAACCCTGATCTCCATGAAGCTGAAGTCAATCCGGCTGCAGGGTAAGCTTCTCTAACCGTAATAGGCTTAGCTTCATGTGCGAACCTCATTTCTCTCATCCCATTGAAGAAATCATCGCAGGCAGGATGGCGTGAGTAAGGTTCTTCAATAATCACTGGTGGAGCATAAGAAGGTTCTCTAACCATCATAACAGCAGGGTTAGCTTCTTGCTGGAACTTGACTTCTCTCATCATATCGAAGGAATCATTATAAAGACGCGGGGAGCGAGGTTCTTTAGCAATTATTGGAGCATAGGAAGGTTCTCTAACCATAAGAGCAGCAGGGTTAGCTTGCTGTTGAAACTTAACTTCTCTGATTCCTTCCATGACATTAACTCCAATGCTGTCGACAAACGGTCCACCACTCCTACCATGGAATCCAACAATCTTCCCATTTTTAGAGCCAGAGGAAAAGGAGGTTCCCTGCTCATCGCCAAACGGTCCATACTTCCTTCTGTTGGTGTGGAAAGTGATTGACCTGACAATTATTGGCCCTCGAAGGATCGTTGGTCTGCAGTATCCTGTGATGTGGGTCAAGACTTCTGATGGGTAATCGAAAGCTATCTGTGCATAATAATTAAACACCATAAATAAAGTAACATGAAATTGTTAGCTTTCTTGTGTGATGACAAATGAATCCATTCAAGAAGTGATATTTTGTTTGGATCATTACCCTATCCAATCTGATTCCTCCAGTTCCACCATTCTTCTCTCCCCAAACTGCATTTCCATTCAGATCATAACAAACCCGAATCGAAACAAGGCCCTTAGTACGAGTCAAATGAACTTCACGAACGCCTGCATAAACTCCATCGTCAAAAATGTCTCCCCCACTCCCACCCCACGGCCCATAAGTCACAGCCTGCTTCGCCTTGACAGTTACATTGATAACTGGAGCCGTCTTCTTGTTGTTGGAAGCCTGAGCTTCAAACTCGGGTTTGTTCAACGGATTCCGTGGTAGAAATTGCTTTAAGTGGACACCGATGGAGTCAAGGTACCAACTGCTCCGACCATGGAAACCCACCACTTTAGCACCGGCTACTGGAACTGAGAAATGGGTTCCATGCTGAATACCGAAAGGCCCATACTTTCTCCTGTTGCTCTGCAAGACAATTGATCGAACAAGTGGTGGGCCTGACTCGACCAAGCCGCCGTAGTGGCCACTGATCGACACAAGGTACTCGTCGGGTGATTCAAGCTTGATCTACAAACAGAAACACCCCAAATTAAGCTCATCAAGCGGAATCTTAAGTGAGACCAAAAGCCAGAAGAACCTTATTCGTCTTGATCCCGCCAGTGCCACCGTGCTTCTCAGACCAAACGGAGGTACCGTTTTGGTCATACTCGATCTGAATGGAATCAATGGCGGCTCCAAGGAAGATGATCACTTGTCTCACAGCAGAGTAAACGCCGTCATCCCACCTTGCTCCGGCTCCGCCTCCCCAAGGTCCGACGGAAACATGGCTGCTCTCGTTCCCGCCTCCATAGTTACTCTGCCACACCCACCAAAAACAAAACCAACTCAACTAATCCCTAATCCAAAAACAAAAACTGACCCACAGACAGATAAAAGAGGATTTCACTTACCATCGAAATCTGGGAAGATTAAGTTAAGCTGGAATTCCCAGTTTGAGTAAGTTGATTTGTGATGGATTCTACCCATTTCCAGGAATTTATAGCAGGGATTTGATTTGGGTATCGGGAGAAGATGATCGAACTCCACCATGGCTCTGTCGCAATGTTTATCCGCCACGAAGGCGCTGGGAATCCAATCCCTGTGGAACCTTGAAAAGGAGACAAACGGATCCCATTTTGCACCGCCATTTTTGTTATAGATGTTCGGCGGTGGAAGATATGATTGGATATATTCATCATCTTTCTGGTGGCGAAAATTCTTAAATCTTAGGGCTCATATTCCAGGATTTTGGTATCCCAGAGCAACAGTGTTAGTTATCTGTTCATTGACTTCCTTCCTTTTTCCTTGGGGAGGTACTAATTAACGCCCTAGATTTTTTGAAATTGGTCGCCCTAACTTGGTAATTTGACGTTTTTGCCCAAAAAATTCACAATCCCTAACAAATTTTTACCCTAGGATTAACACCCATCGCCACCGTTCACCATGGGAGAGTCTTCGCCGTCTAGGAGTGCTGCTGGGAGTCTTCGCCGTTGAAGAATGATGTTATCACCGTCGCGGCCGCAAATTTTTTGTTGCACCCTCGACCTAGGAATTGCTCGCGGTGGCTGGGAGTGGTGCTGGGAGTCTTCGACGTACCCGAGTGAGCACTCGTCACCGCCGCCGCCGCAACTGCTTTCCACTGGTTAGTCTTCCTGAATCTGGCTCGACCGCAAAGAACCCAGGAGTAGCAAAGGGGCGTCGACGGGCGGACCGAGCAGCACAGCAGCCGCGACGGGGCCCTTCCTTCTCCCTCCTCGCCGTCGCTCGGCGATTGAACTCGAAATTCCAGGGTAAACGGTGCAACGGCGGCGATGGGGAAATTGGGTGACGAACTTCCAAGGCGAACGATGCAATGGCGGTGATGGGGGAATCAGGCGACGTACTTTCAGGCGAACGGCGGCGGTGGTGAAAGAATCTAGGACGAGATTTCTTTCCATTCCGAATAGATGAACGACGGCTTTGGGGCAACTGATTTAGAGATTAGGGCGAACATTTTGGGAATTGGGAGACGGGACTATTTTAGGGCTTAGGGGTAAAATCGCCCGTTTATTAATTTAGGGCGTCAAAATTTAAAAATTTAGGGCGTTGAATAGGATTTCAGTTTTCCTTGACGGTCTCCATCATGGTTGTCACGGAGTTGGCATGCCACCCGGTTGAATCTGGTTAAATCTGTGCCGGTCATGAAATCGGTATGACATTACTGGTGACTTACGCATTCTAAGTTTAATGACATCATTTTAATGAATTTAATAAATAAAAAAATAATTTATTATTTATTTCATTAATGTAATAGTTAAAAGTTGATGATATTTGTTGGATTGTAACTAAATTGTCCACAAATATGTATTATATATGATTAAATACATTGAATATTAATTGTTTTCACATTTTTTTAAACCGGCATGAACCAGCACAAACTGATTATACCACCGATCGTACCATTCCACTTCCCAAACCAGCACAACTGTATAAACCGGTTTGACAACCTTGGTCTCCATTATATAACGTCTGAGCTGGCTTTCCTTTACCGTTACCTTTTAATTCACTTGTTCGGCTCTCATGTTCGAGGTAGGCCCAAGTAGATTGCAATCGGGCCTGGACTGCTTAATTGGGCTTTCTGATGCTTTTGCTGTTAGAGTCCGTGGACATTGATAATGGTCCACTAGGCCTGGACGTGCACAGGCATTGACAGGCGCATCGTAGTGGACCAGGCTGAAAGATTATCATCGGCCTAAAGGCCCTAAACACCATAATAAAGGAAGCAGTTCGAGATTTTCAAAAGGGCTATCGGCGATGGATCATGGATGTCCGACTAAGTAGGGGTGTTCAAATGGTAACCGTGGTAATAACCAAACCAATTAACATCAAATTTTAAGAACTATAGAATAAAATGTCTTAACCAAACCGTCCAAATTAACACGAAAACCAAATTAACCAAATCAAAGTTTAATTGGTTTGGTTAATAGGATAATCGGATTAACCAAATAACATAACATTACATGAAAAAATTTCTTGTTAATGAATAAAACATAACCATATTGTATTACTACTTATACTATCATTATAGGCAATAATAATAATAAGACTAATCATCCATTATTATTATCATCATTCGAGTTAATGCATCATTCATCATCTCTGCACCTAATATAGTTAGTTTACAACAAAACTCTTAACATAAATACATACCAATACCCTTCATCAAGAAGTTAAAGCTCTCCTACAAAACACTTAAACTATACATATTTTGAGGTGGCTGTCATGGTATTGTACATAATCCTAAAGAATAGTAGTTGTCCAAAAAAATTTTGGTTTAGTAAATAGGCAGGCCCATTTAATTTTTGACCCATAATGTGTTGGTTTGTTGTGCACATGGAAATAAAATAGGGAATCACCAAAGTTTGGTTTGGTTGGTTGCATGAAAGTATAAATAATTTTGTATATTATGTGTATCATTAATTGGTTAATTGGTTTCATTGGTTAGCAGTGTTTGAAACCAAATAAAACCACATAAACCAAATAAGCTAAATTGTTTAACCAAACCAAACCAATTATCCAAATTAACCAAACCAAATTAACTTAATACTACCGGTTAATATGGTTGCCTTGGTAACCAATCCGTTTGAACACCCCTACGACTAACAGTCTTAACACATAAAAAAAACAGTTGGTCCTTTTGACGTGATTCCAAAAGTATGGGTTCTTCTTTGGAAAGATGGGCTCGTTCTCTGATCGTTATGTCACCTCCAGAAAATAATCTTTGTTTTTGGGACAGCTCGACTAGCTCTAGCCATCACTCCGTATCCTCGGGCGTAGCTTGACTATAAGGACAGGAATGGAAAAAATTGGATTCAATTGTCAACTGCTCCTATCGGAAATAGGGCTGATTCGGATTTGTCTTACATTTCAAGGCATAACTTGTATCCATGTGCTTCATATTCGCTTAGAGTTCGCTCCAAGAAATATAGTCATCCCTACCTTCTCCGAGCTCGGGTTATAGAAGAAGGAGAAGAAGGAAGCAAGAAGAAGGTATCATCAACAACATGTTTTATTACGGGACAACCATCAAGTCTGCATTAAATCCCTTACAAACTAATGGATGTAAACAAATAGCACGCCCTTTCGTTTTGAATCCAATTTAACAATGGATATTTCAGTGTAATAATTGTGTAATAGACAAGGTTATGTAGTGAAAAATAGTTGGAATTGATATTCCCCATAGTAAATTGGTTCACCTAACTCTACAGTAAGGAAAGGGTAATTGGTTCAACTAACCTTCCATATTGGTTCCTTGTTCCTTCGTAAACCCCAGTCCAAAATGGATTACAACCTACAAACTGGTTTTGCTTATGCAACTTTGTTGTTCTCTTCACCAATTTTGAGGATCACACTACTACAATTTGATCACTGTGTTGATAAGACGTACTTGAGAACGTGTTCACAATTCTTGTAGTTGTCGGATTAAGTGTTAAATTGCTACCGCTTCTATTCGAAAGTCTAAAAACAACCGACAAGCAATCTGGAAAGTCATCATATATGGGCTTGAAGTTTGCACGGGACACCATATGGCATATGCTTAACAAAAAATTGGTCCCAATAACACAAATTGTTGAGAAATGTTCAATTTCAAATCATATACCATTTACTAACTGTATATTTATATCTTTGTGAGCACACACGCTAGCATAACTGGTATTACAAGCACGATAACAACTACATCAACTACCTAAATCTTTTGATAATTTGTTTTAACCAGTGAATTAATTACTGTCTAATCTATACAATAAATAAAAGCCAAATGAGAAAACTTGAAGTCCCTTTTCAAATTTCCTGCATCCAGAGTGAAAATAGGAAGGACATTTTGGTCTTCAAAATTATTTTTTTATTCATTAAAAAGACACATACTAGAATTTGAACAATGACCACTTTAATGAAAAGCAAACATCATAACCAATCACACTAAGTACATTTATTTTATTTTTTAAATTAGCAGAGAGGAAAAATCTCTTCCCCCATTTCAAATTCCCTGCTCCAGGAACGTTTGTAGGAAGGGTAGAATAGGAAGTGCCAACTTTTTTCTTTTTCCTCTGTGGAACGGGCCATCTTACCGTACATATGTGGATTTAAACGGGTCTAGGAGTGGCAATTTTTTTCTTTAATTCCTTTTATTTCTCCGTGGTGGTAAAATATATATGAAAAGAAAAAAAATACTCCTTTTTATTTCTAAAAAGAAAAAAAATTAACAATAAACTAATGCATGGATTCTAATATGCTAACCGCTAACCATTAAATAAAAGAGTTGAATGAGTCTGACCTACAAGAGACATTTGCCCATCAAGTAAAATAAATGAACATCGTGGGTTTGCCATTCTAAAACAATTTATTTTCTCTAGCATAATATATATTATGCTATTATTTTATATCTTAGTGGCCAAAATATAATGTATTTTAAAGTTATTCAATGGTTCAACCTCGACCAACCCAATTAATCACATGGTTCCCTGATACCCGATAAAAATCTCAATCCAAATCGTGTTGTTCATTCTTGATTTCTTTAGATTTTATCATGGCTTTGGCAAAAACCAGAAAACACAATGACGACAAGATGAAAGTTTTGTAAAGCAAATTAATCGGCCAACGGGCCGAGTAAAAGCTAGCAACGATTGTGAGATGCTAATTTCCCGAAAACTGGCGGGATAGGAAATTTTTTATTCGATTTTCTGGAATTTAGTTTCTATAAAACTTACTCCACCTCATCATATTACCAGAAACAATATTGTTTCACAAGGTAACAAGTACTTGATTTTGGTTCATAGGTTGATTTTTGATTCGTTGCATTATTCATGTCTCCTTAGTCCTTCCTACTAAAATTCACTATTTTTATCACATGTTTCCAAAAAAACTATACAATAATAAGCTATACACCCCATTACATTATCAAATTCATACATCACTTTCCACCGACCAACTGGCCGGAGCCACGCTAGTATTTTATTGATCCAAAGGAGCGCTAATCTCCTAATATTAATATGACTTGGTTGCGCAAGTGGCACTCCTATAATCGCATTCCTCTTCTTCATACACCGACGGACGTAAACGGAACGGAGATCCATCCACCAACGGCCCGGAAATTTATGCTGTTTTCGATAAGAGAAACAAACGGCGGAGAAGACGCGGCTCTGTTTCTCTGGCCGGTTACTTGCGTTTTCCCATGCATGGTACAGTAAGCAATAATAATTGAATTCTGAGCACAGAATGTAGAGCTAGAACGTTAAAGTTATAACCATGCTTGTCACGCCGTTCAGCGTGCCACCGGTTGTACCGGGTTCAACCGATATCGGTTATAAAATCGGCGTGATACCATCGGTATGACCGGCATGATCGATATACGAATCTCTAAGTAAAATGACTTTAATTTAGAGAAATTAATTGATAAAAATTATTTTATTATTTATTTTATGAGTATAAAAGTTAAATATTAATGTTATTTGTTGGATTCAAGTATAAATGTGTAGGTATTGACGTTAAATGTCATGTTTAAATATGAGTATTTATAATTTTATTTGTAATATTGACTGGCATGAACCGGCACAAACCGGTATGTGCCACCGGTTGAACCATTCCACTTGCTAAACTGGCACACTGGCATAAACCGGTTTGACAACCTTGGTTATAACATTCAAGACTAAATGGATCATATGTGTTAATTTTCTAATGTATTATTTTTTTCCTTAGTAGGGAAATCTGTAATGGCGGAAAACCTTGACCACAAAAATTACTTTATTATTCTTCTTTTCTTATTAAACTTCAACACAAAAAACATATGAAAAACCCAAAACCTTAATAATAAATATTAACTGGATCTTCCCCTCTGACTCAGACTGGGATGACCCGTTTTGTGTCTGGTCGAGTTGTTGCTCATGCTGCTCAGCGAAAGTGTGCCAAGTATCGGGACTTGTGTATGGCGGCTGGTTACAGTTTCCTGCCCTTTTCTTTTTCTTTGCTGAAAGAGTTGGATACAGACGTCGTGGCTTTGCTCAAGAGGATCCAGAAATTCTCCATGTATCAGGATGCGGGGGATCGGGCGGCCGCATACATTTTTACTAGACTTAGTTTTTCTATAGCTAAAGGAGTGGGGGCCCAGATTGTATCTCGACTACCACTAATTTTTTGTAAACCTTTTTTTGTTCTGCTTCCACTCATATTATAATAATATTATTATTTATAAAGATTAATATATTATTCTGACGTAAACTATATCTATATAATCAATTTTGGCTCATGACGTAAACTATATTATAATAATAATATTACCTTGGCCTCAACTATACACTATATAAACTTAATTGACCGAACGCGTGATTTGACTGTCACCCAACTCACTGTCATGTCATCACCAAAATTAAAAAAATAAAATAACAAATTATTTTCTAATTTCCTTTAACTATTAAGATAGTAAATAATGGTAAAAAAAGAAATAAAACCCAAAATTAAATAAAGGAAATAATAAAATAATATGTGTTTTTTACCATTATGTATTATCTTGTTAATTAGATAAAGGAAATAATTAAATAATTTGTAATTTGATTTTTTTTGTTTGGTGTCGACGTGACAGTGAGCTGGATCATTGACTAATGGTCAACTATGTTGACCGTCCAAATAAACGGTCAAATCACGCATCCGGCCAATTGAGTCTATATAGTATATAGTTTAGGTCATGATATCAATTTCTGAAACCACAAGCCAAAATTAAATATATGAGTAAAGCTCGGACCAAAATAAGATATTAAGCCTAATAAATAAACCCAAATCCTACACGGCCAAATAATGGCCTAGTCCACCCCTTTACTAGTCCCTAGTAGGCCATGAAACCAGAACCTATTAAAATTCTAACAATCATAATAATAAACTCTTAACCTCTATTAAGACCATCACTAATAACTAAGGCAAAATGCCAAAAATGTTAAAATACCTCCTCCAACAATAATTGGGAAAAACTAAAAAGTCAAAAATACCAAAAAAATCAGCCAATTACCCACTTGAAAAAGACATGAAATGCCAAACTCTCTCACTTGAGTCGGCCCCCAAATTTTTTCGAGAAGCCGACGCGCGCAGGGGGGATTGTACAGAACGCGCGGGGGATAATCCATTGTTTGGTGTAGCATGATGAGAAGGTGCCGAGTATCTTTCACTGTTTGTGCACGCCAAGTACTGAGCACCATAAATGTTGGTGATAGCCAATCAGAAATTCCTCAAACACTCCAATCCGATGCTCTCATCTATTCGACAAGTCTCATTTAACGAGTCTGCAGAGCATCCATATGCATGCATGCGAAAAGCACTAGTAAGCACAAAATGATTCCTACTCCAATAATGGTTGTCTCGTAGATGATGGCACAACTCTACATGATTAAAGCCGAATGAGGAGCTGATGACTCTACTCATTTTGATTAAAGTTGAATGAACAGTTGATGAGACAACTCATTCTGATTAAGGTTGAATGAAAAGTTGATGACACAACTCATTCTAATTAAAGTTGAATGAACAGTTGATGACACAACTTATTCTGATTAAATCTGAATGAACAGTTGATGACACAACTCATTCTGACTAAAGTAAAACTAAAATCACAATTGATGACACCACTGAATCTGACAAACATGTGAGGAGTCTATGGTCAATTTGAACAAATTATTCTGATTTCATCATTCATACATCATATTTAATGATAAAGTTTTTTATATCAAAATTAAAAAAAAATATCAAAATATTCATCTTAATGAATTATTACTACTTGTATACAAATAATCTACAAACTATCTAATTAAAATGATGAAATATATTTTTGGATGTGCTTGTTGGATTTCCAACAAATATCACTTTTGAAGTGCCAAAATGCTAAAACCATTTGGTTTTCCAATTCCTTGTTGGAGATGGTATACAACCGAATACACATAACTAATAAATATAAGTAATAATACGTTATCCATCACACTTTTTTCGACAAATATATAACCTCATTACGAAATAGGAGAGAATTAGATTACCTTTTGGGTGACGTCGGTCGTGGACTTAATTTCTTCAAGAACACGTTAAAAGGCAGCGATGTCTCAGGTTCGGGGATTTCTTTTTCCTCCTTAAAAGCCATGGCTGAAAAAACAGAACAGTGAAAGTCACCCTTTTTTGTTTTTCCCCTAATTACATTCCAATCCAGTACAAAGAAAATTAATCTCTTGAACAATCTAACCTATTAATGTAACTTTTTCTTTTTCTTTTCTTCCAGAGCTGATAGTACACACAAGGATTATTATGAGACGAAGATGAGATACTATTAGCGAGTTATGTGTTGGGTCTATGTTTACGATCTTTGTACATAGTAATTAGGCCCAATTAGTGTTATCAATTACGTAAGCCCATGAAATCTGTGCATGGACACCACGACGTAAGTAGCAAGGGTTCCTAGGGTTTTGTTTTTGGTTTCCTTCTTCTTGTATATGTATTGCCGAGTGTGCCTGGGTGACATACAACAAACACTCAATAAGATCAGTAGCTAGAAGAGCATTCAGTGCTCTTTCGTGGATTAGTCCTGGATCACACCAGGGATCCACGTAAATCCGGTGTCAATTTATTTCCATTGCTATTTCCGACTGATCAACATGGTATCAGAGCCTTCTGTGACCGAGAGGTGTTGTGTTCGATTCTCGGTCGCCCCCATTTGTTAAGCACATGGTATTCTTGTTTTCAGACCTGTGCAAACTTCAAGCCCTTGTGAGTGGCTTTCGTTTGAGGGGGCGTGTTAGTGTTGTGGTATATGATCCACGATTGAACCTCTCACAACAACTCGAGTTATTGGGAGCAACTAGTTGTGAAGAATGCCTTTCTTCACGGTGATTTGGAGGAGGTTGTATATATGGAGCGCCCTCCGAGTTATTCTCTTGGGACGCCTGATCAAGTTTGCCGGCTCAATCGCTCCTTGTATGGTCTCAAACAGGCCCCTCGTGCCTGGTTTGAAAAATTTCAGTCGACGATTACTGGTCTTGGTTTTCAACAGAGCTTGAATGACCCGTCCCTCTTTACTCGGCAGACTGCGGCTGGTATTGTTGTTCTCTTGCTTTATGTTGATGACATGGTCATCACTGGGTCTGATCCTGCAGGCATCAGTAGTCTCAAGGCTGGTCTTCATGAAGCCTTCAACCTTAAAGATCTTGGTCAGCTATCTTATTTCCTTGGTCTTGAGGTGTCTCGGAACCCCACTGGTCTTCTCTTGAGTCGACGTAAGTACATTGCCGACTTATTGTCTGATCATCAGTTCCATGATTGTAAGTCAGTGTCGACCCCTATGGAGGCTAACCTTCGGCTGAGTCGTACATCGGGTGAGCCTCTTCCAGATGCTGCCGTTTATCGAAGTTTGGTAGGCAGCCTTATTTATCTCGCTGCCACCCATCCAGATATTTCTTATGTCGTACAGGTTGTTAGTCAGTTTATGGCGTCTCCTCGCACTGATCATCTTGCTGTTGTTCATCGTATTCTTCGCTATCTTCAAGGTACTCGAGACGTTGGCATGTTCTTTCCTTCCTCTGGTTCCCTCACCTTGCGCGCCTACTCCGACTCCGATTTTGCTGGTTGTGTTGACACTCGCCGCTCTACTACAGGCTGGGCTGTTCAGTTTGGTTCGGCCTTCATTTCCTGGCGTTGTAAAAAGCAGGATAAGGTTTCTAAGTCCTCTACTGAAGCCGAATACCGGGCTATGTCTGATCTTGCTTTTGAACTTGTCTGGCTACGTCGTCTTCTTCATGACATGGGTATTCGTTGCTCCCTTCCTATGGATCTTTATGTGGATAACACTAGTGCCATCCGCATTGTCGTCAATCCTGTTCTCCATGATCGTACCAAGCACATCGAAATTCATGTGCATTATATCTGTGATCTGGTTGGCGATGGCACTATTTCCCTACACTATGTTCGTACTGAAGATCAGATAGCTGATGTGTTCACCAAGGCTTTCTGTACCAGCCGTCATTGGTATCTCTCGAGCAAATTGAAGCTTTGTGGCCAGCATCAATTTGGGGGAGGCTATTAGCGGGTTATGTGTTGGGTCTGTGTTTACGTTCTTTGTACATAGTAATTAGTCCCAATTAGTGTTATCCATTACGTAAGCCCATAAAACCTGTGCATGGGCACCACGACGTAAGCAGCAGGTGTTCCTAGGGTTTTGTTTTTTGGTTTCCTTCTTCTTGTATATGTACTGCCGAGTGTGGCTGGGTGGCATACAACAAACATTCAATAAGATCAGTAGCTAGAAGAGCGTTCAGTGCTCTTCCGTGGATTAGTCATGGATCACACCAGAGATACCACGTAAATCCGGTGTCAATTTATTTCCATTGCTATTTCCGACTGATCAACAGACACAATCGTACACCGCCATTATTATTTCTACCAGCCATCACTACAAGAAAACTGGTCTATAGCGACAAAAAATAGAGACAAATATTGTATCTGTCTTTCAAAGTGTCTTATGTACGACATTTGTATTATTTGTCTCTATAGTGATGATTATGTGATGCTAAAGGTATATTATATATGACAGATACAAAAGGTGTCTCTGTAGATACCAGCTTCTACGATTAAAGATATTTTATATATTAAAAATATATAATTCTGTCGTAGTTTATATTAGTATTTGTCTCTAGCAAGCTTTTGATCAAGTTTTAATGTTGGTTTTCATTGTCTTACTACTTTTTATGGACGAAGGGAACCTCTAATCACACATTAATAATTTATCAATTGCTTATTTAATTTAACAAAGTTTACCTAATAAAAATTCCATAAAAGGTATCCAACTAAATTAACACGTTAGCTAATTGGGTTTGGGGGAAAAGGGATCCCAAGAGTCACTTTTGCCTCTAAATTTGATCCAAACAAGACAAAAAAAAAAAAGAAAAAAAAAGAAACATATACAGAGTCCATCCCTTTCCTCATCGACTTTGTACCCAAAAGAATAAAGGTTCCCGGGCAGCATTCTTTTTCCTTTCCCTTCGAGAACAAGATCCCCAATTTTCTCCCCCATACCCAACGCCTAACTCCTGCCAAAGTCTTGCTCCGATTGTCAATTCCATCCTCGCACCTGTTGCCAGCTCCTTCAATTTCACGAGCTGATGCGGGGTTGAGCTATCACCCAAGTTGTTGTTCTCCTTTCTTCTATTCTACAAGTTGGGACAAGAGGAGAAGTATATAGTTGCGCTGATCCGATTCGCTCGCCTCAATAGGTACGCATTCTCAGTTTCTCGAGCTACTAATTTATGCTTGTGATTGTATGATAGTCAAGGTTGAAGTGATTGCTGAACTTTCTTTAATTTTGGGGTCAACAATGCAGGTACATCCTCTTCTTTAACTAGTAATTTGAAACATTATGGGTTACATTTCTTTCATTAACATGAATGTATTCATTTGAGCTGTAGGACCATGTAGTGATTGAATCAGAAAGTAATGGGGATGAAATGAGTCCCACAGGATTTGGGAGAGAAGAGGAAAACTTAGGGAGGAGTCCACTGCTTTCCATGTTGCAAGACACAACTCCACAAAGAACTAACAGTCAATCAAATGAGGTCAGTTTAAATTAAGTTTTCTAATGGACAATCTTTACTCTATAATTGATAACTGGTTATGAATATTTTATTGATTACGTCACGTTTCACCAAATCATATTCTCCAAACTTACCTGCCTCATTACCATGGCTTATCATCTGAAGTGAAGTCTTCTGATATACAAAACAAGACTTCCCAAATGGTAATTTGTTGTAGTCCTCTGTTACTTCATTAGTTTTGTGGATGTTTATGGAAGTTCTCTCCTTTTAACCTCTGTGTTGGTTCCTCGCAACTATTTTTTCTTTTGTAATGAAATTTTGGTTCTGTTTGCCTTAACTTTTCTATTGGAGTTCCTTTCTTCATTATCAAAGCATTTATCTTCTCTAATATATTATGCAGCCACCAAACAAGACATTCTCGTTTTTGGATTCTATTTTGGATTCATCTCACAATGGTGGTTCCTCTACCCAATCACAGGTGCATTATAGTTCACACACACACACACATATATATATATATACAACACTTGTTAGCATGGTTTTGTTTGGAGTTAATTTATTAACATTTTGATTATCAGGGATTAGAATTTGTAATATTGAAGAGCTTGTTAAGTCCTGAAGTTAATGTGGCGTATGCTAATATCATAACTAAAGATCCAAAGGGTTGTGTGGCTGGCCAAGAATTGGGTCGTGGATTTTATGAAGTATTCATTCACGTCCCTTTTAAAAGTGATGAGCCTTTAGTACGCCCATATGGAAGTTTTCAAACAATTGGGGATGTGATTGGAAGGAGTATCGCTTGGCCATCATCCTTGGTCATTAAGTTAAATGCAATTGGTTATATTTAGTTTGATTTTTTTTCTTGATAAATATATGATTCATTTAAAATTTTGTTTTTGTAACAGGTCACATTGGCTGATACCCAAGTATTTTGAAGATGCTCAATCATATTGCAGATATCTGCTACTTCCTCAAGTTTGGAGAGTAGTTATAATAGGACCATTTAGTTTTTAGTGCTCGTTTTCTTTATTGGAATTGGATATTATTTTACTTTGTTGGAAGGATTTTAGTTTTTTTTTTTATAGATTGGAGGATTTTAGTGTTGGTACACGGTTTACAAATGTTACGGATTCACTGCTCTTTTATGATTTATATAATTTTCATTTATATTTTTCTTTCTATTGTACTTTTATTAATTTGCGTATGTGGATTTCATGGGTGAAAAGCCAATTGAATACCACATTTCTTTCCATCTACATATATTAATTTGTGACGAATAATACTGTATTTAAAAAGGTCTTGAGTGACATATATAATTGTTGTACAATATCCATATCGCAAACAAAAATATTTGCTTTTGTAAACAGTATTAGAGACACAAACATGAGTCACCTAAGGGTTATTTACATACATATATATTGGTCTCAAAAACATAATTAGGAGGCAAAATGATATGTCTCGGAAAAGAACAGTAGAGACAAATAATAATGTCTTCAAATTTATATTTGAAGACAAGTATAACAGTCTCAATAAATAATTTCAGAAACCAATATATTTGTCTCTAAATATAATTTTGGAGACGGATATTTGTGACTTTAAAATTAGAAATGGATGCAAATAAAATAGTGACCAAAATATTTATTAGATGCTAAAATATTAGTTGCGGTATCTCTAATTAGTAACAACTAATATTTGTCTTCATATTTGTCTCTATATGGCTATAGTGACAGGGCTACAGGAGACAAATTTGTAATTTGCATCTAAATTAATATAGAGACAAATAACTATCATATAGAGACACATTTTTTTGTCTCTATAGTCAAGTTTTCCTGTAGTGCATTAATTAATCAATTACTCATAAATAATGTGAATAGCTCAATTATGTGGTTGATTATCTAGCTTCTTTAGGACACTCTTTATTTTGGTGTTGTTAATTGTACTTTGACATAAACGGAGTAGAAGCCACCGTAAATTAAATCACTACAACCCTACTATCAGTTCACTGGCCGGATCAATGAATGGTAGCGGCACTTCATCATTATTGATGTGGTGTCTAGCTAAACTATATAGGTCATTGTATCCATAGTACGTTTTAGTTGTTTAATGTTTACCAATTATTGCACTTTTAGCAGACCCTGGGATCTAAGATAAAGCATATATAAACGCATTAATTCAACCACTTCTCCAATAATCTCTTGTCTGTGATCAGTGATCACAATAATCAACTTTAAAAATTTACTCACATTTTGCCTGCCAAGGCCTATGTCTGCTGACCTAAGACCTCTACATATGGAGATCGATCGATCGAGTCCACCCGACATGCTGTATTTACAAGTTGGCTAGCATAATTTGTAGAAAAATTTCGTAGTAGAAAAGAAAATGTGCAAACAAGTTATAAGTGTCATGAGTCACGACTACTTGATTTAGCATAAGCACTACTATACCAATTCGTTGTGGTTATATTTGAACAATCGCATATGTATTCGTGTACAAATTTATGACCCACAGATTTGTATATCTCAACAGTATCACACAAATCTCATGTGCAAATGATAACTTAGTTGTATAGTACTAGGCATATATTATATCCGAGGGTGGTGGTCACAAAAGAGCAAATTACAGCATGAGAGGACAAAACGAAGGAGTATGTTTCCATGACCATGGTCCATGAACAACATGACTCAGAAATATTGGAACCATCCCATTTTGGCCATTCTGTCGGTGCGTGTGTTGGCATTGTAAATTTGTAATTGAGGCGATGAATCCAACCAAATCCACTAGATCGACAATTTGCAGTCACGACAGCCCTCCGTTCCACGTCACTTCTTGACCGTAGCTAGCTATAAATGTCTCTCATTGATCATCAATTAATCAATTGCCCCACCACCATGATGGAAACCTGCTTTCCATCCTTCAATTTATATTTGAACCATTACTTTGGAATTTATCGGATTATTTGATTGTTTCATATTACGAATTAGGTGTGTTTTTTTAATTGGCGTTCTTAGGATTAAGATTTTTGCAACCACTTTGTTACAATTAAGTTAATTAGTGACTACTTGAGCATACGGTTCGAAATTTAGAAGGTGCTATATATTATATACTTGAGAATAACCATCCATGGTAATTTAGTAGCTATGGCAGCTAAATACTAATCTAGTAAGTTTATTTCTTAAGTACTGTAACTTCTCAAACCAAATTCACACTTCACAAACAAAACAAAAAATCATTTCCTTCTTCATCCAAATGTCTGCGTGCGGTAGCTTTCATCCATCGGTCCCCTCGATCGATGCTCCTCGATCTCGTCTAGCTACGTGTCGTTATCAGGCGACCCAAAGATGAAGGAGTCATTTCTTTAGGAGAGGAGAGGAACCCTCTACTTCTCTCTAGCTTGGGGCTTGCCCCTTGGGCTACGCTGCCCAAGGGAATTTCATCAACACATGGACGCTTTGAATGAGTGTATTAAATCGTGTCATTTGTGTTATGTCATATGTTATTATATACATGTTTGTTATGGAAAGCCAAATGCATAAATGAATAATTGTAATACGAGTAATTATTTTATAGATGTGATAAGTACTAGAGTGTGCAACGGCCCGCTCCGAATCGGACCAAACTTATTTGGTCTGATATTGAAAAATATTTTAGGATCAAAAGGCTAAACCAATAGTGTATTTGGTCTGATTTTGTCCGATCTGGTCCAAATGTCAATTCGGTCAATTTTTTTTTCAATATTTATATAATTTACTAGAGTGAGGAAGAGAAAATATTATATTTGGTTCGGTATGGTCCGTTCAAAGTGTCGGTGGTCCATGCGGACCAATCTGTTGCATACCCCTATGTATTATGCATGTCGTTAACTAATATTTTTATGAGTGCTTTAGTAGGGGACATAACTTTGTACTACCAATGAGGTCCTAGTACCAAAAAATAAGGGCTAATTCCACTAGAAAGCCCAAACTATTCAAAAAGTGTCATTTGTGTTCTAAACTATTCAACATGACAAATCTGGCATGAACTATTTTTTCGTTAATGTTGACCGGAGTAGACCGTTATTATTTATCAGAAAATCTAGTTAGCATCTATATGGTTTGTGGTAGATTTGTCATGTTGAGTAAGTTTAGGACACAAATGTCATGAAACGCATACAGTTTGTGCCAGATTTGTCATATTGAATAGTTTATGACACAAATGGCACTTTAAGTATAGTTTGGGCTTTCTAGTGGAATTAGCCCAAAAAATAACTAGGGGCAAAGTTAACTGGATCGTTGAATCGTGATTTGAAATCGACCTAGACATAAAAACACTTTAACCATTATGGATGGGTAATTGATGTGGGTAGGTGGTTGGTTCTTAAGTCTCTTACAAGTACTTAAGTGTGTGAATTGCGAGTCACCAGAATGATGTGCATCCTTTTTTTATGGTTTATGCATCCTATTTTCACACCACTAGGGATGACAATATTGACCTGACCCGTTTTACCCGATTTGTTTGGCCTGTTTTGGGGCGGGGTGGGGCGGGCATGTATACTTCTCATCGACCCGACCTGCTCTAACCCGTCCAATTTCGTCCCGTTCTTGTCTAAATTACATGTAGGGGTCGTTTGGATGCAATAAAATAATGAGGGAATTGGACTAAATTCCCACACAATGCAGTAATTGGACTAGATTACTATGTTTTGAAGGGCCAAAGGAGCATGGTAATTGACCCATGGAATTTGGGCCACTTTCCCACAGACGTGGGAACTGAAAATACAGCCCCTCCCCCCAGAAATTCACATTACCACGTTTCGGAAATTCACATTACCACGTTTTAACACTTTTTGTCTCTATAATGACCCTCCTGCTTTATCCCTCCCCAATCCTTCTTCTTCCTCCTCGTGACCTAGTTTTCTCTGCACATTCTCCATCTCTTAAAAAAAAGAACAAGAAGCAAAATATGGTTTCTTTAACCCGTCAATCCTCCAATCACCTATCTCCTCGTCGAAAACGAGATCACTGATAAAGTCTCTTTCATGCGATGCGCCGATTACCGTTTTCGATTACGTCGTCCATTTTCGGAGCAGCCATGCAATTCTCGAATCCCCGATGCTCATCTTAGGATTTATAGTTTATGATTTAGATAACTAGGACCTAGGGTTCACTCATAAAGAGTTAGGGTATAGTATTAGGTCAAAACATCATGCTAATTTGAGGTCTAGATAGCACTTTCATACTCAAGGTATGCGGTACCCCGGATGTCACCCGGGGTATCGTAGAAACCACTATATATATAGAATGCGAGTTCTACAGTACCCTGGCTAAAATCCGGGGTACCGCATACCTTGAGTATGAAAACACTATCTAGACCTTGAATTGACCGATCTTTCGAACATGATACTATACTCTAACCTTAAAGATCAAAATCTAGGTCTTAAGTCTCCCAATCTTATACTCCAAGATCAATTTCTTTAGAAACAATAATCGACGGTTATGATTCGTCCAAATATAGGCACAAAAAGGAATGCACAATCTTAGGGTTTATAGATTATGATTTAGATAATTAGGACCTAGGGTTCACTCATTAAGGGTTAGGGTATAGTATCAGACCCAAAAATCCTGCTAATTCGAGATCTAGATAATGTTTCCACAGTCAAGGTATGCGGTACCCCGGATTACACCCGGGGTACCGTAGAAGGCACCATATATAGAATGGTCTAGGACTGGAAAATGGTGTGATCTGGTCCAGACCGGACCATATATATGGTCTACAGTCCAAGGTGAGAGGCTGGAGTATAGACCACAAACCAGACCACACACTATACAGTCCAGACCAGACCACGCATGTGCGGTCTGGTCCATATAAACCATACTGAATGAAAAATGAACGATTTGATGAGCCAACCACACAAAAAATTGAACCAATAGCCAAGACAAAATTGTTATTTTTGCCTTAGAACATAAATTCGGATATGCATGAATAATTTGACACCATAAATCTAAATAAATAATAAAGATACAAAGTCAAAGCATCCCAATTTGTACTATAACGTCATAAACATTTACATAATGTTATATGGACAGATGATCATCTCTACTCTCTGCTGGAATGTGGTTGTGAATGAAGGAGGGGGCAAGATTCTCAAAGTTAAGATTGAGGAGTATCGTTGTGGGAGTTGGGAGAGTGGTCGAGTGGGTTGCTAATACGTATTGAGAAGTCGGATGGGTCCACGGTTTGATCCGGTAAACCACGGTCTAGACCAGACCCGACCAAGAGATCAAAACATCATAAAATACAAACCATAGACCAGTCAGACCATACTTAACGGTTTACGGTCCGAATCAAACTGTACAATCCAGTTTGTACCATGGTTTTTCAAACGGTATGGTATATTTTCACAGCCTAAAATGGTCATTCGACTTATGCCAAAGCGACAGGTGATTAAATTGTTACCATACTCTACTTTAACTTGAATTATTTTATATTTAGGGAAAAAAGAACTAATAGGGCAGAACGAGAACTTCAAACAGCCGAATATACAACATCCTACTAAAGTAAGGAAATGAAGTGATAAACCCTAAAGTCGTCGCCTAACAAATACCATCCCTGATAATTATTTCTCTCCTTCACGGTTGCACTACTCTAACCTATGCTTAGGGTTCCCCGTTTATCCCCGTTTTCCTCCGATGGAACTCATACTCGGGAACAAGTACCGGCTCGGCCGCAAGATCGGCAGCGGCTCATTCGGCGACATCTACCTCGGCACCGACATCCAAACCAACGAGGAGGTCGCCATCAAGCTCGAAAACGCCAAGTCCAAGAAACCTCAGCTGCTCTACGAATCCACCATATACAGACTCCTGCAGGGAGGAGAAGGCGTCCCAAACGTGAGATGGTCCGGCGTCGAGGCCGGCGCCAATTACAACGTCTTGGTAATGGATTTGTTGGGGCCGAGCCTCGAGTCCCTCTTCGATTCCTGCGGCCGGAAGTTCTCGTTGAAGACCGTTCTCATGCTCGGCTATCAGATGATCAGCCTGGTTGAATTCGTTCACTCCAAGTCCTTTCTCCATCGTGACATCAAGCCGGAGAACTTCCTCATGGGTCTTGGACAACATGAAAACAAGGTACGTTAGTTCGTACGTTATATGTACTTTGTTTTGGTTCAGAAAACCATGATTAAGGATTATGGGACTGTCGAGAATCGGTTATTATCAACAATGCTGATGAATCGTAATTTAGGGTTTTAGAGTTTTGCTTATAACTCACAAGCGAGAGTGTGAAACCTGTTTTGTTTATTAACTTGATGATTCTGAGTAATCACATAGTTACAACTATATAGGGATAAAACCTAGCATGTAGGTAACCCTACTAATTGACCTAGCTATAGTCGAGTTCTACCCTGTCCTAACCGAAACGAAAGCCAATTTATTTATGGGTTTGAAATTTGCATAGACTACTATATCATGTGTTTTTAAGACAAATGTTAATATTGGACTTGAATACAAAATTTCATGATCAAACCAGACTCTTATGCCATGTAAAGAACCAATTGGTCTCAATAACTCGAGTTGTTCGGTAAGGTTCATGTATAGATTTTAACCACTTCTTTACGAGGACAACATAAAGTGCTTCATCCTTGAGTTCTTCATTTTTTTTGGCCATTTTGCAATAGGTATACATCATCGACTTTGGTTTGGCGAAGAAGTATCGAGATAGCACAACTCGTCGACACATTCCCTACAAAGAAACCAACGGAAGCTTGAATGGCACGCCGAGGTATGCAAGCGTGAACAACCATCGTGGGATCGAGCAAAGCAGGAGGGATGATTTGGAGTCACTTGGTTATGTTCTCATGTACTTTTTGAGAGGGAATCTTCCTTGGCAAGGGCTAAAAATAAATAGGACGACAACGAAACAAGATCGGTACAAGCAAATCAGCGATAAGAAAGCTTCTACGTCAATTGAGGAACTGTGTAGAGGGTATCCGTGGGAGTTCGTTTCATACTTTAATTACTGTCGCTCGTTGTCGTTCGAGGATAAGCCGGACTACGGATACCTTAGAAGAATGTTTCGCGAGCTCTATCGTGAACGGTTTGGGTTTCTGTTTGATTATGTTTTTGATTGGTCTATATATTAAAGCATCAACAAACAGAAATTGCAATTATTATTACTCTCTCGTTTAGAGAGAGTCTAATGCGGCCGAAACCCTATGGGTTTTTCAGTTTTTATGAGTGTCTACTTCCCTCGTTGAAGAAGAATTCTGCTTCCATTCTGAATCAGTTTTGCGATACAAGTGTAGTGAGAATCCTCTATTTAAAGAGAGAAGACTTTGTTCTCGATTGATAGTCTTGCGTGAAGAGCGAAAGATTGTGCGAGAGGAAAACCCTAGTGCAAGAAACCCTTAGGTATTTGTACGAGGAAGCAGAATAGAAAGTGTTGCCTTGCTTCAGGGGCGACGAGGTTGTATTGTTATAGTATGGAGGCCAGAGAAGAAGCTATCAAAGATACTGCTACGAGTAAGGAACGACAGACAACCATGGAGCTAGAAAATCAGTTGAATCAGATAACTCTGGAGGATGAAGATGATGAACCATTGGAGGTAGAGGACTCGGATGTTGATGTGTTGCTCATGGAAGCGGTGCGTAGATTGGGACTGATCGGGCGACTGTTAGCCGAAAAAGAACCCAACATGAAGTCAATGAAAATTGCATTGTCAAAAGCTTGGAAGCTGAAAAAGGGGTTCCAGATCACGGAACTCGGGGACATGCTGTTTGCCTTTCAATTTCTGGACATGGATGATAGGAACAAGGTATGTTATGAGGATCCTTGGCATTATGAGAATTCACTTATAGTGTTTAAGGCAAGCACAACGATTCAAAAGCCTAAACCAGAAGATCTACATATGATCAATTTGTGGATAAGGGTCGAGGGTTTACCAGCTGAGATGAGGACCCAGAAGATGGCCGAGAAAATTGCCTCGCGATTTGAGGGGCTTGACTGGTTCGATAATGGTGCGGGAACGATGTGGGATGATTACATGCGCTTGAGAGTGTACATGTCGATCAACAACCCACTGAAAAAGAAAATCAAATTAAATAACTCGGGTCAGTTGGTTGAATATCCAATTAAGTATGAAAAGCTACCTATGTTCTGCTACTCTTGTGGGAGAATTGGGCACCCTAAACTGAGGTGCAAAGTTTAACCAAAGCCTGAAAAAGACCCATTCGGGTATGCACTGCGAGTGGCAGCTCAGGGACAAAGAAATTGGCTCTCATATACTGCAAAGAAGGAGGATGTTGAGGTGTGGGCTGCTCTTAAACAAATTTTGAAATGGAGAGCATAGGGTCAAACTCTGACCATGATATGACGCTGGAGATGGAAGAAGCTAAACAAGTGGAAGAAGATACACCAAAACAGCAAAAGAATGGGGGAGACACAAACTCAGGAGGCTCCCAGAACTGAACAGGTACAAGAACCTATTGTAGCACAACAGGAAGATCTGAAGGCTTTCCAAAAGCCAGAATCAAGGGATCAAATGCATAATGGGGCTCTACAAAAATTTGAGATGGGCAGTGCGGAAGGAAGGAGAATTGGGAGGAATAATGCTCGAGTCTGGAGAAGGCAGGAGCAAGTGCAAGCGAAACCAGTTACTGGGGTCCAAATAACCCCTCAAAAAAGACAGGTTGCAGCTCGAGAAGAGGGGAGAGGGTTGAGGGACACACACCTGAGGCTGTGAAGAAGGCCAGAACTCTAACTTTTTCTGGTCTGGATGGATTAGGAGCTGGAAATAACAACAACAAAACTGTGGATGGCGATGTGGCGGAGCCTGCAAAAGAGCAGGCCCGCCCAGCTCTATGAGTTATTTGAGCTATAATTGCCAGGGTTTGGGGAGTCCCCTGGAAATTAAAAGATTTGATCGACTGATCCAAAGAGAAAACCCCAAAGTAGTCTTCCTGATGGAGACCAAGAAGAAGGAAGATGAATTGCAAGAGGTGGTGACTAAATTTCAAGGATACAAAGGTTTTGGTGTGGGATTAGTGCGCAGAGCAGGTGGCCTCCTAGTTTTGTGGCAAGAGGACATTTAGGTAGGGATGGTAAACGGTCGGTAACTGGTTAAACCGGGTACCGACTGACCGGTGTCCGGTATACCGATAAGCATGACAATCCTGCCGTTTTCCGATACCGAAAATGCTTCGCTGGTAAACCGTTACCGAATTATGGCGGTTGCGGTAATGGTCCGGGTAACCGTTTACCGAAATATGATGAAGGATGGTGGGGAATGAATCTGTTCAAGTGATGAAGAATGGTGGGGACTGGCCTTAGCGCCCACGTCGCTACAGGTGGAGCTCATATACAAACATTTTGTCTTTTTCCTCTTGACAGCACACGTCCTTTCTCTACTCCTCTGCTTTGGGCTTGGCCTTGTTCATTCCCTTCAAAAATAAAAATAGTTGCGGCGGGGGAAGCTGCACGCACCAGCGGTGGAATTAAACAAACAAAATCACAATAGTTATTGCGGCGAGGGAAGCTCCACCGGCATCATCATCATACATTATTCAACAAGGCAACAAGACAACAAAGTTGAAATTGACGGAGAGTGCACCGTCAACCGAAACTGACGGGGAAGCTGCACCGGCGTCGGTAATGCGGTCGAGCGCACTGGGATCGACGAAGAAGTTTAGGTGTTGGGATGCTACGTGGTGGTTGGCGTCGGTCTAAGTGCGCAGGGGTTGGAGAGAACAACGCATGTTGATTGGGCGCCGAGACTTGGATCGTGAGAGCTAGGCTGGGTTAGGCAAGCAGAGTGCGAGAGAGGGGAGGAGAATTAGTAATTGTTAATCTGGGATTGCTCTTTGCCTCCTACATATCCGGTATCGAAAAACCGAATTCTCGTCGGTTAGTTGGCATCCGGGTTCCGGTATACCGCCATCCCAAATTCACCATCCGACAACAGTTACCATCCAGTTAATACTTTAACTAGTAACCGTGGTTACCGGTACAATTATCGGTTAAACCGTTAACCAGAAAACTGAATCCCAGCCCTACATTTAGGTGGAAATTAAGGGAAGTGATACGAATTATATTGATATGAAAATAGAGGAAGATGGAAAGATTTAGCGTTTCACTGGAGTATATGGTTGGTCTGAACAGGGGAAGAAACATCAGACTTGGGAATTATTAAGTTATCTAAAGGCGCTGACTGATGTGCCATGGTTATGTAGTGGAGATTTTAACCTCATTCAACACTATACAGAGAAGATAGGTAAACAAATAGCAAATGGTTATGAGATGAATGGTTTTAACAAAGCTCTTGAGGATTGACAATTAGAGGACCTTGGTTTCTATGGTAAACCTTATACATGGGACAATAACCACAAAGATGAGACGTTCTTGGAAGAGAGACTGGACAAGATGGTGGCAACAGAGTCATGGAGGAGACTATACCCTGATGTTGGGGTTTATCATCTTAGATGTTGTAGTTCAGACCACAACCCTATCCTACTGAAAACGAATGTGTTAGTGGAGGATGTGAAGTGGGGTTACTATTTTAAATTCGAGGCTTACTGGCAAGATCATGAGGACTATAAGCAGGTCATTAAAGATGGATGGGAGGCGGCTGGGCAGAGCTCTGTGGCGGGGAGAATTAGAATGTGTGATGAAAAGCTGCGAAACTGGAGCAAACAAACTTTTGGTAGTCTGAGAGCTCGAAGAATTAAAGCTGAGAAAGCACTGGAAAAGATTGACAAAATGAGAAAAAATGAGGCAATACTGGCGCAACGTCGTGTGTTGGAGAATGAACTAGAAGATATTCTACTTCAAGAAGAGTTTATCTGGAAGCAACGATCCAAAAATTACTGGCTCAAGCACGGGGACAAAAACACTAAGTTTTTCCATCGAAGAGCTTCAGACAGAAGATCCAAAAACATGATAAAAAAATTAAAGGATGAGGATGGAAAGATCTGTACAGATCAGGAGGATATAGCGAGATGTATTGTTAACTTCTACAAGAAGCTATACACTTCTGACAGGAGATCTGGATCTAATTCAGTGATAGAAGCAGTACCACAGAAGGTTACAGCTGCTATGAATGATGAGCTACTAAAACCATTTACAAGGGAGGAAATTTGAGAGACATTAAAAGTTATGGGACCGCTTAAAGCTCCTGGAGCTGATGGTATGTCTGCCCTTTTTTTCAGAAGAATCGGGATATACTGGGAGAGGTAATCACTACTGAGCTACAAGGTTATCTGGAAGAGGGCAGCTTCCCACAAGAATTGAACCATACCCTGATAGCCCTTATTCTAAAGAAGAAACACCCCAAACCCCTGTGGATTTTTGTCCTATTAGCCTCTGCAAAGTACTATACAAAATCCTATCCAAAGTACTGGCTAATAGGCTCAAAGGGGTGCTAAATCAGGTGATAGTGCCAAACCAAAGCGCGTTTGTCCCAGGGAGGCTCATTACTGACAATGTCATAATAGCCTTTGAGTGTTTTCACTCCATGAAAACCAAGAAGTCTGGCAATAAATGATTCTGGCAATAAGTGATCCAATATCCCCCTATCTTTTTTCTGTTTGTGGTGGAAGGACTATCAGCTCTAATAACTAAAACAGAGAGGGAAAGGCAGATTGAAGGGATAAGGGTGAAGAGGCAAGCACCACATATTTCTCATCTTTTATTTGCTGATGACAACATCCTTTCCCGAGGGCAACTAAGTTAGAATGTGAGAAAGTAAAAACCATCTTAAGCTTATATGAAACTGAATCTGGCCAGCAGGTCAATCTCCATAAATCTTAGTTATCTTTTAGCCCTAATGTTAGGCAGGGGAGAAGGAAAGAACTAGCAGATTTACTAAACATGAAGGTAGTGGACTACCATCAAAAGTATCTAGGTCTTCCTACAATTATTGGCCGATCGAAGAAGCAGTGGACTACCATCAAAAGTATCTAGGTCTTTCTACAAAACGAGCAGTAGCTCATTTCTGGTGGGGGCAACAGGAGGAGGAAGGGAAGACACATTGGCTTAATTGGAAAGAACTCTGCAAACCCAAGAAACTGGGGTAATGGGCTTCAAAAATCTCCAGAGTTTCAATCTAGCTCTCATTGGAAAGCCATTATGACGTATTGTCCAGAACCCTGATACCCTAGTGGCAAAGGTCTTGAAAGCAAAGTACTATGAGGATCGAAATCCTCTGGAAGCAGAAATTGGGAGAAATCCGAGTTGGGTTTGGAGGGGATTAATGGCTGCTAAGGAGTTAGTCAAACGTGGAATGAGGTGGAGGGTGGGAGATGGAACCAAAATTGACATCTGGCTCGACAAATGGGTGCCTTCCATCACAACTCAAAAAGTAACATCCCCAGTTGCACACTGGAGTGGTTCAACCTCAGTTGCTGAACTAATAGACTTGGACTCAAGGAGCTGGCGTACAAACCTGCTCCAGAGATTCTTCAACCCTATGGATCGTGTTAACATACAGAAGATCCCCATTCTCAGGCAACCTACTGAGGATAAACTGATATGGGGAGTGGAGAAATCAGGGACATACATGGTTAAATCAACGTACAGGCTTTGGGAAGGCAGGAATGATGATGTGTTGAGAGAAATCTATACACCGGTGAATTGGAAAAGGCTCTGGAACTTGAAGATTCCTCCAGAAGTTTGGATCTTTGCCTGGCGGTGGGCGAGAAATATAATTCCTACAGGAGCTAGGGTCTACGATCGAATGCAAAAGGGAAGCGAAAACTGCCCTTTCTGCAACCTCAGAGAAACACAGGGACACATCTTTCGTAAGTGTGACTGGGTTCGTAGGGTTTGGAGATCTAGCCCTATGGAGAGGGGGGAGAACCTTACCTCGGAAGAATGGTACTGCGAACTCCAGGAGATGGAATCCGACGAACAGCTAGGTGAATTCCTTGTGGCGCTCTGGTACATCTGGGACCAACGCAACTGCTACTATTGGAACAAGAAGAAGGTAGAAGAGTGGGAAATATTACCCAGGGTGAGCAATTGGTTGAAGGATTACCTGGAGAAGCAACTGAGTCCTCGGCAGTCGGAAAGAAATGATGCGCAGGGGTGGCAACCACCAACGATAGCTCCGGTGAAAATCAATGTCGATGCGGCATGCATTGCAGATCGAGGAACGAGGTGGGGAGTAGTAATCAGAGATGGTGGGGGAAGATTTTTGTTTGCTGGAGTTCGCAGATCGAGAATCCAATGGAATCCCGAGGAAGCAGAAGCTATGGCGATCGGATTTGTCTTGGATTTGGCTCGAAGGTTTGAGCTCATGGAAATGGAAATGGAGTCGGATTGTCAAGGGATAATACAATAGCTGCGAAAGGAAGAAGAAAGGGAGACCGAGATAGGCTTGTTGTGTGCTGAAATCCGGGCCAAGGCCCAAACCCTGAACTATGTTTAATGGAATTTTGTGGGCCGCAGAAGCAATGAACCGACCCATTTTATTGCCCACATTGACTGTAATTGGGAGGCTGAGGAGGTGTGGGTTGACAGCCCACCTCATTTTCTTGTACCTCTTCTTAGAGAGGATATGGGAGGAAACTCCAACTTTTCAATTTAATTAAATGAATGCAATTTCTTAAAAGAAACAGAAATTGCAATTGAGTAGGCAAATTGTTGAAGTAGGAAGTCCACCAAGTGGAGTTGTAACAAAAATTACGAGGGGTCAAAGAAGCCCTCGCCTTGGGTCCGCGCATCTAAAGACCTTTGAGTATGCCCTCGAGGGAATTGAGAGTTTGGATTTTTGACAGATTAATAATTTGGGGTGGTTTGGTTTTGGTGATAGTTAAATATATGTATTGTCATCATGTATGCATGATAATATATATGTATATAAGAAAATTGGTGTATTGTAGTTTGCATTATTTGGTTTATGTGCTAGTTATTGTGTTATTTAAATAAGTTATCTTACTTTTTGGTGAAATGACACTTTTACCCTTTGTTTGTAATATAAAAAAGCAAGACACATAAAAAGGTAGGGACAAAGTTGGAAGAAAAAAAACACACAACAATCTCAATCAAACAATCTCAACAATCTCACAAAAAACTTGAGATTTAACTATCACTCATTATGAGTGATAGTTTGTGTCATATCAAGCAAACAATGCAAGTATTGTTTGTGCAGAAAATTCACAAAAACGATGCATTGTGGACAATGCATGTAATGTAACTATCTCAACCAAACAATCACCAAAACCAAACGACCCAATTGTGTTATATATGCATACTGATTATTCGGTGGTATTTTAAAAATTCGTTGTTTCGATAATTTATTTCTAGGGTTTGTTGTTTTCGCCAAAGATGCATGGTCAGGAGTGCTGCTAGGAGAGCTGGATGAAGTGTTCTTCGAACCTCACTTGAAGACATAAACTATGCAGTATGCACTAGGGGTGGCTATACGGTCCGGTCCGGTTAAATTGGCGCGAATTGATCCGATCCCGGTCTAGTATTTTCTAGAATATAAGGTCCAAAGATTGGATTGGATCCGGTCCGGCCTTGAATCGGTCCGGTCCCAATTCGATCTTGATTTTAGATTGAGGTTTTGGGGATTTGAGTGTCCTGAGGGGGGATTTGAGTGGCCTAAGGCCTGAAAGGGTGAGGAGGTTAAATTTTGGGTGTTGGCCTCTCTTATCCGGTCTTTATCCGATATTCGGTCCGGTCTGAAATGATTTTTTACCTCAAATCTATGCTCGAAAATTGAATTAGATTGTTTGCTATCCGATCCCAATCTGAGTTATATTTTCAGGTTTCAAGTAAAACCAAAAAGCCCAGACCAAATAATTAAGGGTTGAGCGCCCCTCTCGCTTTTTCGCCCAAAAAAATGCAATGGTATGTATAAACGCATGTGCGGAGCCGTGAATTTTGGTAATGGGAGTTGCTAAGAAATTTATAAGTCAAATAAACTAAAATTTAAGAAAAATTTTAGTTTATTAGGATTTAATCGTCTTTGAAGTATTGGTAAATTATCCAAAATATTGCCTAAATTAAATATTTTTTATAATAAATCTTTTCAACATGAATCACATATACCGTAGAATTTTAGTTAATAGAAGGCCGTTAGATATGCTATATAATTTAGACATTACTACATCTGTATGAACTACAAATTAAGGAATTCAATTGTCAATAAAGAATGGCGAGACATTACTAAAAAAGAACTTCAATTACAGACCATAATCAAAATCTCAAAGGTTGAGAATTCAGGGATGAAAGATCAAATGAGAAAAAAAAAATGCACCGAACATGAAAGTTAAGTACAAAATGGTAAGACCTATAAATTTGTGAATAAGAGTCGACATTCCGAAATACGATTAAAAATTAAATGTTTACAATGTAACATACACAAGTAAAATCCAATTAAAACAAAACAATATAAATCTTTTTTAGTAAAAATGTTGATTAGATCATTAGAAACAACCTTCTTCCATATCGCTATACCAATCTCTCATTTGTGGTATATGTTTCTTTTGAACATCATATCTTATGATTTTACTGGAATAATAATTGAGTAACCTTGTATTTTAAGTGAAGCTTGATAATTTATGCATCCCTTCCCTGTATAGTTGTTCATCACTTAACAATTTATTATCCCATCCCTACCTAATATTCCTTCTTTTCCCTCCACAACGTCATGTGTCGCTATTACTTTCATCTATCCCTCTGCCACCTCCTGCATTTCTCTCTTCTCTTCTCATGGGCGGTGCGGTGGGCCAAGCTACGTACGCTAAAAGTTGTCCCTTTCCTCCTCGATTGACCATTGTCAATTCCGTTAAGGAGATGCTGATTACAGTTTCCCTTCCATCTATGACTATGGTCATGAAACGCCATTATTAGATTTCTAGTACTGCAGCACCAGTCTTCAACAATTTTGCTTTAACCACATCTCTCTTCTTCTTATTTCCTCTCTAAGCTGTACACGATTTACACGTCGTTATCAGGAGGAAGCCCACAAATGAAGGGCAGGGGGTCCTCTGTTTTGGGACAGATGGAAGAAAGGGGTTATAAAATGAATAACTTAATTTTGATTTCAAAGTTCAAACTCGATCGACAGTGACAAAAAGATAAGGAACCTTTACACCTGCGAGCTGCCAAGTAGCGGTCTTGTGTTGTATAAAATGCCAACCCATATGCAGTTGAGCTGTGACTCTGCTGCTCCCTCTGCTCCACTCCTCAGTCCCAAGTTAAAAAAAATGCTCCACACAAAAGAAAGCATATAATGCTCTACTGAAATATCATCCCCTCTCAGCTTAGTCTCGTCTCGTTAACACCTAATTCCTCTGCTTCTCTTCCAATGGGAACTAACTCAGTTCTCAAGCAGCTCTGTTTCTGCTGCTGCTTCTTCTTCTTCTTGCTGGCGGTTTCAGAGGGCACAGTGACATACGACGGGAAAGCCATTCTCATCAATGGGCAGAGGAGACTTCTCATGTCCGGATCCATTCACTATCCCAGAAGCACCCCTGAAGTAATTTCCTACATTTCGCCATTAAAGATGTGAACTTTTTGTCTTTTAGTCTGTTTTTGGTTCTTGTTTTGAGATGGGTTTTCAAGTTGGTTTTGTGTCTGTCTGTGTGTGTGGTAGATGTGGGGAGATCTCATTCAGAAGGCCAAAGATGGAGGCTTGGATTGCATTGACACTTATGTCTTCTGGAATGGACACGAGCCTTCTCCTGGCAAGGTAATGCTAAAGCATCCTCTTGGATCTCTCTTCTTTTATGGTACTTCTGAGCTTTGTTATTAATTGCTTCTGTTCTGTGTTTATTTTCTTGGGGTGGCAGTATAATTTTGAGGGAAGATACGACTTGGTAAGGTTCATTAAGACGATTCAGAAAGCTGGTCTCTATGTTCATCTTCGCATTGGGCCTTATGTTTGTGCTGAATGGAACTTTGGGTAAATTTTAGTTCTCTCCATTTCTCTGGTTTTCATTTCCCCCCATCTGAAGCTGAAGTATAAATGCTGTTTTGTTCTTTCTTTTTGCAGGGGATTTCCAGTTTGGTTGAAGTATGTTGATGGCATAAGCTTTAGAACCGACAACCAGCCTTTCAAGGTACTTTTTGCCCCCCAGTTCCCCTGAGAGCAATTAAGAAAACCCAGTGTCTTAAGAGATGAAAATTGCTAACTTGGGATGGTAATTTTTTCTTTTGAAGGCTGCTATGCAAGGTTTCACAGAGAAGATTGTTCAGATGATGAAGAATGAGAAGCTGTTTGCTTCACAAGGTGGACCAATCATCCTTTCTCAGGTAAAATTGCTGGATAGAAAAAGGGGAAGCAAGTCCATGTGTTTTCTTAGCTTTAGTAGAAAAAGTGTGTCAAAAAATTCCCATAACAGGAGATGGAGAAATTCCAACTGGGATTTGAACAAAGAGAAGAAAGCTAAATCTTTTGAGCCATGTGCCTTACGTTTTGGTTCTTATTTGTTAGATTGAGAACGAGTATGGACCAGATATAAAGGCTTATGGGGCAGCTGGTAGAGCTTACATGAACTGGGCTGCTAAAATGGCTGTTGGATTAGACACTGGAGTTCCATGGGTAATGTGCAAGGAAGATGATGCTCCTGATCCTGTGGTGGGTATAATCTTAAATCTCTCAACTTTCTTGGATGAAATGAATTTCTCCTTGTTTTTTTTACTTGATGGCTGATCTTAATTAGTTGATTTGCACTCTTGTTTGAATCTTCTGCAATAGATAAATGCATGTAATGGCTTCTACTGTGATGATCATAGGCCCAACAAGCCTTACAAGCCTGCATTATGGACCGAGGCTTGGAGTGGCTGGTAAGTGTTTGCTTCTTCTTCTCTTCTTCTTGAGTGATAATTGAGTCTAATTTGTGTTCCTTAAACGTGTTTTCTTGAAAGGTTTACTGAGTTTGGAGGTCCGAATCACCAAAGACCAGTTGAAGATCTGGCATTTGGAGTTGCTCGATTCATCCAAAAGGGTGGCACATTTATCAACTACTACATGGTTGGTTGTTTTTTTTCCCCCCTTGCTTTCTTGTTCTGGGTTGAAAACTATTGTTCATTTCTTCTGAGATATGGTTTGATTGTAGATATGTCTGGTTTTTGGCAGTACCATGGAGGCACGAATTTCGGGCGATCTGCTGGAGGACCTTTCATCACAACAAGTTATGACTATGATGCTCCAATTGATGAGTATGGTAAGATAAATCATCCAGAATGAATCATTTAAATCTTGAATCCTACATAGTTGTGCTAAAACCTTTTTTCCCTCTTTATCCAGGCCTGATTAGGGAACCTAAATACAGCCATCTAAAAGAGCTTCACAAAGCTATCAAACTGTGTGAAAGTGCAATTTTATCCTCTGATCCAAAAGTGACTTCCTTAGCAACTTATCAACAGGTAATCTTTAAGCTTTGGTTTCTCTTTACACAGTTGAGTGAGAAGTTCAGCAGCAGCTTAATGAAGACTTCATTCTCTCTCAGGCTCATGTGTTCTCAGGCCAGGGAAAATGTGCAGCCTTTCTTGCTAACTACCATATGAAGTCTTCTGCTAAGGTGACTTACAACGGCTTGCACTATGACTTGCCTCCTTGGTCCATCAGCATCCTTCCTGATTGCAGACATGTAGTCTTCAACACTGCAACGGTAAGAAAAACTTCTTAACAAGCTTTCGCTGTAATCAATGTACTTAACCTATAGATAGAATCTAAACACCAAGGGAATTGCAGAAACATAAAGCGAAAAAGCTGATCAGCTCATAAAGCTGTTATTGTGTAGGTTGGAGTTAAGACATCAAATGTCCAGATGTTGCCAACCGGTACTAGATTGATGTCGTGGGAGACTTATGAGGAAGATATCAATTCTGTCGAGGACAGCTCGAGGATGACGGCTCGTGGACTGTTGGAGCAGATCAATGTCACTAGAGATACGAGTGACTATCTGTGGTACATGACCAGGTGAGCATAATTTTGCTGTAATAGTCTAAGAAAACCTTGAATCTTCTTTCTTGTTGAGTATCCTTCTCTACTTTCCAGCGTCCACATCGGACCGTCAGAATCGTTTCTCCACGGTGGACCTAAACCAAGCCTCAATGTGCAGTCAGCTGGCCATGCCCTCCATGTTTTTATCAATGGACACTATTCTGGTAAGCTAATTTGACCTCTGTTATGTGCCATGATAACTACATTTTATTCAAATTCTGCGCCTTTTTCCAATTCTACACAGGGGTTCTCAATCTCATGTAAAATCTGCATTTCCTAATTACAGGATCGGCCTTTGGGACTAGAGAAAACAGAAAGTTGACGTTCAATGGACCAGTCAACTTGCACCATGGAACAAACAGAATTGCAATGCTCAGTGTAGCAGTTGGCTTACCGGTATAGTTCGAAATTCCAGCCTTGTTATCATGCATAAGAATCACAAACTTTACTGACTACTATCCTGATTTTTTTTCCCTCAGAACGTCGGACCTCGATTCGAGACATGGAAGACCGGAATCGAAGGCCCCGTTATGTTACACGGCCTCAACAAGGGCACTAGAGACTTGACGTGGCACAAATGGTCCTACCAAGTTGGCCTGCGCGGCGAGTCACTCAACATTGTCTCGCCAACTGGAGCCTCATCGTCGTCGGTCGACTGGCTTCATCAAGTTGCTCTAGCTTCGAAAGGGAGAAGACATGAAGCTCTGAAGTGGCACAAGGCCTACTTTGATGCACCTGGAGGGAACGAGCCGCTCGCTCTCGACCTGCGAAGCATGGGGAAAGGGCAAGCTTGGATCAATGGGCAGAGCATTGGGAGGTACTGGATGGCTTATGCGAAAGGCGACTGCAATGGATGTGGCTACGCTGGAACTTACCGCCCTGTAAGGTGCCAGCTCGGATGCGGGCAGCCGACTCAGCGATGGTATCATGTCCCGAGGGCATGGCTGAAGCCTAGAGGGAACTTGCTGGTTGTGTTCGAGGAGCTTGGTGGCGATGCGTCGAAGATCTCTCTCGTTAAGAGGAGTGTGAAATGAAGGTTGACTGCACTGGAAGGAACTGAGACTATGGAGGAGAAGATCCCACCATAGGTGTAATTAGGAATTATTTATACACTTTGGCAGCCTATGTGGAAGAAGAGGAAGAAGAATAAGGGGCAGAGGTTTACAGGTCAGAGGAGTTTCATTCAGTTCCAGTGTTACGAGGAAATGTTTCATTAGTTGTTCGATTCTTGAAGTGTGTTTTTTTTGTATAGTGATGGCTCTGAATTGACTATGGGGCTCTCAATGTACAAAATCAAGAAAATTCAGATGTTGGAATCCTTATAACAAACACATTCAACCATCCAAAATAGAAGCCAAAAGCACAACAACAGCATCAACAGCTGCAAAAACACAGAGCATTGAAGAAAAAGAAAGTAGTGAACCCTCATTTTCGCTTATATCGAATTCATGAGGAAGCATCTATAGCCACAAATGTTGCAGTTCAATTGCAGTTGCTACCTAATTCTCCATTTCTCACGAATGCCCCCTACCTTCACATGATCTTCCAAACTGCAGAGGCAGGGGGGAAATATTTAGATAAAATGAATGCATAAAGGCTTCAAGCAAGTGATAATCCAAGAAGATAAACAGATCATGCCCATTGCACTTCTCAAATCTCTATTCTGAACCCATTACAAGACAAGATTGGCAGCTCAAGATTCATCAAATATGTTTGCAGACTACATGTGCACCAATTTTGTTGGCTTAAGGGTTTCCAAACATGGGGTTTTGAGTTTTGACCCAATTCCTAGATATTGTAGAAATTCAGCCCAATTTTCACATCCAACCGACCCATATGTTTACTTTCGCTGTTCTTCTATGAAAAGTGCCATGGAAATGAGCAGTTGGCACTTGAGAGTTGAGATTCTTTGACAATGGAGATAACAAACTTGTAAAGTACGATAGCTAACTTCGTGAACTTAATTACAGCGGTTCACACCAATGTAACATTCCATGACAAAAAAAAAATCCTTTCACAAATGTGTCGCTTATATTTCGACTATCATCTTTTTTTTTTTAAATCTTCTTTATAATAATAGCACGAGAATGCTAGGATTTACATAATATTTTGTTATGTTTCAATATGTAATTTCGAAAAAAATAAAACACAACTAAAATAAAAGGATACACATAGATCCACCTGCATCTTATTATTCCCCAGTTATAACAATGAAATTGAGTCGGCTAATGAAACAGTAAAAGGTACCATATTATTCCAATAATAATATATATCTGGTCGGTCAACTCGTTTTCCCTGCATTTCTTCTCCCCTTCCTCCTCTCCGCGTGTCTCTGACTCTATATATCCGCGCCGTATTTTTGGTTTCTCATTCAGTCAAAGAAGAACGGAAACCCCATTTCATAACCAGAAAAAAGGAAGCATACCAGAGAAGAACACCGACCATAAACCAAAACCCAGAACCCAAATACCTCCTCCGGTTGTCAAAGGAAAATATCCGTGGTAAGTTTTCAATTCCTGTATTCTTCAATATCTGGGTCAGTTTCTTAGGTTTTGCCTAGTATCATGGCTGCTTGCGCGTCGATTGCTCTGTTTTCACCTGAATTCGATTCTTTAATTAGTTTCTAAGAGGAGGAGTACTTGTCTTTCGACGAATTTTCTGGTCTCCTTTCGTAATTAGGATTCTTCCCTCAGGAACCCATCTCGCCCTTTCTCTTTTGGAACCCCTTCCAATATTCTTTTGTTTGTTGGTTTCCATTGAAACAATTTGTTCTCGACTTTAGAAATGAGGGATTTTTCCATGTGATGAATGAGATCATGAATGAATATGCCGGTGGTGGTGTTGCTAGTATTCATTTATCTTTCCATTTCGGTTTTGCTTTTTTCTGCAGGTTGGTTGATTTCTTTTAGAGGTAACCATCAGTAGCTGGCTAGATTTCTATAGTAGCATGGACACACACCAGCTCTTTGGATTCGCTGTCACTGGTGCGACGGGAATGTCTTACTCGTCTCCTTACCGGGCTGTTTCCTCCGTGCCTGATAGGCTATTGGGTTCACTGATGTTTGAGACAACAGGGAATTCAGTAGCTAGCTCGCCATACTCTTCAAATCAGTTTGATAGTGAGACGGTTAGTTCCATGAGCGACAGCCAGGAGCAACTCAGCTCTACACCGTCTCTCTCTGGATTCAGCCAGTCTGGGGGCAACTCTTCTTCTGAATCCAACAGTAATTTCCACCACCACCCACGGACCAGTCTGCAGCTCTTTCCTTGTTCAGAATCTACCTCGCAAGATGCACGTTCTGGCCCTGACATGAAACATGCATTGGAGCAATTGGAGACTGCTCTCATGGGACCTGATGAGGACATGGCTGAGCCTAATGATTACCATGGTGAAAGTGGTCAGCCACAGACACCAGGTGAGGAGACTAGGGCTTGGAGCCAAGAGGACCAGCAGCAGGGTTCTCATGTCATCCAGCCTCAGCCTATGTTTAGCTCACGTCCCCGGCAGTATGAAGGAGGTGGCGTTGAGAAGCGCCATAAAGCAGTAATGCAAGAGGTAGCAACTTTACAAAGTTCCCAACCCAGCAATTTGAAGCAATTGTTGATTCAATGTGCCAAGGCTCTTGCTGAAAACAACATGACTGGTTTTGACAGCCTTGTGGAGAAGGCTAGAGGTGAGGTCTCCATCACAGGGGAACCAATCCAACGCCTTGGTGCTTACCTGGTAGAGGGATTGGTGGCAAGGGAGCAAGCATCAGGAAATAAAATCTATCGTTCCCTCAACTGTAGGGAGCCTGAAAGCAAGGATTTGCTATCTTACATGCAGGTTCTGTATGAAATCTGCCCTTACCTCAAGTTCGGTTACATGGCAGCCAATGGAGCCATTGCTGAAGCTTGCAGGAATGCCGCACGGATACACATCATTGATTTCCAGATCGGTCAAGGGACACAATGGATGACCCTTCTTCAGGCTCTAGCAGCCAGGCCAGGTGGAGCTCCACATGTTCGCATCACGGGGATTGATGACCCTCTTAATAAGTATGCTCGTGGCGGGGGGTTGGAAGCAGTTGAGAGGAGATTGGCAGCACTTTCTGGGAAGTTCAACATCACAATCGAGTTCCAAGGCCTGCCAGTTTTTGCCCCTGATGTAACCCGGGAGATGCTTGATGTACGACAAGGGGAGTCATTGGCTGTGAACTTGCCGTTGCAGCTGCACCACACACCCGACGAGAGTGTGGATGTGAGCAACCCTAGGGATGGGCTTCTTCGAATGATCAAGTCCCTGAATCCCAAGGTCACCACTCTCGTGGAACAAGAATCGAACACCAATACAACTCCTTTCTTGACCAGGTTTGGGGAGACTCTGGAGTACTATTTGGCCATATTTGAGTCTATTGATGTGACCATTGCGAGGGACAGGAAGGAGCGTATTGGGTTGGAGCAGCATTGCTTGGCTAGGGACATGGTGAATGTGATTGCTTGCGAGGGGAGGGAACGGGTGGAGAGACACGAACTTTTCGGGAAGTGGAAGTCTAGGTTTACAATGGCAGGGTTTAAGCAGTACCCTTTGAGCTCCTATGTCAATTCCGTGATCAAGAGCTTGCTCAAGTGCTACTCCGTTCATTATACTTTGGTCGAGAAAGATGGAGCCATGTTATTGGGTTGGAAAGACAGAAACTTGATCTCTGCTTCGGCCTGGTACTAAGCTAAGACATGTGAGAAATGTCCTCCTGTGTATCATTTCGTACTGTATTGTATAGAAAGGGGCAGGCAGCCCGGTATTGTCCTAGTTTAATGTTGTAGAGATGCCATTTATTTGTAGAAACTAATATATCTCTTCGTTAAGAGTACTGTAAAATGAAGGTGATTGGACATTTGCATTGAAGAATAAACAGAGGTTTAAGTGCACTCACTCATAAACTGTCAGAAAAGCATTACATATAAGCAGAGGAAGTTCTTCAAAACATGGAAAGGAAACTACAGAAAAGAGAGCAATAAACTGCGGCGGTGGAATCTTAAAAATCTTATGGCAGGTTGCTGAATTTGTCGACCATCTTCATCTTGGAGAGATCAAATTTCTTGAGGAGGTCCTGCTGCTGAATCTGGTCACTGGTGGGGAGACCCATCTGCTTCTGGCGCTGGTCGAACATCATCTTCTCCACCGTCGATCTCATCTCCGGATCCAAATCGCTCAGCTTGCTCGGCTCCGGCTCCACCTTCTGCGTGTCAATCTCCGGCCCTCCCTTCACCAGCGACTTCCACCAATTCCTCTCGTCCGACTTCGTCAACAGAACAGAGACGATCTTCTGATCCTCCAATTGCCAGAAAGATTCGCCCACTTTCACTGGACCGAACAATTCGCCGTCGATGATCATCGCCTGATCCGCGCCCTTGAGCCCGAGCTTCAGAGAATTCTTCTTGATCTCGCACGATACCTGCCTTGATTTCGTCCCCGGAGGAACTGGGACGGTGATCGTCACTTCTTGAAGGCTCTGCCCCCATGAATACTTCTCCAAGTCGAGCCCATTGCCAGCGTTTGGAAGCAGGGAAGTGGGTTTCTCTTCCTTATCCTCCTTCCCCGCCGCAGCTTCGTTGTTCTTTTCTTGCGGGTGATTGGTTGGAGGAGGAGGAGAACCCTGAGTTTGTTGGGGCTTCGTTTCATCGACGTCCGTGAGGATCGCCATGGCTGCTGGAGGAATTGGAATGGATTTGTTAGGGTTTTGTAGTTGTGGGTTCTGTTGGGGACGATCGGATGTGGGAGGTCCGGTATTTATTGAGAAGAATTTGGAGCGAATCAAGGCCTGAATATGAGGAATTCAGTTTCCGATTTTGATTCGGAAACTCTTGAACCCCTTGAATAGAGATGGCAAAAATATCCATAACCGTGAATATCCGCCCGAATCCGACCTAATCGGGTAGGGTATAACTCGAATCCGAAGGACTTTTTGTGGGTATGGGTAAAACTCGAACCCGAATATTGCGGGTAATGGATGGACATGGTTTGGGCACTATCCAACCCGAACCCGCCCGACTATACACAAGCACATGTATTTTATCTAGAAAATCATTATTTTTCTCTAACATATTTTTTATTTAGCATATAAATATAACATTTGTATGCAATTGTGTTGTTTTAATTAATTTTCTACATTCTAGTGAATAATTGTCGTGCTTTTCCTCTTATATAATGTGAGAATACGTGTGAATGTTAACATATTTGTTGGAGTTATAAAGAGATTTTTTTACCCATGGATATCCGTGGATACCCGAAACCCGAACGGGTATGGGCATGGTTTTAATTTTCTATCCATTTCTATAATGGGTATGGGTATGGGTAAAACCCGAACTACTTTGGGTAGAGTAACAGATATGCACTATCCGCACCAGCCCGACCCATTGCCATCCCTACCCTTGAACCTCTAGTAGGAGGAATCCGCATCCTGTTTGGATTTTGTGCTCCGCAATTTTAGGGTACTGGTTAGAGTGCTAACTTCATTGGAGTTAGCACCGTACTAACCACTATAATCACTGTTTATTATTTTTAATTAAAATATGATGCTGGAGAATAAGGAGGGGCATATTCGGTATATTAAAAAATTAAATTTTAAAATATTTTATCTTCCTTTTAGTAGTAGGCCTGAAAAATAGTACCGTAAACTACTGCTACATTCATTGGTAGTGATTTTGGTGGTTGTACTAGCAATTTTATTTGTTCTTGTAGTGATTTAATTGTAACTAGTAGTGATTTAGAAATTTTAAGTTACTCATGATGGGTGAACTTTAGAAAGTAATGATAACATAATCACTACTAATACGATTAGGTAGGAGTAAACCACTACTGGAATAACTACACATCAAAGAAAAAAACACTACTGTCGTACAAATATGACTGCTCAACTGCTAATACATATGAAAATCACTATTCCACAAATCACTACAAACCCAAAATCACTACTAATCAAATAATAATATAGATTAACAAAAAGTTCTCATTTTTTCCCGGCATGCTATCCGTGAGCGATCGACGACAGTAGTGGTGGGAAGCCAACGCAGGCAAGGGCGGCGTAAGTAAGGGCGGCGCATGCTCGTTTCTCTCCATCGAACGGCAACCTCTTCCCAGATCTGGTTTTATCGAATCACTACCGGTGATGGCGATGCGGCTGCAGCCGATGGCGGTGAACGCGTACAGGCGATGGCGAGGCAGTTGCGGTTGATGGCGAGGCGGTTGCAAGCGATGGCGAGGCGGTTGGCGATGTCAAGGCTGTTGCGGGTTTAGCGGTTGAGGGCGATGGTGAGTCCGTTGCCGGGGAGGCTGAGGCCGACACGACTAAGATCGATGAAGGCGTAGTCGACCGGAAGGAGAATGGACGGAGATCAAAGTTTCTTTAGAGAGAGAAGGGGTTCTGGATTTTTTAGAGGGAGAGAGAGAGTGAGAGGGGTGTGCGGCTGGGGAAGGAGGGTAGAAAAATTTGTATTTATATCAGTGTTTGATGGTATATTTACTAAATTATCCTTTAGTTAGTATGGTGCTAACCCAATTAGGAGTTAGCACCTAATCCGATCTTCGATACTCAGTAAAACCTCTATAAATTAATATTCGAAAAGTTAATAATTTAATATAAATTAATAATATTTTCAATCTCGATTTGGTTAGTGTAAAAAATGAGCAAATTTAATAAAATAATAAGACAATAATTTTTGAGAACCAACCAACTTAAATGCATGTATTTTCAATTCTATAAATTAATAATTGTAAGAATATAGTTCATCAAAAAATTTACAATATAACTAGTATAATCTAGAAAAATATGAATATATAGTTGTTTATTTCTTGTTGAATGTCAAGTCTATTAGAAGTTCATCTTAAACTTTTCTCATTGTACTTAAAATCATCGATGTTGTCTTCTCTAGATCGGTTTTTTAGCAAGGCACGGAATACATCGTCAAATATTCAATATGATTCCACAAGATCTAGTTTCGTTCAAGGAAAGGATTCTAGCCAATTGAAGGGATCTTCTGATCAATCCAGAGATCATTTCGATTCCATTAGTAATGAGGATTCGGGATATCACACATTGATCAATCAAAGAGAGATTAAACAACTAAAACGAAAAGAAAGATCGATTCTTTGCGACCCTTCCTTTCTTCAAACGGAACGAACAGAGATAGAATCATACCGATTTCCTAAATGCCCTTCTGGATATTCCTCAATGTCCCGGCTATTCACGGAAGGTGAGAAGGAGATGAATAATCATCTCCTTCCGGAAGAAATCGAAGAAGTTCTTGGGAATCCTACAACATCAATTCGTTCTTTTTTCTCTGACAGATGGTCAGAACTTCATCTGGGTTCGAATCCTACGGAGAGGCCCACTACAAGTATTTTTGAAAAGTCGATGCGACTTTAACTGCTTCATTTCATGCGACCGTTTCCGAAGGTGTTGAATCACCCTCTCCTTCATCATCAAGTGAACTCCCAATGACGTCGACCACTGTTTCTTTTGAACTTTGTGTCTCGATACATTGATCACTTTTCACCTGGTTACTCTAACAAGTAACAACTAACTTGCATCCATCTTGTTACGATAACCCATACCATTAATTTTATCCTCAAGTTCATTAAGATTTCGTCAAAATTTATTTCACTTGAGTCGGCTTCATCCCTATAACGCATTTTTAAAGCAATTTGCTATCGTCCCTTGATGAACACCCTACGTCCAAGATGCGACTCCAAGATTCATAGCATCTAAGACATTAATCATTTCCGAATTCGATAACTCCAATTCGAATCCTTCCAATACCTTTCGGTAAAATCTTTTGCGGTAAAACACCTTAAAGGATCTTATTATCCCGCATCAAATGAAATTAATAATTTTAACAATATACATTACAAAAAAAAAAAACTTTTTAAAATTAATAAATTATCGCTTAATTAATAATTACTAAAAATTAATAATTTTCATGGTCTCGACTATATTAATTTATAGAGGATTTACTGTAGTAGGGTAGCATTGTCAAAGCTAATTAGGTTCAGAACACAGTGGATATATAAGACCAAACTAAACCAGATAAACTAGAAAGTCCATGCATTTATGTTTAATTTGATTCGTTTCAATTCAGTACGCTAACTTGAACGTTAAAAAAATTGAGATTTGTTCACTACCGATGAACTATTTGGGCATCCTACCAATCTGATATTGATTACAAATTGACAATTAAAACTAATTTAAAAGTGACATTTCTATTGACAAACTAATACGTGCGATCGAGATACTAAACATACGAACAAGATTTTTATAATAGAACTCAGTAAGAAACATCTATATTCACGCGACTAGCACAAATTACCAGAACACCAACAAGGACTACACATTGATATATCATCATCTTTTTATAGATAAGAGTTAATAATATAGATTTATTTTCCATTATTAAGGTGCTACTTATGAAAATTCGAACTTACAACCTTCAAATCTAAGAACAGTGGTTGTATCACCAGACCAAATCCTTTCTTCGTATAGATACGGCTGCTGCTGCTGCTCAAGCTGCAGCGACCTGAGTAGCATGCTTCTTAATCTTCGCCACCAACGCGTCCCTGTCGGCACCCACAACCCTGTCCACGATCTTGCCTTCCTTGAAGAAGAGAAAGGTTGGCATGGCCTCCACATCAAGCTCCACAGCAACACTCTGTCAAAACACAGGGAAAACCACACAAATGCCCAATTGAATCTTGTAGGAGTTGGTTTTATGTGCCACTTACAGTCAATTCATCAACATCAACCTTCAGGAATATGACGTGAGGCATCTTCTTGGCTAGACCGGCCAGAATTGGCGCCATGAAACGGCATGGCCCGCACCAGGAAGCACCAAAACCACAGTCTGGCCGAAAAGTGAAAAATCAATAAATTTGGCGACGAAATCAGCAATTTAGACCCAAATGAGCAACGAGAATCCACTGAAATTAGATCCACAGAAGCTTAAGAACACAGGTGGAATCTAATTCGAGAGCGAAGATATCTTCCCTTTGGCGTTTGTTCTACGAACTACAAAATCGCTGGGGAATGGGATGCTTAGGCGTGACCCAGCCAGCCGACCCGGTATATATAGTCGACCTGTGGTTGAGGTGTATTTACAAATTCCTACTCTGGAATATATGTACACTAGTTTGATGTTGCCATGTTGGACCCGGAATGGCATTTGAATACAATGTATTCACGATGTGTGTTTTAAACTTTTCAAATTATTTGAAATGTTTAATTTCATATGGTGAAATCAAATTTTTTTTTCCAATTTTTGAAATTCGGATAACTTTTTTTATCAATGTTAAATATTGTACTCTATTTTTAATGGTTATAAGACTCGTGAATAACTATTCACGACCTGTTTATTTAATGATGTAGTCACTTAGTTGCCTATGGTTGAAAATAAATTTGACGTAACAAAAAAGGGAAAAAATCCAAAAGTACCACTGTTTAAAAAAAAATTCCAAAAATACCACCCAATCCCAAAAAATACCAAAAATACCACCCTTTTTCAAAAACCGCCACCCCACCCTGCGGTTTACACGAAAACCGTTTGTCGGGGGCGCGGTTTTCTATGCAAACCGCGGGCCTAGGAGGCGGTTATATAAAAAAAAATTTTGGACCAAACCGCTAGGTGGGGTGGCGGTTTGGTCAAACCGCCACCCCACCCAGCGGTTTGGTCCAAATTTTTTTTTCGATCAACTCCTAACTTCGGCCGAAACTTCAAACGAACTTAACTTTGCACACGGGTATCCGATCGATGCGATTTTTTTTTCATTTCGCATAACTTTTCAAGATATACAACTTTTATTAGGATGAAATTTTCAAAACAGGAACTATTTGTGGATATACGGGACCTTGAGAATAACTTTACCTTTACTTTTCACAAATCCATGTACATTTTGAAATTATGATTATGTTAAAAGTTGTAGATCTTGAAAAGTTATGCGGAATAAAAAAAAATTCATAACATTCGGATTTTGGAGCACAAAGTTATGACCGCTCAAAGTTTGACGAAATGCGAGACCCGGCGGTATGCGGCTTGCAAGATCTCAAAAAGTTGCCTCCATTTTTTGAATCCGAATAACTTTTTGAGATCTTGCAAGCCGCAAACCGCCGGGTCCCGCCTTCGTCTCGAAAAAACGTCATTTGCCACCCCGAACGAGCCTTTTTTTTATTTCGTCAAACTTTGGGCGGCCATAACTTTGTGCTCCAAAATCCGAATGTCATGAATTTTTTTTTATTCCACATAACTTTTCAAGATCTACAACTTTTAATATAATCATAATTTCAAAATGTACATGGATTTGTGAAAAGTCAAGGTAAAGTTATTCCCAAGGTCCCGTATATCCACAAATAGTTCCTGTTTTGAAAATTTCATCCTTCTAAAAGTTGTAGATCTTGAAAATTTATGCGAAATGAAAAAAAAATCGCATCGATCGGATACCCGAGTGCAAAGTTACGTTCGTTTGAAGTTTCGGCCGAAGTTAGGAGTTGATAAAAAAAAAAAAAATTGGACCAAACCGCTGGGTGGACCCCACCCAGCGGTTTGATCCAAAATTTTTTTTTTATAACCGCCCCCTAGGCCCGCGGTTTGCATAGAAATCCGCGCCCCCGACAAACGGTTTTCGTGTAAACCGCAGGGTGGGTTGGCGGTTTTTGAAAAAGGATGGTATTTTTGGAATTTTTTGGGATTGGGTGGTATTTTTGGAATTTTTTTTTACACAGTGGTACTTTTGGATTTTTTCCAAAAAAAGAGTGTGTAAAAAAAACATAAAGAAACACATAATCATAACATTTAGCCATTATTTATTTATTTTTGATTGAGAAACAATATATATATATATATGGTGGTGTCTATGGTTCACTCACTTTTTTGGGTGCGTTTAGTGCACCCACCTCATAATCGCCATTTTGAATAGGCGATTCATGTCAAAACGATGTCAATCATTACTTGTGACATTATAGACATGAAACCCCATGAATTTACAAAAGAAATCATCATATATTTACTTTGATTTGAAGGATTTAAGATTTAGGGATTTAGGGTTAGGGTTAGGATTCACAATTTGGGATTTTGGGTTGGTGTTCAAAATTGAAGGTTTAGGGGTTTAAGTAATTGATTGATTAGTTGTGATCATTTATTATATCATCGTATTATACTAATGCTACTAGTTAAAATTCAAAATTTGATATCTATGGCTAACTTTAGAGTTGGGTGCACTCAGTGCACCCAACTCTAAAAGCGTCCATAATACATCAAATTTTGAACTTTAATTAGTACTCTCAATATAATATGATGATATGACATAGAATCATAACAAATCAATCCATTGCCCTAACCCCCTTAACATTTAATTTTGAATCCCAACCCAAAATCCCAAATTGTAAACCTAAACCCTAACCCTAAATCCCTAAATCCTAAATCCTTCAAATTAAAGTAAATTTTGAATGAATTTTTTTCAAATTCATGTGCTTCTTGTTCATAGTATCATAAGCAACAATTGATACCGTTTTGACATGAATCGCATGGTCAGAATGACCAATCTAGTTATCCTGCTCATAGCATATAGTGTGAGTATATACTCACAGGGTCGGATGGCCACCCACGTCGCCGAGATCAGACGGTGGAGGAAGGTTGGCGCCAGCTTGTGAGGGGAGGAGAGCCGTGTCCATCGGCTGGACAAAGCCCAGACACTCTAAGACAAAAAAGTGGGGTCCACTTGGTCCACAAATTCAAAAAACACAATTGATTTTATCTACTCAAATCCCTCCCTCCTCTCTTTGATATTTCTCTGTCCGTTCACTTTCACTCTCTTTCCAAAATTCAAAAACACTTTCTCTCCCCTTCCTCTCCCGAAAACACTTTCTCTCCCCTTCCTTTCCCAATACCGACGACGGCGACGACGACATTCAAGGCATCGGCGACTGTGGCTTTCACGGCAGCGGCGACAACGACTTTCAAGGCTGCAACGATGACGATTTTGACGGCACCACTGTGGTGAAGACGGATTCGACTACCGTAGCAGTCGCTAAACAAAGAAAAAGAAGGCGACTGACGCCGTTGAGGTAGACGTCTTCTCCTTCCCCTTCTCCTTCCGTTGGATTTAGGGATGGCAATGGGTCGGGTTGGGTCGGGTTTTGCCAAACCCAAACCCATGGGTTTATCCGTGAAAAAAACCCGGGGTAAAACCCACTGGGTTTGAAAAACTCAAACCCAACCCAACCCGCTGGGTATCCGCGGGTTCATGGGTACCCACGGGTTTTTGTCGTAAAAAATTTACAATAACATGTTCCTATCAAAATTAAAGTCAAATATCAATCTCTCAATACAAATTATCCATATTTAAAACACTATTCTAGAAAATTCAAGCAAATCACAAATTAACTATACAAATTGTTCAACGCAATCTAGAAAACTCAAGAAAATTGAAGTAAATCATAAATTATCCATAAATAACATATTAATTGAAGGCTTCTTCCTTTCAATTAAGTTTCTTCACTCTCCACTCGATAACACAAACTTCATTCTACACAATTAGAAAGAAAAAAATTAGACATGTCTCCACAAACATAAATAAGATTAGTTGTTTAAAATATTAAATATACCGAGAAAATTAATTATATGTGTGGGCGGGTACCCACGGGTCGGGTTTACCTAAACCCAAACCCAACCCAACCCGGTGAATAGTGAACGGGTTTAAACCCAAACCCAACCCAAAACCCGTCAACACGGATTTTACCCGCGTTGACCGGGTTGGGTCGGGTGGGTACCCGTGGGTTCGGGTTTGGTTGCCATCCCTAGTTGGATTGCATATATTTGATCTTCGGTTTCATGGATTCGACTAGATCTGGGTTTTTCTTTTACTTCAATTTTTTTAATGGGTTTTTATGGATTTTTTCCTGATTTCATGGAAACCGCTGGATCTAGATTTTTTTCTTCGATTTTTTAATGAGTTTTTATGGATTTTATGGATTTGTTTTCTAATTTAATGGAACCACTGGATCTGGATTCTTTCTTTTGCTTCGTTATTTTGGATGAGTTTCTGGATTTGTTTTCTGTGGCATGGGATGCTAGGTTTTTTGTGGATTTGGGATATTAGTATAAACTCGACTGGATAGTTTTCTGTTGTATTTGGATGTCAATTCATTGATATTAGTTTGATGAGTAGTGATATGAGTTGTATACTTTCATGGATATTGTTTTGATGTATTTGGATATCACCTCATTGATATTAGTTGTCATCTTTAAGGATATCAGTTGTATGATAGACTGAGTTTTTGTTTGACGAATGTGGATATGACTTCATTGATATTACTTCTGAATGTTATGGATATAGTTAATGTGAAGTTCAGATATTAGTTAGCTTATGTCAGGATATTTTCTGTGCAGGAAAATCAAAATGACAAGAACTAAAGGAACTGCAAAGAGGTAGCGAGTAGAAGGCGAATCCTCAAGACCTAACCGTGGCAAACAGCCACAGGAAAATGAGTCAGAGGAATATGAGGACCAAGAAATTGAATAACATTTTTTTTAATAATGGATGGTTGTTCTTTATGTTCTGGATTGTAGTTCTTATAATGATGGATATTGTAATGAAAGCACAGGTTAAGTAGATAGTAGTCAGGGCTATATGGATAATAGTAGCTTCATGCACAGATATTACTCTGGGCTTTCTAGATAATAGTTGTTGAATGACAAGATACTAGTCTGGTATATAGGGATAATAGTTGCTACATGAGCATATAATACTTTGATATATCAGGATAATATTTCCTTCATTAATAGATATTGCTTTGGGCTTTCTGGATTGGAATGACATTAATACTAGTTGTATCGCGGTTTGTCGAAAAACGATTTTGTTTTATATGGATTTGTTTAAACTCCATATCAACACAAACAAACATAGATAAACATTCACACAAAACAAATATCTAAACCACTCACACTAATATCAGTTCAGCATAACAAATATCCACACCACCCAGACTAATATCACACCGTCTAATATCAATATCCAGTCAGTCCATAATTAATATCCTCAACATCATAGACTAATACCACTACATCAAACCAACTCTCACTCTAAACCCTAAAAAATATTCACACCATCCAAACTAATATCGCACCGTCTCAAACCAATATCCAGTCATTAAAAATGTAATATCTCGCCATCACAGTCAAATATCCACAATACACAGACTGATATCTGACCGTCGCAAACTAATATCTCACTACACAGACAAAATATCGAACCACCATACATTATCTTCTAAACCACCAACCCTAAACTCTAAACCCTAAGTAGGTAAACTGAATGTAGTTGTAATTAGTTGGGGGGTTTTGAAATTATTTTGGTGAAAAATAAACATTAGCTTTGTGATGTAAAAAATATAATCAGAAGGTCTAATAGGAACAACCATGCAGAATAATATCCAAATAAAGGAAACAAAAAATATAATCACGCAAAACCAATATTTTGTTACATAACGGGCAAAAACTAATATCCGTCCTCTATCGAACAAATACCCATTCACCCCAAAACAAATATATGTCCTTTATCGAGCAAATATCGGTGGCGCCCAGACTAACATCCATCCATTCCAGATATAATATCCATTCTTGGGCGAACAAATATCATTGACACCCTGACTAATATCCAGCCACTTAAATTAATATCTGAAATCATAAACGGACTAATATCAGACCTACCATGACAAAAAAAAAAACTTCATTTCCAGATGGTTTCCTCGGTGTTATCTTCATCCTCAGACAAACATCCATATCGTCCATACAAATACCTATTCACCCCAAAACAAATATACGTCCTTTATCGAACAAATATTCGTGACTCCCAGACTAACATCCATCCACACTAAAACTAATATCCACTTTTTAACGAACAAATATCCTTAACAACCTAACTAATATCCAATCACACAAAATAATATATGAAATCACAAACGAACTAATATAAAGGTCTGGAAGACACTCACACTCATACTACTATTGATTCATTGGCCTTCGGCCAATGGGCCCTCGGCGGGCAGCCCTAACTAAGGTTGCAAGCCTTATGTGTTAGGACTTGATAGTGTGTTTAGTTTTGATGGAAGACACAATTAAATACTCAAGATCTCTCCCATGTGAAAATTTATCAAAAGCAACAAAAGTAGCTGATGGTGGGCCATGCTTTTCTCTCTCTTTTGTCAACTCTGACGGATATTAGTTCGTGCACTTTTGGATATTTATTTGTCTCGGTTAGATACGAGTTATTTCAGCGGCTCCCTCTCTCAATCCCGCCCAAATTAAAGGTGGACCCAAGCCACCATTTTCAGCTCGATCGGCTGGGCCGGCTTGTGCAAAAAAACCTACAAATAGCTCACTTAAATGAGCTATGGCTGGGCTGACCTCCTCACCCTTAGATTAGAACTGGGCCTATGTGGACAAATCTGGGCCTTGTGAGTATCTACTCACAAAAAACCTTGTGAGCAGATTAACTTTTGCGCAGAATGACAATTATGAGGCGGGTGCACTGAGTGCACCCGAAAAAGTGGGTGCACCGAATACGGCACCATATATATATCAATACTAAACAATAAATAACAAAATTAGTAAGAAAATATCAATTCATCATCCATACTCTATGCAATCATAAAATATTTGTCAACTAACATGCTCAAAGCTTAGTTGAAAGACAATCTAATTCTTTCAACAAAAATAGCTTATATTGTGTTACCCACCCTGCTAATGAATATAACTACATAATGTATCCATGAAAACTTTAGCCATGCTTCATTATTAGCATATCTTGTGTTACCCACCATGCTAATGAATATAACTATATCAATACATCCATGAAAACTTTAGCTCTGGTTCATTATTTATCTTGTTCTATTGTTATTTTCTATTGAAACAAATAACTCTGAATGATACATATGGTTAATTACTATTTAATCAAAATATGAAAATTAAAATATCAATTACCAAAGAAAATACTTACACAAAGTTAGCGGACTAGCTAACCGTAGTGGAAAACTCATATGTTTTTAAGATTTCAGGTTTTTGTATTTCTTTAGTTTAATAAGATAAAAACATTTCATTAGTGTAATTGGTAATTGTTGTTATCTTTGTCTGAAGACACCATGTTTTAGATCCCAAGACTGATGTATTTTTTTCCTTAGAAATAACCATGAAAATTAAAATATCAATGGGAGAGCGAGTGTGAAGTGTGGAGTGTGGAGAGTTTTGATTTTGAGCGGTGGTTTTCCTTGTGATGTAAACAGTGCTGTCTTTTGGTCTTGGTAATAAAAGCTATCTATTGTAAAAAAAAAAAAAAAAAAAAAAAGAAGTGTGAACATTGGCGTTTTTAGGTATGGTGGGATAATGAAATCTCGGTGTCGGCGAGCTTTCTTATTTGGCTCGTGGGTCGTCCCTGTGGATTTTGGAGGAGTTCGTCAGCGAGATACCTTTTTCCCTTACCTTTTTTTTCATGGAAAGCTATCTCATAAAATTGAACAAGCAGTGGGTGATGAACTGTGGAAACCTTTGTCCCTTTCAAAGGATGGGCCAAAGATATCACACCTTCGTTGAGGATTTTATTTTATTTCCAGAGGCGGAGAGCAAGCAGGTTGATGTAATGAAAGCTTGTTTAGAGGATTTATGTTCGAGCTCTGGTTAGAGGGTGAATCTCAACAAATCAACTAAGTTTGTTTCGCCAAACATGCATCGAGACAGAGCTCAACGTCTCAGCTTGCGTGCGAGCATTAAACTTACGACGGATTTGGGTAAGTATCTCGGTCTTCATGCGATTATTGGAAGAGTCTCGACAAGTAGATACAAGGAGCCGCTCATTAGAATTCAATATAAACTAGTTAATAGGAAAATTAAGGGTTTGTTTGGAAGTTGTGATTCTTCAAATTGATATATTGAGACAATTAGTGTATTATCATTTGATGTATTGAATCAATCGATGTATTAGGCAAATATCTTGTTTGGAGGTTTAGATTGTGTTTTTGTTCTAAAGGTAAAAAAGTTAGTTTTGAGTGACTGTGAAGAATCTCAACAAAAAGTAGAGATTGTAAATCCCTCAATATTGAGAGATTGTGGTGGGGCCGCCAAAAAGTAAATGCATATATTCTACTTCTTTATAAGTAAAAAAAACGACTTAATCTCACAAATACATGAATTAGGTCAATACACCATTTGAAATCACAACTTCAAGAATCTTTTGTGGCTGCCCGTATTACTTGCTTCTTCCATGATTGTTTATCCGATTTTACAGAATCTCTCCCTTCCACTATTTGCAAGTCCCATGACAGGATCAATAGACGCTTCGTCTGGGGTGAGGAAGATGGGATCATGGGAAGACTAAGTTCCACCCGATGGCTTGGAATTAGATAACCCTCCATCACAATCAAGGGGGGATAGGTATTCGACTGAAAAAGCTTGCAAACTAGGCGATGCTAGCAAAGGGAGCCTAGAAAGTCGCCACCAATGATCATTTCCTCTGGGCGAGGATCCTTAGGAGCAAATACGGAAAATCAAGTGAAGGGCTAAGAATTCTAGACAAGAAAAAGGGAGGTTCTTATTCTTGGTGCAGCTTCTCCCAAACTGCAAATCTTTTGCGCAAATGTATGGCTCGTAACGTTAAAAATGGTAAAAAGACTAGCTTTTGGATTGATCATTGGATTATGCAGGAGATTGGGTGAGTTTCTTCTCCCTGGTCGCTTGATACATCTGGAAGACAAGGAACTCTAACGAGGACCACCTAGATCAATTATGTTATTTCTAAAGCTCGAGATTGGAGCAGAACTTGGGAGGGTCTCTACACATCACCGAGAGGTAGAGTCAGCCTCAAGCAAAGCATTTGATCAGCTGGAGTTCTGGACTCTCCCTCCGAGGGGCTGGTACAAGATCAACAGTTCAACACTGATGGCACTGTAAGACATATCCATTCACCAGATTGTATAAAATTATGAAACAAGATTATTTCATAACAGAACACTGTTAAGACATATCCATTCACCAGATTAGTACAGATTACAGAACACCAACAAGGACTAGAAATCCATAGATCATCATCATTATCAGTCACGGAACAGAAGATTCACAAATCACAAATACACCAGTACTTGATCAAACATATAACAACCACTGACGAAACAGAGAAACAACTAGATAGAGCCTCCGTTCCATTTTCCCTACTGTTGCGAGCTGCTCAAGCTGAAGCAACCTGGGTAGCATGCTGCTCAATCTTCGCCACCAACTCGTCCTTCTTGGCACCCACAACCTTGTCCACCATCTTGCCTTCCTTGAAGAAGAGAAAGGTTGGCATGGCCTCCACGTCATACTGCTCAGAAACACTCTGCCAAAAACAGGAAGATCACACAATTGCCCACTTCAGTAATCATTCAGAAACATTCTACAAAGTCAATTGAAGTTGCGGGTTTACGAGACTCTGGTAGGAGTTGGTTTTTATTTGCCACTTTACTTACAGTCAGATTATCAACATCAACCTTCAGGAATATGACGTGAGTCATCTTCTTGGCTAGATCGGCCAGAATTGGCGCAATGAAACGGCATGGCGGGCACCAGGTAGCAGTGAAATCCACCACAGTCTGGCCGAAAAGCAACAATCAAAATCAATAGCCCATAAGGAAAAGGATGATGCTTCGTGAAAGAACTAAAAGCCCCATGAACCCAATTGGGGGAAAGTGAAAAATCAATCAATTTGAAGAAAGACGAAATCAGCAGTTTTGACCCAATGAGCAACGAGAATCCACATCGGGAAAACGAAGCCAAGCTAGGTCAAACACTTTCCCTTGACAAAATTGGGAGGCTACTCAAGAACCCCACATAAATTAGATCTACAGAAGCTTAAGAACACAGATGGAGCGAAATTTACCAGTTTCTTTGACTCGCTAGCCTTGGTGAAGATATCGCTCCAGAGCTCGACGGTTTGGCATTCAGTCACCAGTCCTTCTTCCGCCATTCTTTTTTCCTTCTTCTTCCTCTGTCTGACCTTGGAATCTAATTGGAGAGCGCAAAGATATTCCCTTTGGCGTTTGTTCTACGAAGAACAATGATGATTGATGATCCACAAAATCGCTGGGAAATTGAATGCTTTGGCCTGACCAGGCCGACCCGATTATATAGTCAGCCTGGTGGATGTGTATTTACAAATTCGTACCCAGGGATAGATGTAAATTACGGGGTGTGCCACTTTTCGGGATCTGGTTCGAAGATTGGGGCTTTGGACACGACGCCAGGGAGACGCGCCGAATACGCGGGTGATGTATTGCAATGCGTCACGGGGCAGACACGCGCCACCAAGCCGCGGGAATCTGGTGCGCCGGCGGGAATGAGAGTGGTGCCACATTCAGTGCCAGCGCGCGAGTGTGAAGTGTGAACGCCGGCATATTTAGGTACGGTGCCGGTGGGCTTTCTTGGATTTGCGCGTGTGGATATCACGACAGCTGCGAAGAGTTTGGCCGTGAGGCTGGATCTGGGCCTTTGGTGGATCAAATAGCAAAGGTTATGACCCGTTCAAGCTGGATTCCCGCTGACTCAGGCCCAGGCCCCAGAGATAATTTGTAACTTTAACTCTGCTAAATTGCAAGTTAGCATGTTTGGTCACTGGAATTACTAAAATATTTCACGTTTGTTACTAATATTATTTTATTTTATCGGTAGTCACTCAAATTAGTCACTATTCCAAATTCTTTCCTTTGACGAAGTTTTCAGCCACTCAATGATCTGGGCAAATAAGATGTATATAGAAGGTTAAAAACACAGATGGAGCTACATTTAGCGAAGTGATCCTTTCAGACCTTGTCCTTCCTCTGCCATTGTTTCTTCTTCATCATCTTCTTCATATTAGAGCTTCCAACATGACCGGAGAGCAGCCCACAAGAGTCTGGTTGACAATGTTATAAAATAGTCGATTTCAATAATTCGAGTTGTTGAATGAATGTTAATTATGACCAATGTAAGAGTGATGATTACAGAGAGTCCAAACATAAAAACCGATAGGACAAAACAGGACAACTTATTTGGTCACGTGTTTATGACAGAATCCTCTGGAAGACTATAACTACTAAAGTTGGTGTAGGTGAGTAAATGTGTATTGTCTTTGTGTTTGTGAGACGTAGAGGTGGCAATTCTTAATCCAATCCACCAATCCATTAAAAATATCCACCTAATCCAATCCATTTAATCCAAATCCAATTGGATTGGTAGATTCATGGATCAATCCATGGATCCAAATGGCAAATTACGATTTGGTACCTATACTTTTTATATTTTACATTTTGGTACCTAAAATTTAATTTTTTATACGAAAATCTTATTGGAAAATTACGTTTTGGTACCTAAAATTTTTCATTACGACATTTTAGTACCTAAACTTTTCACATTTTACATATTGGTCCAAGATTAAGGATGTCATTTGGATTCATGGATAATCCACCAATCCACTTGATCCAATCCATGAATCCACCAATCCATTTGATCCATGAATCCACCAATCCAATCCACAAATCCATGGATCGATCCATTTGCCACCTCTAGTGAGACGAGAACATCTCTAAGTACAGACTACAAAGTGAACTGGGGGAGCACTATAATGTGCGGTGTCTAATGAACAAGCTAAACGAAATCCAAATAACAACGAAAAGACAAGACACCCTATTTAGGTGGTAGTTCCAATTACTGATCTTATTCAGTTTAATTCGACTCTTGTTCTCGTTACCTTTATCACCGTACATCCTTTGTGTGACAGGACCAAAACGCGATCATTAAGGTCCTCAATATGACCTTCTAATACGAATCATTGGATGAAACATGGGCCAAATAGGTATAGGATCAAACACCAACCGCTCTAACATTATGTTGCTCAAATTTTAAAAGTGGTGTTTAGAGCATATATGATTATATGGTACAAAACTAAACAATGATGTTTTATGATTATATGGTACAAAATTAGCTAAGGTTTTTTTTTTTGGTACTGATATTGAAAAAATTGAAGATGACAACATCTACCACTCTAGATTTGTAACTTGTGACCTGGACTCGAACCATTCAAAAAATCCTACGGGTGGATTATCGAGCGAGCTGCCAAAGTTTTATAATGGGCTGGGCCTCTGACAAAAATATGGCTGGACCTAGCCATAGACGAATCAATTGCAAAGCCCAAGGCCATCCTCCGCAATTATTAACGATCGTTGGGAGTTTTAATTAAATTCTATTTAAACGCTCGCTGTTTGAGATTAATTTCCCAATTATTATAGCGAGGAGCAAATTTGCCAAGTGAGACCGCTCGTAATTTAACATTTATCACAACTCCCACGTGGAAAATTACAAACCACACCCCAAAATGTTCGCTACCCCACCACTTGGTCCCTGTCTCTCATATTATCCACATCTTCCTCTCCGCTCCTCCACAAATCTCAAAACCAACCCACTCACCGCCAAAAGAGATTTGAGAGAATCTCTCCGCCGTCGGCGAAGCCACAACAACGGCGGCGCTTCTCCATCTTCAATCTGTCTAATTAGCCGCCGAATCCGATTCCTCCACTTCATTCCTTTCCTAAAATGGCTCTACTCCAGCTCATTTCCACTCACCAACCATGCTTAAACCTCAACTCCGCCGCCGTCACCGCTTCCCTTTGCCCTAATTCCAATTTCCCTTCCAATTCGCCTCCGTTCCTCCACTTCTGCAACAACCAGCGGCGCCGGGGGAGGGCGAATTCGTTGAGATGCTCATCCTCCTCGTCCTCCTCCGAGAAGAGCCACACGAGCCAGCCGAGACCCGACGACGTCGTCGAGCTGCCGCTCTTCCCTCTCCCACTGGTTCTGTTCCCCGGTGCGATTCTGCCTCTCCAGATCTTCGAGTTCCGCTACCGCATCATGATGCACACGCTGCTCGAGTCCGACCTCCGATTCGGCGTCATCTACTCCGACCCCGCCACCGGCACGGCGGAGGTCGGTTGCGTCGGCGAAATCGTGAAGCACGAGCGCCTCGCCGACGACCGGTTCTTCCTCATCTGCAAAGGCCAGGAGAGATTCCGCGTCGCCAAGGTGGTCCGCACGAAGCCGTACCTGGTCGCCGGCGTGCGGTGGCTGGAGGACCGCCCGTCCGGCGATGAGGACGTCGAGGCTCTGGCCTCGGAGGTGGAGGCGTACATGAAGGACGTGATTCGGCTCTCCAATCGGCTCAACGGGAAGCCGGAGAAGAAGGAGGCGCAGGACTTGCGGCGGAATTTGTTCCCGACCCCGTTCTCGTTCTTCGTCGGGAGCACGTTTGAAGGGGCGCCGAGGGAGCAGCAGGCGCTGCTGGAGTTGGAAGACACGGCGGCGAGGTTGAAGCGGGAGAAGGAGACTTTGAGGAATACCCTAAATTACTTGACCGCCGCTTCTGCAGTAAAAGATGTGTTTCCTTCGGCCTGAAATCCAGATTGCTCGAGGAGGAAATGCTCTTATATGGGATTCGAATTGCAGGTATACAGGGGCAACAATTGTGTAACCCAAAAGGTGAAATTTTGGCCGCCGTTCTTAGTGTGATAGATGTCGCAATTGTTGCACACTGTTTATAGACTGGATAAGTTTGCACATAAATGAAGAAAAAGCTTAGCTTCAAACTCCATTATTAGTACTCTGTGTGCTCTTGCTTCCTGGTGGCTTGAATCTGCTTGTATTTTGGTGAGGGGGATGAAGAAAGATGAACTGGGTTCTGGTTAAATTTTGAAGCTTGGTTCTATCTGATACTCTGAATATGGCGCATGATCCGTGTGTTGTTCTCATCTCCTAACATTTGTTACTCGAGCTTCTCAGCAGAGTTACAGTTTGCAAGAAATAAAAACATAAACTCTAAAAGCTTCTCTATCCATACCAATAAAACAAGCAGCAGCAGTGTTTTTGGTTTGCCCTCCATCTGATGATGTGCAGCAGCATCAATATTGAGCTTTCCATCAATCACGAACATGCTAAATTCTAGCTCAATCCTCAGTCCAACTCTTGGCCATTACCTGATCACTTTGTTTGCACACATACCAGCTTGCAATCAGCTAACCAAACTGCAGATACTAATGGTGCAATGTCCTCCCGAATATTGTTTTCAATCTTCACGATCACGAATCTGATATCTTTACCCATTGTTCTTGAATTGAGCTTTCAGATCTCTTGCCATCAAAACGCCCAAGAAGAAGACATAGACAAGTCTTGAAAGACATCCTAGCCTCAACTTGGTATTCCTCATATTACAGCATTAGCTCATCCCATTGTTGTGGCAATCTACCCTTCTACCATTTAGCTCCTTCAGCAGCACCAAACATCTGCAATGTTACTGTTCTGCCGAGAGTTGATTGCATCTGCTCTGTGTACTATCCAACACCATGTCAATGTCATCACTGGTGCACTTCTTCCATTCTTCTATTAGATTCCTGAGGTGGCAGTAGTCTTGATTTCAGCATGGCAATCCATTCATCAGCCATTACGTGATCCACTTTGCCCACGTAAACAAGCCAGTTAAACAAAGTCTGCTCCCTCTTCGTTTCAAATTCTGTTATTTGTATTCTAAACAATCTACTCATTTAAACAAATCACCATTTCAATGGAGTCTAAAGGATTCGTATCAGTCTCATTTACCGTAAAGGATTCGAGTTCATCTGAACTCGATTTTTTACAGAACAATGATGAGCTCAGCTGCCAATTACAAGAGGATACTCGCCTGAAAGTATGTAGGTACTCTCACTACAATGAGAAAGTGGGATTCCAGTGTCTTAACTACTACTTCTACAACCCTATAACAGCAACTCGTAGAGAAAAAACCACTCTCAGAAGCCAGAACCTACTCTACATGATCCAATCTGCAACCAAGCTGCTCCAACTCCCAACCTTGGACGACCTTCTCGCATCAACAACCTGCATTATCGTGCCATTCCTCATCGTCTGCACCCACAGAAAGGTAAAAGGATCAGAGTCTAAAAATCTGCTTATAGAAAGTAATAAACACAGTTCCTTTCTCCGTTTCGATGTCTATTAGTGTTACTCACCTTAAGGCATAGGTTTTTAGTAGTGTCACACACTGGATAGTCCTGAGGGCAGCAGTGAACCTTGTCCTGACAACAGACAGCTGAATTCAACTCGCAGCACTTCCACCGGAAACATATCCCCAGAAACCGGAACGAGCAGCAGCAAGTCTCCCCTGCTCCGCAGCTCGTAAAGATGTCACATTTCGTAGGTCCTGGGGATGGCGGTGCAGGTGGGTTCGGTCCATTCTTCACGGGATAAGAAGCCAGCATGTTGATCCCACACACCCCTCGGGAATCCCCGGTGTTTCGTGCCATGTAGATGTACCCTTTCATTCCCCATTGCGTCCCCCACGAGTTCTTGGCTATCCAATAGTCCACCCCATTCTCCGAACCATACCCTACAATGAGTATAGCATGATCCAGAGAAGTCGAACACGGGCCAGTAAAGATCCCCTTGGAGTAGAGCTGGAACGCTCGGTCGCTGCCACAGACACCAACGCTGACCGGCTGTTTCGCAACAGCACTCTTCAGAGCTAGCTCGTCGCCTGGCGTTACGTCGATGTAGTCGTCGATCGTCACAAACCGCCGGTTCAGCTTCTGCTTGTTGCAGGTTCTGTCTTTGCCAAGGTATGGGTAGTCCTGCTCGGTGTCGATTCCCTTGTTGTTGATCACGAATTGGAATGCATAGTCCATCAGGCCGCCCTCGCAGCCGCTGTTGTAGGATTTGTCGCAGTCGATTAGCTCTTGCTCGGAGAGACTAGTGAGTGATCCCGTTACTATCTTGTTAATGCCTTCCATGGCTCCTGTGGCCGAGAATGACCAACAAGCACCTAGAAACAAAAACAAACAGAGCTTTTTTCAGTTTAAATGAAGCTTAAAGAGGAAATTCTCGTCAAACCTGCTGATGTCTGGTAATGGCAAGAACATGAAATATTCAAAGCAGTCGATTAAATCCTACTACCAAACTACTAGCCAAAAAGGGGAAACAATCAGAGAAGCTAAAACCCCCCCAATTATTTGTCAACAGTGACTCACCGCAGCTGCCTTGATCCTTAACATTGGTGACTGCGCCTTGCTGCCTCCAATCCACCGCCGACGGAACATCGCCGACGAGCCGGCCCACTTTCCGGCGGTTCACCCGATCGAAGGCAGAGGAAGCAGAAAGGCCCAATCGGGAAGTTTTAAACTCTTCGTGGGTGAGATCGGCGAAGGCATTGAGATCGAGGGAGTAAAGGGTACTACCATTATTCCCAATCTCGTTATTATGCTTCTTGACGAATTCATGGTTATCCGCGAACACTTGTCTCCTGTACGACTTCTCTTCTTCGGAGCGATACGACTTGTCGTGCTCCCTGCACCAGGCCTCGAAGAGGGAAGAAATTTCTGAAGAAGAAGAAGAAGAAGGGAGGAGGTGGGAGGAGAAAAGGAGCAGGGGAAGAAGGAACCCAGAAAGGGGATTCATGTCTATGGAGCTGGGAAAGGGGAAAGTTTTGATCTTTCTGGCCTTTTGGGTAGTGGGTTCTGTTCCCTTTTCTGGATTGGATGCGAGAAACTTGGGTTATAGACTGATGACCGAGCTAAAAGTGGCTAATTATGGGAGGACAGATGGTTCTTCTTGGTCTCCCTTTAATGAAAAGGTGTCACTTTGTGCTAATTCAAACTACTCTGGGAAAACTTTTACATGTTGGACGAAGCTCCACGTTGTTTTGCAGCGAGCTGCCCGTTCAAAACTGGAACCGGGAGTCATCATCATCATCAATCATCAAATGGAGACTTCCAGTAGGTTTCGTATGATTTTTAAGGCAAATGGGAAGCAGTTTGATCCTAGTAATTCGCTTAATCGAACGATTATGGGCTTTGTAAGGACGGATTGGCGGGCCTCTGTGAGAATGGAAGCATGGCTTTGGTGGATCATACTTTTTGGGCTTTACTGTACCTTGGGCTAAGAACCCAAGTACAAGTGAACGACACGTGAGGAAATGAGTAAATGACAGAAAAGGGGCGCGTGACGGCGTGAGGGTCTGAGGGAGTAGCAGTCTAGCAGAGGTTGCGTCCGTCACGGTCACGGCGGAAGCGGCGGAAGAAGAGGGAGACGGGAAGAAGTAGAGCAAGTCAGCACTGCAGTAGTGTAATCACTACAGTCCACGAGCGCAGTGGAGATATCAGTAGCTAGAAATTAGCAAGGCAGCAGTCTCTCTATAGGAGATTTCGGGAGAATCGAGCAGTTCCCCTGACGACCCAAATCTCTAATACCTAACTTATAGCGACGGAGTCCACCCTCGCACCTAACTCCTCGCCCTGTCTCGCTTCCGCAGACACGCCATTCATTCATCGCTTAGCTCATCCCTTAGAAAAATTCACCCCCAGACACCGAAATTGTCCATTGTTCTCGATTTCTTTCCATTTTTGTTTCTGGGTTTTGACAAATTTGCCAACCTGGGTCCGCCGAGCTCCTCTTCATCTCCCTCAGCCATGGACGTTGATCCTCCTAACTACGACAACGTTGTGAGAATCTCTCTCTCTCTCTGTCTCTATTCCATTTAGGATACATTCCAGCAGTTGACCCTCTCGGGATTCATTCATTCGAACGAGAATCCTATTTGGATTGTATTATCAATTATGGGGTTTCTGTGTTTTTTTGGATGTTGGGGGTTTGTATATGGAGTGCAGAATGAATTCGGGGCAACCTTTGTCTATGGAATGTGATTTTGAGCCCAAAAGTTGCTAGCTTTGGTCTCGAATGCCATTGAGGTTTCTTTCCCTAGCTCTTCTGATTTTGGGGCATTGAGATTATTCCTTTCAACCATATTCCTTTGGCCCTTGGATTTCTTGTTTTGAAAATGGTGCTGGGTGTTTCTTGACCCTTGAGGGCTTCCATTGAATGTTGGGTTAATGTCCTTATGCTTCTCGGTTTTTTTTTTTTTACAGACAATCAATGACAGTGATGTCCACAGTATTGTTCTTTCGTATTTGGTCCACAATTGCTACAGAGAAACGGTGGAGTCATTTGCTGCTGGCACGGGGATGAATCAACCCGCCGATTATCTTGAAGACATAGAGAAACGGAAAAGTATGTTGCAATAGTTGATTTGGTTATAGTTTACTTTAGATTCCTTTTCCTTGGTTGGATACTGAGGTTGCTGCTTATATGACCGGTCAGTAGTTTCATATGTGCTTGTTATATGGATACAAGGTGTACATTTCCATCGTATGCATTCATAGCTACCATCTTCCTTATTGTGCAATCTGCCTAGTGATATGCAGATGTGGAATCTATTATAAGTAGTTTTCCACAACCATTTATTCGAGATGTTGCCAAATTTGCAGAAATTTTCCAGTGTGCTTTAGAGGGAAATGCCCTCAAGGCGATCGAACTGACTGAACAGCTGGCACCCGATCTACTAGAGAGCAACAAGGACTTGCATTTTGACCTCTTGAGCCTTCATTTCGTCGAGCTTGTCCGCTCAAAGAAGTGGTGAGTGAATGAATAGTACTATATGGAAATCCAGTGTCTCCAAAATCAGAAGTTAGTACCTAATATGTTACTTACTTGTATTGGTAAAGCAATGAAGCCCTGGAATTTGCTCAGACCAAGCTGACTCCATTTGGGAAGGTGCAGAAGTACGTTGAAAAGCTTGAAGTACGTTCCTCTTTCCCATCTGAAGAATCAAGATTAAGTTTTTCAATTTTGGTACCAAGTATAAATTGCTCTTGTTATGTGGCAGGACTTCATGGCGCTACTTGCATATGAGGAGCCAGAGAAGTCTCCAATGTTTCATCTTCTCAGCTTGGAGCACCGTCAGCAAGTTGTCGACAGTTTGAACCGAGCTATTCTTGGTTTGTTCTGTTAGCTCGCTTCATCTATTTGCTTTTCCATATCAACATATTTCTCTTAGTTGCTTAATTCATGTGTGGTGAATTAATAATTCAGCACAGGCAAAGCTTCCAAGCCACACTGCAATGGAGAGGTTGATACAACAGACAACAGTAGTCAGGCAACTGCTGAATCAAGATCACGCCAAGGTAAAGTTTAGGACTCATCCCTCCCTCTCTAGTCTCTTTTTTTCTACTATAGCACAAACTTGCAATATCATTATGGCTCATGTCAAACCTCCACTTTGTAGGATGGGCATCCACCATTTGCTTTAAAGGACTTCCTCAACGGCTAAGCCTGTGTTATAAAGTGTTGGAATCATCGCGTTGAGATGTGACCACCGGTCTGTTAGCATGCTACTGCCACCAAATTGGTTTTGGTTTTTGGGTATATATATAGACTATAGTCATTAGTCAGTCACCACCACGGTCTCACACGTCAGTGACAAGTTGCTCGGACAACTAGTTACGTTCTGCCGGAACAGACACTACTCAGTCTGGATTCAGCTTGACATACCTCTGTTTGATACTGGTTGATTGTTTAGTGAGATCAAAGACGGAAGCTTCAATCAGTCTTAGATGACTGGCATTTCGCATTTCTGTAGCTTGGAAATGAGTTTTCTTTTTTCCTTGGCTTGTAAGATTCACTGTGGCAATGAAATTGCGAGAGGCTTTTCTGCAGTTTGTAAATTCTTAAGTATAAAGCTCTGTTTGGTAACCAGTTGATTTGATTTTGTTTAGCAACGCTCTATCCTCAAATGACAATTGACAGGAAGGAAATTCAGGGCTCAAGATAGGGTGAGTAACCTTAGGGCAAGTAACAATGAGTAACCAAATATGGACATTTCTTTTAAGTGGCTGCAGACCTAAAGGTAGAGAATTAAATGAATTTATTTTCCCTAGTTTTCTTAATTGAATCATATCTTCTTCATTCTAACTCGGATTTCAATTTTTTTTGCACAGATGGAACGAGTTCGTTTTGCTCTACAAAATGATATTCATTTTCAATATTTTTTGAGAATTTTTTTTTCATCCCTCTCGTTACCAACTCCATACCATATGGTATCTCCTTCGTTGTTTAGTCATTTTCGAAAATTTTTGCACAAAAGGAATGATTTAATCATGATCTATTGGATTTCAAAATTTTCTGGAGAAAAAAATTCCATACCTCTCGTTACCAACTTCATACCATACTATACCACCCTGGTATGAGGTAGTATTTTTCATACTATATGGTATGCTGTATTGACTGGTAATAACTGACAATTTTTTTTTGTTCCAAAAAATATTGAGGTGGTATTTTTCATATCATATGGTATGCTGTTATTTAATACCAGTCAGTACCATATGGTATTGACTATACCATATGGTATTGACTGGTAATAACTGGCAATTTTTTTTCGTTCCAAAAAATATCAAAGTGAATATAATTTTGAAGAGCACAATTAATCTGATCTAACTGTGCGAAAAAAAAATTAAATTCCGAGTTAAAACGAGTGAGAAATCGTCCGTTAAAAATTAAGGGAAATAAAATTAATAATTTTTCCAGCAGAGAGTAGGAGGCGCTAATGTGACAGATTCTTATTGGGTTATGCATGAGATTACTCACCACAAGGTTACTCACCCGATCTGCTCCAAAATGCAGAGTTTGGCATTTAGGCTTAAAAGCTCTTAGTTCATGGGCTTGAAGTCCGATAGTTTGTCGGGCTTCGTTAAGAGGTAAACCCGTTCCATATATTAAACGTCCAAAACGATCCACCCGCCATATTTTCTGTTGCCAGGAAACCCGCCTAAACCCAACGAACTCCCTCCGCAGTTCTCTACAGATAATGCTCTCCCTATCTACTCTCCCGCCATCTTCCTTTCTCCGGCCTCACGGCGGCGACCGGAGGCTATTCCAGCGTCTACATTATCCAGAAAGGTTTTAATCTTTTTTTCTGTTCCACTATCCGTCTTCGTCTGCGTTTAAGTCTTCTTTTCCTCCCTTCTCAAAGTTGCAGGCTACGTGTTTGTAGAAATGCCGCAGTGAAAACCTGAGCCCTGCTGCTCTTCTTCCTTCGCAGGTGCAATTTCGAAAAGTTAGGATCTTACAAGATCGAGTGCAAGCTCGCAAAATTGAAGCAGGCTCCTGGGGGCACGAACCCTGATTCCCTGATAAAGGAGCCTCACAAGTACTTCGATCAGGTGATCATAACTGTTCGTTCTGGCGATGGAGGCCATGGGGCTATCCTCAAGATGCCTAACCAGAGTCCTGCCAAGCCTGTTGGGAAGTTAGAGAAGGAAAAGGCGAGGATAAAGGGCTCGATCAAAAGGGATTTTGATGGGTCGCTTGTTCTGCCTGTTGGTGGGCATGGAGGGGATATTGTTGTTTATGCAGACGAGGGGAGAGATACGCTGTTGGAGTTGCATAAAAAGGGGCGGTTCAGTGCCAAAAGAGGTGGAAATGTGGATTCCACGGGCGTCTTGACTCCCCAGTTGCGCAATGGGTTTGCTTCCCCTAGTATGCGTATCCCCGTACCACTAGGTTTGTAGGCTGCCCGCTGTCGAATATCTATGCATTGCATGTCCTTCCACAAATATGTTGAACTTGTCTTACTTTGTTGTGTTGCATTACAGGTACTGTTGTGAAGCAAAAAAGAGGCAAGTTGTTGGCTGATTTAACGCAACCTGGTCAGGAAATACTCGTTGCTAGAGGTGGACAAGGAGGGGTAAGTCGTGCACAAATCTTTGGTAATTATGATATATGGTCCAAGATAGTAACTTGAATGCTACTGTATTTTGCTTGAATTTCTGTAATATTATACTGTTTCTTGGTTTTTTGTCAGATTAGCTTGCTGGACGCGCCAGAACATAAGAAGAAAAAGCTTATGAGTCTAACCAGTAACGTGCTGAGAGATGATAGTGACAAGGTAAAGTTAATCATCGCCTCATGATTCTATGATACGGTTTGGCTAGTTTAAGTTGGTCAACAATTCCTCTTGACTGTTTTTTTCAATAACTCATTGAAGGTGTTAACTCATGGGCAGCCTGGGGAGGAAGTTAGTTTGGAGTTAATTCTACGAGTTGTAGCTGATGTTGGTTTAGTTGTAAGTGTTGCCTAGTTTAAAGTCTCTGCCTTTTCATTTTACACATATAGGATTGGTTTGACTTGAAAAGTTTACTCTTGCAGGGCCTCCCAAATGCTGGGAAATCGACACTTTTGTCCGCTATTACACTTGCAAAACCTGACATCGCTGATTACCCTTTTACAACCTTGATGCCAAACCTTGGCCGTCTTGATGGTGATCCAGCTTTGGGGCCTGAGATGTATTCATCCGCAGCAACATTGGCAGATTTGCCTGGTCTTATAGAGGGTGCTCATTTGGGCAAGGTATTGATACTTGAGCTGCTAATCCACCAATCACTTCCAGTCTTCTCGTGACCAAAATTTTTGACTCTCCCTTACTACTCAGGGTCTTGGACGAAATTTTCTAAGACACCTGAGGAGGACTCGGGTGCTCGTTCATGTTGTTGATGCAGCTGCAGAGGACCCTGTGAATGACTATAGAACTGTGAGAGAAGTAAGGCATCTTGGGAAATCTATTGATTCCAATTCTGCGGTTCCCCTCTTGATATATCGTCCGATAATGTTGCAGGAGTTAAGGATGTACAATCCCGAGTACCTAAGAAGACCTTATCTGGTGGTGCTCAATAAGATTGATCTTCCTCAGGTCTGTTGATTCCCTTCCCTCCTCCAAATATCTCAATGCTCAGCTGTGTGAGTGTCTGACATACATCTATCTACATGGTTTTCCCCGCAACACTCGATTTCCTTTCTCCAGGCAAATGAGAGGCTTCAATCCTTGACTGAAGAGATATCGAGAATAGGTACCGATGTGTTAGCAATGAACCCAGAAGTGGTGCCTGAGGCAAGTGATGAATTGGTTCCTCGTACTTCTGATGAAGAAGAGGAAAAAGATTTGGAGGACTATGCTCGCCCCGTCGCTGTTGTGGGAGTCAGTGTGCTGTAAGTTTGCTCGATGTTTCATATCCTTTTTTCTCTTGAACAGGATTTCTAAGGTTTTAGCTCCAATCATCATATGTTTGTTCCTTGGCTTGTTGTTTCCAGGAAAGGGGTCAGGGTAAAGGAGATGTTGAAGCAGATTCGAGCGGCCTTACGACAGTGCAGAGATTCTGAATGAACCCTTAATTTGGGATACAAAACCACGAGATTGAACGTGTAGTGAGATAATCCCCTTCTAAGCAATAGCTCAAAACAAATATGTTGTATCAAATGTACATATTTGCCAAGTCATGCAATAAACCTTTGTGTTGTATTAAGTGTCAGAAACCTTCACTATAGCATTTGAACTCCATATTAAGCGTCATGTTAGCACGGTAGGCGATGTGGTTTCTCTCACTTTCTTATCTTTAAACTTTCGATCATTAATGGTTAATATTGTCTCTTATTTAGCGAAACTTTAGGAGCGGTGGAAACCCTATGGTTTTTCCGGGTCAATTTGCGGTGATTTTTATCGATTGTTGAAAGGTTTTCCGATTACTTTTCGGAAAAGAAGTCCTTTTCGATCAAGTTTTTGCGTTGAGATCTAGGTGGAGACCATCTATTCAAATCACGGGGACCATAAGCATCTTTGATTGAATCGTTTTTTTATGGAAGCGGATTGTACAAGTGGAAAACCCTCGCTCAAGAAACCTTTAGGTTTTCGGAGCCGCAACACTGTGTGAGAAGTTTTTGACCTACCCTGTGCGAGGAAGCTACGTTATTGTCACATAATGGCAGCGGTAGAAGACGTTTTGAAGGATACGGCTAGTAAGGAACCCCAGGCCACCCTGGAGTTAGAAACACAATTGAACCACATCACGTTGGATGACGAAGATGAAGAACCATTGGAGGTAGATGACTCTGATGTAGACGTGCTTCGCATGGAGGCAGTTCGTCGTTTGGGACTGATTGGACACCTCTTATATGAAAAAGAACCAAACATCAAGTCAATGAAGATAGCGTTAGCAAAAGCATGTAAGTTAAGAAAGGCTTTCCAGATTACAGAGCTGGGAGATATGTTGTTTGTTTTCCAGTTTCTAGGTATGGATGATAGGAATAAAGTTTGTTATGGGGGACCTTGGCACTATGAGAATTCCCTTATTGTGTTCAAGGCAAGCACAATGATTCAGAAACCAAATTGTGAGGATCTGCACTTGATCGATCTATGGATACGTGTTGAGGGCTTACCAGCGGAGCTACGAACACAAAAGATTGTTGAAAAGATTGTTACAAGATTTGGAGGTCTAGATTGGTTTGATAATGGAGTTGGAACAATGTGGGATGATTACATGTGATTAAGGGTTTATCTATCGATAAACAACCCCCTAAAGAAGAAGATTAAACTGAACATCTCAGGGGAACTGGTGGAATATCCAATTAAGTACGAGAAGCTACCCATGTTCTGCTATTCATGTGGGAAAATTGGGCATCATAAATTGAAGTGCAAGGTAAAGCCAAAACCAGCGTTAGATCCTTTTGGATATGAGTTAAGGGTGGCAACCCCGGGGCAAAAAAATTGGCTCTCATATACAGCCAAGAAAGAGGATGCAGAAGTGTGGGACGCTTTGAAACAAAAATTTGAAATGGAGAGCATTGGCTCAAACTCTGATCACGATATGGTCCTAGAACATGAGGACACTAAACAGATGGAAGAGGATACACCAAACCAGAAGAGGGTTGCAGGGACGACACAGGTTCAGGAGGCTCCCGCAGTTGAACAGCCAAAGGAGCTTGCTGTGACTAAACAGGCACCCACTCAAGAAATTAAACAACAACGCAGAAGTATACTGGAGCCCTAAAGAAGTTTGTGATGGAAAGTGAGGAAGGAAAGAGGACTGGTAGGAGTACTGCCAGAGTTTGGAGAAGGCAGGAGCAAAGGTAGCCAAAACCATCTACGGGTGTCTAGCTAACCCCACATAAAAGACATGCAACATATCAAGAACAAGGGGAAGGAAAAGAGGGACACAAATCAGAGGCTGCAAAGAAGGCAAGAACACTAAATTTTCCTGGACTGGAAGGACAAGAGAATAGAAACCAAAACAACACATTGGATGGCGGTGTGGCGCGAAGCCTATTAAAGAGAAGGCTTGCCAGCTCAATGAGTAACTTGTGCTATAATTGTTGGGGTTTGGGGAGTCCCCTGGCAATTAAAAAGCTGGATCGTCTGATCCAAAGAGAAAACCCCAAAGTGATCTTTCTTATGGAAACCAAGAAGAAGGAAAATGAACGAGAGGAGGTTGTTAATAAGTTTCAAGGTTATAAGGGTTTTGGTGTGGGTTCGGAAAGAAGAGCAGGAGGTTTGATAGTACTATGGCATGAAGATATTCAGTTGAAAATCAAGGGGTGTTCAGCAAATTACATAAACATGAAGATTGAAGAAGATGGTAACATTTGGCGATGGACTGGAGTCTATGGTTGGCCTGAACAGAGGAAAAAGCACCTGACCTGGGATCTGCTCAGGTATTTAAAATCTCTAACCGATGTGCCATGGATGTGCTGTGGGAATTTCAATTTAATCAAACACTATGCGGAAAAGAAAGGTAAACAACCAGCGAATGGTTTCAAGATAGATGGTTTCAATAGAGCTCTTGAGGACTGTCAGTTAGAGGATTTAGGTTTCTATGGTAACCATATACGTGGGATAATAACCACAAAGATGAGACCTACTTAGAGAAAAGACTAGATAGAATGGTGGCCACAGAGTCATGGAGGAAACTATACCTTGAAGTTGGGGTGTATCATCTCAGATGTTGTGGTTCTGACCACAATCCCATCCTCTTGAAAACGAATGTGCTAGTGGAGGATGTGAAATGGGCCACTACTTCAAATTTGAAGCTTTCTGGCAGGATCATGAAGACGGTAAGCAGTTTATTAAGGAAGGCTGGGAAGCAGATAAATATGGCTCAACAATCGGAAGAATCAGAATCTGTTAAGAGAGGCTAAGGAGTTGGAGCAAACAGACCTTTGGCAGTATGAAAGCTCGAAGAATAAAGACAGAAAATGCTTGGAGAAGATTGACAAAATGAATAAAAATGAAGCAATCCTGGCACAAAGACGAGTTATTGAGAATGAGCTGGAAGAGATTTTGCTCCAGGAGGAATTGATCTGGAAACAACGATCCAGAAATGAATGGTTGAAACATGGGGATAAGAACACGAATTCTTCCATAGACGAGCTTCAAATAGGAGAGCTAAAAATATGATTAAAAAACTTAAGGATGAACATGGGAGGGTCTGTACAGGCCAGGAGGATGTAGCACGATGCATAGTGAATTTCTACAAGAAGCTATATACCTCGGATACAAGTTCTAGATCCAGAACAGTGGTAAATCCAGTACCACATAAGGTTACAATAGCTATGAATGAAGAGCTACTGAAACCCTTTCTGAGGGAGTAAATTTGGGCAGCTTTGAAGGCAATGGGACCGATGAAATCTCCAGGAGCTGATGGTATGCCTACACTCTTTTTTCAGAGCAACTGGAACATAATGGGAGAGGCAATCACTATTGAGCTACAAGGATACCTCGAAGCTGGTAGCTTCCCTCAGGAATTGAATCATACCCTTATAACTCTAATACTGAAGAATAAAAACCCCAAATTCAGTGGATTTTCGTTCCATTAGTCTATGCAAAGTACTTTACAAAATCATATCTAAGGTACTTGCTAATAGACTAAAAGGGGTGCTGGACGAGGTGATAGTCGCAAATCAGAGCGCTTTTGTGCCATGGAGGCTCATCACAGACAATGTCATGATAGCTTTCAAGTGTTTTCATTCAATGAAGACAAAAAACTTAGGAAATAAGGGTTTTATGGCTGGAAAACTAGATGTTACTAAAGCCTACGGTAGAGTAGAGTGGGATTTTTTGGAGGCCATCATGTTGAAATTGGGTGTAACATCCCGAAACTTTTTCCGAGCAAGATATTGTCCGCTTTGGGCCTCGACCCTCACAGTTTTCGACTTGGGGTGCAATTCAAGGTGACTTCCCATAAGGTCACCCATCCTTGTTGTACTCCACACTGAGCACGTTAAACTTCGGAGTTCTCACAAGAACTCCTCCATTACACCCCAAAACGTGTCTTGTCAGTTAAGGTCGGTTTCCTACTTATGAACCATGGATCTCTCTCGTGCTTTGTCGATGTAGGATTTGCCTAAGGTGTTACATACACCCCCTCTTGGGACTCAACGCCCTCGTTGAGGTTTGCCCCACCATCGTTCAAGAGGGACGCGGAGAGGCTCTGATATCACTTGTAACATCCCGAACCTTTTTCCGAGCAAGATATTGTCCGCTTTGGTCCTCGACCCTCACAGTTTTCGACTTGGGGTGCAATTCAAGGTGACTTCCCATAAGGTCACCCATCCTTGTTGTCTCCACACTGAGCACGTTTAACTTCAGAGTTCTCACAAGAACACCTCCATTACACCCCAAAACTCGTCTTGTCAGTTAAGGTCGGTTTCCTACTTAAGAACCATGGATCTCTCATGGGCTTTGTCGATGTAGGATTTGCCTAAGGTGTTACATTGGGTTTCGACCATAGATGGGTACAAATGATGATGGCCTGTGTCACCACTGTCTCTTTTTCCACTTTGGTGAATGGTCATCAAACGGAGATATTATATCTTAGCATAGGGCTAAGACAGGGGGACCCCATATCCCCCTATCTATTTCTGTTTGTGGTGGAAGGCCTGTCAGCCCTAATCACTAAAGCGGAGCGAGAGAAGCAGATTGAAGGAATAAGAGTCAAGAAGAATGCACCACAGATCTCCCATTTACTATTTGTTGATGACAATATTCTCTTCATGATGGCAATTAAGTCTGAATGTGAGAAAGTGAAAGCAATCCTCAGCTCATATGAAGCTGAATCAGGCCAGCAGGTCAACCTACACAAATCCGAGATGTCTTTCAGTCCTAATGTAAGGCAGGGGAGGAAAAGGGAGCTTGTTGATACTCTGAATATGAAAATAGTGGATTATCATCAAAAGTGCCTGGGAAGTTTGGCTATTTGGTTGATCGATTTCGAGCAAAAGTCAAAGCTTGGAAAGGGAAGTTACTATCTGTGGCAGGGAAGGAAGTCCTAATAAAATTTGTGGCTCAGGCTCAGATGACCTATGTCATATCAATTTTCCAAATTTCACTCAGTACCCTCAAAGAACCAAAAAGAGTCGTGACTCATTTTTGGTAGGGGCAGTAGTAGAGGAGGGAAAGACTCGCTGGTTAAACTGGAATGAGCTATGTAAATCCAAAAAGTTGGGTGGGATGGGGTTTAAAAACCTACAAAGCTTCAATCTAGGGGGAAGCAGCTATGGCGTATAATTCATAACCCTGACACTCTAGTGGCAAAAGTGCTAAAAGTCAAGTATTTTGAGGATAGAGATCCCCTGGATGTGGAAATTGGAAGGAACCCCAGCTGGGTTTGGCGCGGATTGATGGCAGCTAAGGATCTAGTTAAACAAGGTATGAGGTGGAGATTGGGGAATGAAAACAAAATCGATGTCTGGATCGATAAATGGGTGCCTTCTAGCACAACTCTAAGATTGACATCCCCAACAGCTCCTTGGAGAAGCACAACTTTAGTTGCTAAACTGATTGACCACGACTCCAGGAGCTGACATACAGATTTATTACAGAGGTTTTCTAACCCTATCGATCGTGTTAATACACAGAAAATTCCCATTCCACGACAATCTACTGAAGACAAGCTAATTTGGGGAGTGGAAAAGTCAGGGGAGTACACTGTTAAGTCGGCATACAGGCTTTGGGAAGACATGAATGTAGAGGAAGAAGGTGAATTCTATTCACCAGTAAACTAGAAGAAACTCTGGAACCTAAGGATCCCTCCAAAAGAGTCAAAAATTTTGCCTGACACTAATTGAGGAACATAATTCCTATAGAAGCACGTATCTTTGATCGATTGCAGAAGAGGAGTGAAGGTTACCCTTTCTGCAACCTAAGGGAAACACATGAACATATCTTTCGCGATTGTGGTTGGGTTCGAAGAGTATGGAGATCTACCCCTATGGGTTCATACATCGACAGAGGACATGATCTTACCTCGGAGAAGTGGTTTTGTGAGCTCCAAGAGATGGAATCTGAAGAAATGCTTGGAGCTTTCTTGGTGGCTCTATGGTATATCTGAGATTAACGAAACTGTCATTTATGGATCAAAAAGAAGTTAGAGGAATGGGAGATACTACCTAGAGCAAGCGATTGGTTACAAGATTACCTGGAGAAGCAATTGCAACACCAGTTGTTGGGGCGACATGAAGAACAACGATGGAAGCCACCGACGACGATTTCCGTGAAGATAATGTTGATGCGACATGTTTTGTGGATCGGGGAACGAGATGGGGAGTGGTAATTACAGATGGAGGAGGAAAGTTTATGTTTGATGGGGTTAGGAGATCAAGGATCCAGTGGAACCCAGAGGAGGCAGAAGCAATAGCCATTGATTTCGGCCTTGACCTGGCACACAAGTTTGCTTTACGGGAAATAGAGATGGAATCGGATTGTCAGGGAGTGATTCAACAGCTACAATGGGAGGAAGAAAGGGAGATAGAGATTGGGTTGGTCTGTGCGGAAATAAGGGCCAAGGCCCGGACACTGGACTGTGTGAAGTGGAGTTTCACGGGCCGAAATTAAAATAAACTTGCCCATCTTATGGCCCACGTAGACTGTAGTTGGGATGGTGAGGAGGTGTGGGTTGATAGCCCATCTCATTTTCTTGTACCTCTTCTTAGAGAGGATTGTGGTGGAAACTCTGATATTTCTTTTTAAATAAAGGCACAATACACTTCCATAGCCATTTCGTTCAAAACTTTAACGGTAAGCTGACTGGACAAACGTTTTATAGTTACGTGGCAGCTTTTCATCAAACCTACTGCCAGGTGGAAATGTTAAACTTTTTTTGTAATTACATGAGAAACAACATTTAAATAAAAAAGGAAATAAAAAAGTCCATCAGTCTTCTTCGTCTTCCTTTTCTCTTCCATCTACCCTCCCATAAACTTTGACCACTACTCAGCTGGTTCTTCGATCTACCACAAATTTTACTTTGGCGAGTGCACAGGAATTGGGGAAACAATACTAATTGGAACAAAAGTTCGATTACGAAGCCAGAACCCATTGATGAAGAAGCAAAAACAGAGAAATCCCTGTTGTTGCTCTTGCTGCGAAGAAATCCGACATTGTTGTGTGTAAAGAAACTGCCGGTTTTGGGACTCCCGCTCAAGACCTCGAAGGCGGATGCCGGAACTGTGACGAGTTCACCAGATCTGCGCATGCCGGAACTGCCGCCAGATTCAGTCTCCTCTTGCTCGGTTGTTTTTCGGATGAAATGGTGACAACTTCACAGATTCAACAATGTTGGAGAGAAACAGAGGCTCGAACCTGTTGATAGCGGCAGTAAATGGTCCTGCCGGCGATTAGGGCTCATCAACTTCTCGATCTAGGATTGTTGAAGAAGGAAGTCCGCAATTATCTTTCTCATCCAAAATTCCTTTCCCAACCATGACAACCGGTGAAGAGAGTGACAAAGGGAATTTGTTTAATTAAAATTTGAAGAGGGGTTTGAAGAATACGGTGGTTGTGCTGTGGTTTGGCTATGAGAAAAGGGAAGATCGAGTGGCTGTGGGGGGATCTGGTGAGCTTTTTGGAGGAAATTGTTGTGTAGAGAGGAAGAAGAAGCTTCTCCCTCTTGGATTGAAGTGGACGGCAGGGGAGGAAAGAGTGGAGGAAGGGGAAGGGTTTGGGCGACAAATGATTTTTTATTTTTGATTTTTTTTATCACTTTTGACTCATCTTTTGTATTTGTAAGTTAACTTTTTAATTGAAAATATGACGTGGCTATTTAAGTGGGAATAGTGAGTCTAGGTGGATAATAGGTGTCGTCCAGATGGCGGCCATGTAAGCACACCGTCCTCTAAACTAATAGAACATTTTCTGCCGTTAAACTATTTAGCGGAAATGTCTAAATTAGTCAAGCAAGTTTTAAAAGCGTGGCTATATTTGTGTACTTTTCAAAATGTGGCTATTATTGTCACAACACGTATAATTATTACTATGAAAGTGTATTTTGCCTTAAATAAATGAATACAGTTTCCTTAAAAAAAAAAAACTCTCGATCATTGATGTTGATCTTATCGATGTATTGAAATTTGGAATTTTTTTCAAATGGGTTCACCTGAATTATAACGATGTAATGATGGCATCAGATGAACTTTAGGGATAGTATGTTTGGTAATAACTGTCCGACAACTGAAGAAAACGTTTTCTTCTTCTGCGTCCGACATTGATTAATAGCGCTCCCGTTTCTGCCACATGCTGGTTTTCTCAGACACTGGATTGCCATTTGCCATATTCAGGGCAAGGAAGAAAGGTACGGAACGGAAGTCATAGTACCTTTGAACTCTTCCACTGTCGACCTAGCTAGCTCTTTCTCTGCCTGAATGTACGTAGCGGATAATTAATATATTCACATGCTTCATTGTACCTGGCCGTATCATACCCTGCAGAATAGTCTTTTGTTTTTGTTATCATCATCATCATCATGTGTCATACATACCCTCGTAGGTTGATACGCAAGACAGACAATATGCTACTCCAAACGGGCATGCATGCATGTCGCCAAGGACACTTGTTAACTGCATGTTTTGCATGCTGGCGGCAAAGTGTTGCGGTATATGATCCATGATTGAACCTCTCCCAATAATTCAAGTTATTGGGATCAATTGGTTCTCGACAGTACGTACGTATGTAGACTGAATATCGTCAATTGATTGTTGTCGCGGGAAAGCGTTTGAAAAGAAGCAAGGGTACGTCGGAGACGGAATATTTTATTGCCAAAACAGAATCTATGAACTAAATCATAGTCTGGTCTGAGAATTATTTCAGAGTCAAATTCGTTAGTACCCAAACATGCATGAATATAAGATATGATCGCAAAGTTTGCCACCTAATTATACAGTTGAGTTTGAGTGCTACGGAATTCCCCACGTGTATGAAAAAGGCGAAAACACATCCCCATGAAGTGAAAATTATTGAAGGCATGCTGCAGCCGTTGGTGGTGTGTATATAAGTTTTCCTGTTTTGTCTTTTGGTAACAATACATTCCCCCCTTTCTCGATCTCAGCCTTTTCTTTCTTATGGCCTTATCCTCCCACAACCCTCCCTTCACCCTAAATTCCTTTCGACCTCCAATCCCATTAGTTAATTAGCTAGTAATGACCCTTAATTATATTAGTCTACTTAATTAGCTTCTTCACAACCCACATGATCATCCTTTATATCTTATGCTTGCGTGCTTAATTATATCGGTCTTTCAACTCACATCATCAAAGGGACTAATTATTGTTGATCCCTAGTTAGTCTATTAAATCATATAGTGTTTTCTTTCTTATACAATAATCATATGTGATAAAAATCCATTGATGTTGTAATTGCATGCAATCCTGAAATTACTTTGTCATTCATGAGAGCCTATATTGAGAGAGACATGCTGATGGATCAATAAATGTAAATTCATCCTAGAGTATCATATAGGTTGAACTTCTGACGAAGATTTATATCGTCTTTAACCATCACCTATCAAAACAAGTAAAATACCTCATGACCATATTAAATAGTTTTGGTATCAAAAGGTTGGACTCGAGAATTAGCTTAGGCTCAACACAAGTTGAGTAGTATTTTTATTTGAATCAAGAGCACTTCTACTATGTTATATAACAATGGTGTTTTAATGTACGACTTGAAGTTGTACTACAACGTTAAATGGATAAGTTCAAATTGTACCATAAAGAAATTTGTACTTTTATGTTACGATACAATTTCACAACTTGAAGTTGTACTATCTAATAAAAGTACAAGTTCAATTTGTACCATAAAAGTATTTGTACAAAAAGTATAGTTACAATCTGAAGTTGTACCATAACGTTAAAGATACAATTTCAAACTGTACCATAGAGAAAAAACTTACCGCATCAATGATATATATAGCATCGTAATTAAAATCCTCTCCTTGAATCACACCCTAAACTTTTGCGAGCTCTAACTTGGACTTGCTAAGTAAGTGCTTAGCAAACACCAAATAGTTAAGTACGGCGCCGCCTTTAACTTCATCTTTCCTACATAGCCTCCTCGTTTTTACCCTAATGTCACTTGAAGATCGAGCTGTCTCGTTGGGACAAAACCCACCTGGCAAACCTGGGGATATTAGATTAGCAGAATATAATCCTTTCAGTACTTGTCGCCAAGTCTCCGCCCCCACAGCAGCCATCTGTACCCGCCACGTTTTCACTCTCCCCACCCTCTCCTTTGCGTTAGCTAGCCCTCTCCCCGCTCTTTTTCCAGGGCTTGTTTGGTTTAAGCCAAACGATGCCTTCCTTTGTTCCCCTTTTTACCCTCTTATCCTTCTCCATACCACTATTATAAATACGCAAAATCCAGCACCCTCCCTCCCCCAACAAACTCGTACAAAATCTTTCCCCATCAAAACCAGTCCTTATCAACACCTTTTCGTCCCCCCCTCCCTCTTTCCTAATGGCCACGTCATCATCCTCCACCATGGCCGGACCCGGGCCCGACGGCAGGAAGCAGCCACCGCAGCAGCCTCAAGCCCGGAAGCCGCCGGCCCAGGCCAGCTCGAGAAAAGGCTGCATGCGAGGGAAAGGCGGGCCGGAGAACGCCCTGTGCAGCTACAAGGGCGTCCGTCAGAGGACATGGGGCAAGTGGGTCGCCGAGATCCGCGAGCCCAACCGCGGCGCCCGCCTCTGGCTCGGCACCTTCGACACCTCCCACGAGGCCGCCATCGCCTACGACGCCGCGGCCCGCAAGCTCTACGGTCCCGAGGCCAAGCTCAACCTGCCCGAGCTGCTGTTGCAACAACAGCAACACCCTGTCAACAACGGCAGCAGCTCGGGCAGCTTCGGTCACGTCCTTGTTAGGGGTGTGGACCCTACACAGTCCCTGAAACCTGAACTCTGTTCAGCGGTTTCATCAGGGACTGTCCCACCATATATATGTGGTGGTGGTGGTTCCCCTTCTCTGTCATCTTCACCTTCTTTCTCCTCATCGTCCTCCTCCTCGAACAACGTGCCCACCACCATAGGCAACTTTGACCCGCCCTTTGAGGCGGCGGCGATGGGATACTCGAATTCGAGCGGGGACACGATGGTGGGGAGCGAGGGGAGCAATGATGGTTGTTATTACGATGTAGGGGGGAGCGAGTTCTGGTCGAATTTGCAGGTGAACTTGCCGTTGTTCGACGATTCGATATGGGAGGAGGCGGCGATGTCGTTGGATTTCCCGGTGGCGATGCAAGAACCGGCGGGGGTGTTTGCCGGAGGGGTGATGGAAGGGTGGGATGCGGCGGCGGCCAGCACAACAACGACTCCATGGTGCATGTAAATTGTAAATGAATTAATTCGACCATATCATGCACTTGGAACCAATCAAAACAAAAGACATCATGATCCATTAAACAGGTTTAATGATTGTCTGATTTTATGGAATAGTGTATAAATTTGTATATATACCAGCAGAGAGTTTGCAAATAAATAGCATAAAAATAGGCAGAGCTAGTAGAAGTTGTATGTACTGTACTGTACGAGGAAAGCCCACCATCCTATGATTTGGTTTGGTGGCTATTTCTTCTCAATCTGTCCCTCTCTGTGTATTCAGTGTAAATATCCTATGAGACATAGTCTATAGTTGTTGTAATGATAAAAATCACGTGTGCTTGATCAGCCCCACGTGCTTAATATTGGACTGGTGTTGGCTGATGTAGACAATGTAACTATGGTTTGTCCAGTTCTGGTGCTGAGCTTAATTGGAACTAACGAAAGAGAGATCGATCCTCAATCACCTATCATGCACGTGAAGATTTGTATAACTCTTTTCATTTATGTGGATTGATTATAAGCTATTGAACCAAACCCACAACAAGAGTTCCTAACTTTGAAGTGGAACATTCGATCCCAACAACTCGGATTATACATATTCCCAAAGGTGGCTCGAAACACACCTCTTCAAAATCGCGGCAGCCTGCGACGACTCAGCCAAGGGCTGCAGCCAGTGCGTGTCTGTTGAGCAACCACTAGGAATCGGCTTCGACAGCATAACCATCTTGATTCCGATGCCAAATCGAAATAGGCGTGTGTTCTCGGAAGGCTGAGTAGGCTGGCTGAGGCATCATGCTTTCAAGAGCAAAAAAAAAAAAAAAAAGAACCCATGAGCCCTGATATGGTATATGCACCCAGAGGCCAGAGGAGCAGAGTGTTACTCTGTTGTAAGCAATCCTTCAAGATTCCCAAAATCTCCTATGGTGATGCAGACCGGACGGATTGATCCTCAACCGGAGTGCAATCGTAATGTTTGATACTCAATCCTGGGGATGAAGACAACATAAGAGCATTATCATCCCTAGTTACATGGTCTTTGTTACAGTTGGACTGCAGAGGAGGGGGGACATGAAAGATGCGACTCATGAGTATGATTGATCTGATCCGGTCCAAAATTGAACCCGAATCAGCATAAAAATATACAAGGAAAACGCGTTTCCTTTCTCGTCAATTAATCCAGATAACTAAACAGACAGAGTCTGAACTGAATCGCTGCACGCCCATTGTGTCAAACCTACCAATGCATCATCCATTTAAGGTGTTCATATTGAAGCTACGTCTGTTTCTGGAAAGCATGACATCTATCCAAAACACAAGGACACACCATTTAAGGAAAAAAGGACAGTGTGACAACTTCTTACATTGAAACGAACTACACATACTCTTCTTCCAACCACAACCACAAACTTCTCAGCTTAGTCTGCAGTCAAATGCAGAAGACGCGTCGAAAGGGAAACATGACACCGCACATAAAACAAATTCAGCGCGAAACAAAAGCATCCATGCGATGCGACACTGGATGCAAACAAATTAGGAAAGATGCAAGAAAGGGTGAATGTGTACTCACAGATTGTTCGCAAGCATGAACATGTCCGGCAAAGACAGCATCAAACCTGTATTGTACAAACCATTCCTCGTACATCACTCGCGTGGTTTCCCCTTCGATATAGTGGTGCCCATAGCTATGATAGAATGGACTGTGCATGATTACTATGAGCCACGGTGCCTCCGTCCTGTTCACTTTTGGCAGCTCCTCTACTAGCCACTTGTATTGAGGAGTGCACTTCCCTGCAAAAGAGGAATTTTACTCAAATTCGCATATAATCTTCCATCCTTGGATTTGCAAAATTAAGATATAGAGATGGAAACAAAGATTAAAATCAAAATTAAACCCTCTAACTCAATATTAGTGCATAAGGTCAGATATATGATGCTGCAGTTACCATAAGCAGAGTAGCTGGAGAGGACAATAATGTAAGCAGAAGCCCTCTTAACATAGTACCCTAGCGGAGATGTACTGCCTGATGCTTTATATAGGACACGATAACGGTGTAAGGCTTGAAGGGTTTAGTTTCGCCCTGCAATTACACACCAAACAACCATTTTGGTCATCTATCTAGTACACAAAATGTGTGGCTGAATATTAAGAGCAAGATGAGAGGGAGGTTATACATACCAATCTCTAGGTAATTTCTTCCCCAGTCGACCTTAAATTGTAATGCAACGGATAAGCATCAGCATAAGAGAGGTCACCCACAAACGGCAATGTCTTTGGTGCCACAGGATTGGACAGATAGCGATCAATTGTCTGGTTCGAATAATGAGTTTAAACCCAGATCACCTATGAGGCCAAAAGTACACTGGACATCAGGGCCTGGTTTAGGAGGTGTTGTGAACCAGAATTGCCTGGTCGAGTTGCTTCCGATTCCCACCTCATAGTAGTACTTGTTGTCAAACTGTTAACAGTTAGGGTACAGAAGTTGGTCATGAGATTTAAAACAGGTAGAATGCACATATGTAGCTACCAACTTTCTCAATGAATTACATTATGGATCATGCATATACCTCAAAGCCTTAAATGGTGCAATGGTGAATGTAGCCAGAAGTATAATTGACATACTTGTACTTCGTAACAATTCCTTCAGCACGACTCTTTAGCTTGCTGCCTTTAAGCCAATACTCAACTGTATTTGAGCCAGGCTCATTTGGAGCCACTCAAGACACCAGAATCCCCTTGCCCTCGTGGTCTCCTTGTGTAATGTGGACCTTTTTCCACATTTCAGAAAAGAAATCAAGACAAACAAATTTGAATTGAGTATGTTTCTGTGTTCAGCAATGGACAGAAAGAGAATGAAAAGTCATAATTTACTTTCTTAAACAGGTTGAATTGGGACCATCATGCCTAGCCTATACGCATATCAGCGAACTGAAAATCTAATGCCAAACATGAAGAACAAAAAATTGTGCTAGTTCCATCTGTTGAGATCAAAAGCAGAACACGCAATCAAAGTCAGGAACTTTCGAGCAAGTTGTCATCTGGGATCCAAATCAGGTAATCAAATCTTCACTGTACAAGAAGCTATTTTGCGTTTTTAATTGGATCAAACTCCAAAAGAAGTTTGCAGCAAAGCTTAAAACCTGCAAGTTTACCTGTTAAGGGGCATTGTAACCGCGAGGGATTTTGAATACATCGCTGTCTAGCGGCATATCATGAACCAAATCGGAGTTTCTGACGAAACTGCTGGTAACACCGCCATTGATGATGTCTGCAAAACCCAATACCACAGCTAAACCCAGTAATAACCAGTTCCTTCCCAACTCTGCGGTGTTTCCTAGCTCTCGTTTCACAGATAACCCATATCCAGTGCGTAAACACGATCGGATGGGGGCTGGACGCCAGGGAATTATCATGGTCTCGACAACTTGCTAGTCCCACCGCGGTGGCGGTGTGGGTTTCAGCGGGTCGATGCCTCGTCGGCCGGCGGACTGACTGGACTTCGCGATTAGGGAACAGAGGAGAGGATCCAATGGGCTTTCGAATTCCCCAAAACTCAAAAGTAGAGGGGGCAATTCTCAATTCAATCCACCAATTCATGAAAAATATCCACTCAATCCAATTCATTTAAATTCAATCAATTTGATCCAAATCCAATTGGATTGGTAGATTTATGGATAGATCCATGGATCAAAATGGCAAATTACGATTTGGTACCTAAAGTTTTTATATTTTTCATTTTGGTACCTAAAATTTAATTTTTTATACGAAAAATATCATTAAAAAATTACGTTTTGGTACCTAAAGTTTTTCATTATGACATTTTAGTATCTAAACTTTTCACATTTTACATATTGGTCCTTGATTGAGGATGCCATTTGGAGTCATGGATAATCCACCAATCTACTTAGGGGTCGTTTGGAGAACAAGATTTGGATCGTGGATTTATTGAATCTATAGATTTAGCAAAATGTTATGTTTTTTTGCTACTTTTTGCATGGTGGATTGTAACTTCAGAGATTGTAAATCTATAAAATCTAGAGATGTCAAATCTCTCATAATTAGAGAGATTCTACATCTTGATTTTGGAGATTTTCTCTCTCCTATTATATCTCTTATTTTTTTTCATTTATCCCACTAAATACCCTTACCAATAAATTCTCAATATTTTTCGAGCCAATCTAATTATTTTGGTGAAGGATAAACATGTTATGTGATAAAAAAAAGTAGAATTTCTTTTTTCATTGGATGTTAACAATCATAGTTACCAAACAATGAACATTTTCATATCTTTTTTCAACAATCAAGAGAGTTAAAATCTTTGGATTGTCTAGAATCTAGAGATTTAGACTCCAATTCTCCAAACGAGCCCTTAATCCAATCCATGAATCCACCAATCCATTTGATCCAATCCATTTGATCCATGAATCCACCAATCCATGGATCAATCCATTTGCCACCTCTACTCAAAAGCATTCAGTTGGTATATAAAAAGTAAAACCAAATAGGGTTGTTGGTCAGTTCGGCTACAACCGTAAGTTTTTAGTTGATAGATCTTTTAGTCGGTTATCAGCTAAATATTTTAAAATTTATGTTTACCGTTAATTGCATTGTTCCTATTATTTGATTTACAATTATCGTATAATCACGGACCAACTCTTGGCAGTGCGACACTTAGCACTCAAGTCTCGTTAGAGCGCTAAGTCAGCATTGCTCGTATTCATTCAAACTCACAAGTAGGACTGTCAATTTGGTTTTGGTTTTTCGGTTTTAAACCATTTAGCTTATTAATAGTTTTGGTTTCGTTTCGGTTAAAACCAAAAAATCGATAATGACCCATGTTTTCTTGAAGGATCCCTGATTTATTTGAAGTCAACCATTATTTTGGTTTTTGGTTTATCGAAACCATTAAGGAGCTTATCGGTTTATTGTTATCCAAAAACTTATAAGCCTCTTAATGGTTTTGGTTTTTGTGAATATGCCTAATTTGGTTTTTGGGTTTCATGCTAATGGTTTGGTTTGGTTTTGGTTATCCAAATTGACAGCCCTACTCACAAGTGTGGAGAAAACTCTATGGATGGAAATCTCTCTATTTCTGGATGAATGACAGATGAGGGAGATGAAGTTTATATAGGCATCCTCACCACTAAGTACAATGTATGTAGGCGTCATAAATGAACGAACTTAAAAGTCCCCCATACATGAACTTGCCCCATACATGAATGGTAGTAAATAAGGTGAATGCATGAACACTCATACATGAATCGAAATAAATGAGTTTGTCGGTTAATTGGATAACTGTGAAACAAGTGATTCGACAAAGTTAGACTAAAACAATCAATCAGTAATCTAACCAACAGAAGGCATCCTCATTTTTTTTTCAATTTGCATTTTTACAGATTGTTATCTACCTACATGTATGTCCCTTTTTAAGTTTTTATCATTCAATGAAAATCAAATTTAACAAAAATATCAATCTATAATAAGTTAAATCCACCACAAATACACATAACACCAGTATGCCGTCAATGTTTAATTAAAGAAGCTAACAAGAACAAGAGACCCAAACACAATTACTCAACTCATAAATCCCACCAAATCACACGAAAGTTTAAAATATTGCTTATAATAGTCGAGTTACTGTGTGCAAGTTCATATTTCTATTGGTCTCCTTCTGAAGCCTTTCCTAAAATTATTATCATTTGAATCTAATCAACTATTGCACCACTAACAGGATAATGTTTACCAATACAAACAAACAAGCATCGACTTTATTACCATCTTATTCTGCCTGCACATCAACCACTCATGCAAGCAAGCTACATGACCTATATATTATTTAGTTCAATCCCTCCCCAGACCTCTATCGGCTAATGATTCTACCGATAACAGAATAACCGTTTAACATTACTAAACAAGCATACACTTTATTACCATATATATCTTATTCTTCACATCAACCAAATCACGCAAGCACATGAACAATCAATCCATCACTCTGAACAGTCAAAGATGGAGTTTCAAGCTGAGGCGGCGCGCGATTCCGGCAAAGGATTCCAGAACCTGTTTAGCAGCCACAAAGAATCAGCTTCCACAGCATAACCGTCCTGGTTCCGGTGCCAACCGAAAAAGGCATGCGTCCTGTTCTTTATGTCTAGAATGCCATGCCCGAAGCTCGCTTCTCTGAATGCTGAATATCCCGGTTGCGGCTCTATTAAGCTGCACAATAAGTAAACACCAAGATCCATATCGTCAAACCCTAGCTAGTCGTGTGTCGTATCGTCGTATCACACATGTTGTTGTGATACGATGATATGACCAGTGTTTTGCAGGTCGAGATTTTGTTCCGGAATCCAAACCATAAAAAAAGAGAATTGATTTATTGATTAATTTAAGTACGTACTCCCAGACCAATCCTTCGAGGTTTCCTCCGTCTCCAATGGTGATGTAGACGGGAGCGGAATGATCGTCCACTGGACTGCACAAAGAATTCGTTACGTTGTATGCAATGTTGGAAATGCGTTCCTGAAGAAATTACAGTTAATTAGGTCATGAATGATAAGATACAGAAGAACTTATATTGAGATCTGATATGTATTTTCGTGTACTTACAGAGCGCTCATAAGCGTGAACATGTCCGGCCAAGACGACATCAACCTTGTTCTGTACGAAGAACGGCTCGAACACAACTCGCATGGACTCCCCTTCCATGTAATGGTGGGCGTAGCTGCTGTAGAATGCCACGTGCATGATGACTAGGAGCCACGGTGTCTCTGTCCTGTTGACTTTGGTCAACTCGTTTTCTAGCCACTTGTATTGTGGGGTGTACTTCCCTGCAAGAACCCATTTATATAATCAAATAAAAAAACACAGCCCAACTTATGGAGAGAAGCTCTAGAACGAATTTAATTATGTGTGTTTAGTGCAATCATTATGTATGTAATTAGTGCATTGGAGTAATTAAAGAAGGATTAGGTGGTAAAAAAATTAATTGATTTGATTACCATAAGCAGAGTAACTGGAGAGGACAATGATGTAGGCGGAAGCCCTCTTCAAAGAGTACCACAATGGAGATGTACTCCCTGCTGCCTGGTACGGGACTGGGTAACGATGGAGATAAGGCTGAAACGGCACCGTTTCGCCCTGCAGTTAAAATAGACTAGCTAATCAGAAAGAAAAAAGGGGAAAGATTTTACATATTAGAGCACAGATTATCGTTTGCTTGTGGGATTTGGGTAATTGATTTGGCACACAAATTCCAAACATCAAGGATTTAACACAAATCCAATGTTTCCTAAGCGAAACAAACCTGTGGGGCCCACGAATTTGGATTCTTTTTTTTAGATCCAAACCCGTGGACCCCACGGATTTGCAAATCTCACATTTCCTTTGGGATTTGATAATTGAAGACAAATTTGTGAGACAAATCCATCGTAAATCCATGATATAAGTTAACTAAACAAACAATGTACTCTTCCAAATCAATAATGCAACAAATCAATCACAAATCCAAAGGTTTTTAACACTCAAAGCCCTCATTTTCAAATCCAACAAACAAACAAATTGTAAGAGAGGCAATAGTAGTAGTAGCATTGCAGTAGTACATATTGAGGGAGGAAATCGATGTCGTGGTTTCCAGCAGACCAAATCGCAGGTTGGTACGCAACCAATCTCTCCGTAAACCTTCCCCACGAATCCCACCTCGTGTTGTCACCGAGAGGATAAGCATCGGCGTACGACAGGTCGCCCACGAACAGCATCGCCTTCGGATTCCTCGGATTCGACATGTAATGGTCGACTGTCGTGTTGGAATCCGGAGTTTGACCAAGATCACCTGCATACTCGCATCACAACACGAAAGAATCATGCCAAAGCGATCTACAGAAAGCAGACATTTAAAAGGAAAACGTTCTTTCTTGTTTATTACTATACAAATAGCGAAAATTTGCTTAAGGAGTCTGGTGGAATGCGAGAGGGGTGCACCATATGACTCGTTAGGACTTATTTTTAACTCTCGTTACGGGTTAAATTACGTACCTACGAGGCCAAAAGTGTAAGGGACATCAGGTCCAGGTTTAGGAGGAGTTGTGAACCAGAATCGCCGCGTGGAGATCCTCCCAATCCCGACCTCGTAGTAGTACTTTGTATCAAACTGCAACAATTGATTAAAAAAATACAGTGAATGATCGTATATATAAACGTACGTGGATCGTATTATATACGTATATGCACTAGTATATTGCCTCCAGGCCTGTAATGGTGCAGTGGTGAATGTAACCAGATGTGTAATTGATATACTTGTACCGCAGAACCGTCCCTTCAGCACGACGACTCTTCCGCTTGCTTTTGCCTTCAGCCCAATACAGCACCGTATTGGAGCCGGGTTCGAGTGGTGTAGTCCATGACACTATAACCCCCTTCCCCTCCGCGTCTCCTTGCGTAATGTGCACCTAGTTTTTCATAAGACAGTGTTATTTTTTGAGTTGTGATATTAGGGTCTAATTAATTAATCAGAGTAATTAATGAAAGCTTAATTGAGTAACGTACCTGTTGGGGAGCGTTGTAACCAGGAGGGACGGAGAAGACGTCGCTGTCGAGCGGCATGTCATTGGCAAGCTCGGAGCTACGCAAGAAACTGCTCGTGATTCCGCCATTGCTCATCTCTGTCAAACTCATCAATACCAAAGCTACGTAACCAAATACTGCCACAACGCATTTCATTCCAATGGCCATGGCTGTCTCTCTACTGGATCACTCTTCGTGAATACTTGACATGGTGGAGAGAGAGAGACTGAGATACATATATATAGTAGTAGTAGGTAGGGCTGGCTATTTGGTCTCGGATTGTTTGGTTTTACCCGAAACCGGACCATATAACCCGGACCGGGATCGGACTGGGACTGGATAGCAAACAATGCAATCTCATGTTCGGGCTTAGATTTGAGGTAAAAAACCGGATAAAGATCGGATAAGAGACTCCCAGCACCTAAAATCAAGATAAAATTAGGACCGGACCGGGTCAAGACCGGACTGTATCCAATCCAATCTTTGGTCCTTATATTGCCGAAAAGACCGGACTGGAACCGGATCAATTTGGTCCAATTTAATCGGACCGGACCGTATAGCCACCCTAGTAGTAGGAGACAGTAAGTCGTGGAGTGGTAGGTGGGGTAGGTCAGGTGGTGTTAGGATTTTCATTTCTCATACATAGTTTAATTTAGATGCTAATATATATATATATATATATATATATATGGTGGTGTATTCGGTGCACTCACTTTTTTGGGTGCGTTCAGTGCACTCGCTTCATAACAATCATTTTAAACATGCGATTTATATAAAAATGATATCAATCATCGCTTATGATGTGATGAACAATAACGCACATGAATTTGCACAAAAACCATTGAAGATTTACTTTAATTTGAAGGATTTAGAGTTTAGAGATTTAGGGTTAGGGTTAGGGTTTACAATTTGGGGTTTAGGGATAGAACTCAAAATTGGAGGTCTAAGACTTAGGGTAATCGGCTAATTAGTTGTTATCATACGTTATATCATCATATCACACTGATTCTACAAATAAAAATTCAACATCTGACACCTTAAGACTAGTTTTTGAGTTGGGTGCATTGAACGCACCCATTTTTGTGAGTGCACTGAAGTAGTCACCATATATATATATATTATAAAAGATGCTAACATATTTCACGTGGTCGGTCCATATCTTTTCCACAATTAAAATAAAACCACGCGATTAAGGTGGTCTGGATATAAAATTATAAACCAACATTTTCGTTTCCTGTAGTCATTAATTCCACATCTTCTTCCTCGTATCTCCATCATATATTACTCCCCGTGCATTATTGGGAAAAAATCCTTAATTACCCAAGTTTCAAAAAACAATTCCCATAATACAACACTTTAAAAAAAAATCCAAAATGCCCAAGTTTGAAGCAGTTTGCTGCCTAGTATAGCGAACCACTAAAGGGCTCACAGGAACGAGAAGCGAATCAGTTTGTTCGCTTTGAAAGAAAGCGGCTCAGCACTGGTTCGCTGATATTACCAGCGAACAACTGCGAATAATTGCCCTGCCGACGTAGATCAAAGCAGTTCGCTTTATTTTCTAGTGAACCACGTGGTTCGCTGGAATAGGCTGCGAACCACTGCCAATAATTTTCTGTGCTTTTCCCCGACATGTCTCAGCGCGGGATGCAGGGATGCAGGGATAAGACTGCTAGTGGAAGTGGATCGCTGGAGTAGGCAGCGAACCAGTCTTCACTGAAACAAAATAAATGCCGAGAACCATTTCTTTGTTCATTCCTCTCCTCTCTTCATTCTAATTAAAAAAAACAAAACAAAAAAAACAACCGAAGAACAACACATTTTCAGCAATGAAGAAGAAGGTGCCATTGAAAGGTATGGTTGTTCATGTTAGTTGTAACATCCGTTATATCATACTTCGAATATAGATTAGTGTTTTGCTTTATACTTTGTACATATATTTAGATTTAGTTATATTAGTTGTTATTAGCCCTTGACCGTAGATTAGTATTTTGGTTTAATACTTGGTTGATATATTTAAGTTAGTTGTATTGATTGTTATTAGCCTTTGAATGTAGGTTAAGTATGTTTTGTTGAATGTAACATGGGTTAAATTAGTCTTTGAATGTAGATGAATTATGGATTAGGGTTTGAAAATAATATTTGGCTATTTATTCATATTTATGCTTCGAATTGTATGTAATTTTTTATATTGTAAAATGCAGAAATGGGAAGAAATTTTAGAAAGTTCGACCTATTGATTCGATGGAATGGTCGAGTGACAATATTTCAAAATAGTGTTGATTATGAAGGTGGTGAGGCAAGCACTGTCCGAATTGAGAGCAGATTTGGTTGGCATGATCTCTTTAATATTTGTGAGGAACGATGTTGTATAGGTGATCATCGAAGAGTATGCAAGATGGCATATCAGATGCCGGTTTACGACGGATATGAAATGGTGTACGAAGAATCAATCTTGTCTGATGATGATGGAATTAATATAATACTGGATTTCGTACATGAAAATAGATTTCGAGTTGTCGAGGTGTATATCGAGACGGAAGAGGTGGGCGAGTATGGTGGTGGTGCTAATACCGAACATGGTGAAGGTTCTGGTGGAGTTGGAGGTTCAGGTGGCTACGGAGGTTCGGATGGCGTACCATGGCCAAGAGATGAAGCTAATATTACACCTGGTCCAATGGTTGAAGATGATGGACAAGAATGGCCAGCATGGGGTAAAGAATGGGTCAACATAGGATCATCCGCACAAGGATCAGTTAGGAATGATTATCATTGTGGGGATAAGGCAACTCCTCCCCCCACAAGTGAGGAAACTGACATGGAAGATTTGGCATCTGTGAGTAGTGAAGATGATGAAGGTGATGATGATGATGATGATGATGATGATGATGATGTCGATGAGGGGGTATTCGAGCCTCCCACACCTCACTACACGATGGTACCACAACATCCTCTCTATGCTCACAACGACGATTCAGACTACCATCCTGTACCCATCTGGAGTCCTAATGCAGGTTTTGTGGTTGGGCAAACATTTGGAGGAAAGCCAAATGTTATGGATGCGTTGAAAGAATATGCAATGCAGAAGAGCTTCCGATATCGTGTTCACAAATCATACACTAAAAAAATTCATGTCCGATGCGAGAACTATGGAGATGGGTGCATGTGGCAAGTTCGGGCTGCATTTGTGATGAGGCAGGGGGCTTGGCTTATTCGCAAGGCCGACAACATCCATACTTACAGTTCGTCAATTATTTCTCTTGATCATAGGCAGTTGAATGCAAGAAAAGTTCACAAACCATCAAGCATCTGGTTGAGGCACAACCTGGCATCACTGTAAAGGCTGTCATTGCTGAGGTGAAGAATTGTCATGGCTACACCATTAGGTACAAGAAATCATGGCATGGAAATCAAAAGGCAATGGGGGAGGTCTATGGTGATTGGGTGGGTTCGTACGCTTACCTACCACGACTTATACTAACATTTGGTGACAAAAATCGTGGTAGTGTTTTCGTGCCAAAAAATGAAGATTATGTAGCAGGGAGCAAACGAGTATTTGATCAACTGTTTTGGGCATTCAAACCATGCATTGATGGTTTCGAACACTGCTTGCAGGTAATTCAAGTAGATGGGACCTTTTTGACGGGCAAATATAGGGGTACTCTGATCGCCACAAGTGTTGATGGCAACAGACAAGTCTTTTCACTTGCATTTGCTATAGTTGAATCGGAGAACAACGAAAGTTGGCCATGGTTTTTTCAGCAACTATACACTCATGTTACTCAACTGAAGGGCATTGCCATCCTATCTAATAGTCACAGTGGCATTCGTCATGCAATGTACGATTTGCCTGATGAGGAGCTTGGATTAGGGATGGCAATGGGGCGGGTTTGCCTAAACCATCCCCAAACCCATCTTCAAATACCCAAACCCATACCCGCCCCATACCCATGCAGGGGAATGTTTTGCAAACCCATCCCCATACCCGTGGGTTTCGGGTACCCATGGGTAATACCCATACCCGTACATCAAACATTATTATACCTAAAACTTACAAGAAAAGTTTTAATTATAACTCTAAACGAACATATTATATCATGAAGTCAACAAACACGGTCATTTTTTTAATATGGTTCAAAGAATATGATCATAAAATATCCATTAATACATAATATAGAGTATAATATTTTTCAAATTATTATGTTCCAACTCTCATACATATACTAAATAATAATTAACTAACATAATCTTGTTGACAAGGGGGGAAGTGAAAGAGTGCAATGAGAATTGAGAGAAATGAATTAGGTTTTGATTAAGGTGGTCACTCAATTGCATTTCTACTATTTATTTTCTCAAGTTATCTTCATCATCATTGATAGATAATAATTTGACGCACATATTTTTTTTATATATGAAGATATTTATCTTGGTGGGGCGGGTATGGGGCGGGGGAGGCTAAAACCATACCCGCCCCTTACCCATCAACCTTTTTGCGGGTTTCACCCATACCCGCCCCATACCCGGTCAAAGAGGGGATTCCCCGCGTTGACTGGGTCGGGGGCGGTCGGAATACCCGCGGCCATGGGTTTGATTGCCATCCCTAGCTTGGATGGAAGTGGCGATGGTGCATGCGTCATTTCAAGAGCAATTATGGCCGTAAGTTTGGTTGCACAACAGGCCAAGCTAATGTTTGGCGAGATGGTAATGACAATTTAGAATTATTCCAGGGGATTATCCCCCGTTAATATGTGTATGTTTCATATCTAATTGTCACACTCTTTCATGCAGCTACCCATTATCAACCCCGAAAGTTTGCTGACACGATGAAGCATATAAGAGAGATCCACCCTGAAGGTGCAGATTGGTTGGAAAGGCATGATTTTGAGAAGTGGACAATACACCAAGACGGAGGGTATAGGTATGGCATAACCACGACGAACATGGGTGAGAGCTTCAATGGTTTGTATGTTGGCATTCATGCAATGCCAATATCATCTATTGTCCTTCACTCCTTCTTCCGAACGGTTACATGGTTTGTTGAATGTAGCCAAGCGGCACTTCATATCCTAAACGTGGATTTCTCATTCCAAAGAAGATAACTGAAGAGATTCATCCATGGAGTGAAAGGTCAAAATTGCATACAGTTACGTTGTTCAATCGAAGAGATGGGCGGTTCGGAGTAGTAACTGGAAGGCCATCCGGAACGACAAAAGGGGGCAATGCTCAAACGGTCACACTTAATGCATTGCATGGAACAGGAGATTGCAGTTGCGGGAAACTTCAAGGGAGACATCTGCCCTGCTCTCATGCTTATGTTGCTGCCAAGAGCGTTAACATGGACCCGCTTTCATTTGTTAGCTCATACTACAGGACTCAAAACGTCATCAATGCGTGGCAACAACCATTCATGCCTTTGGGTCATGAAGCTTATTGGCTCGAGTATGATGGGCTAGTGGTTTTCCCTCCTGAGCATAGGAGACGTACGAAAGGACAACCAAGAGTAAATAGAATTCACAATGAGATGGATAGATCGGGCCAACTTCCACGGCCTCCAAAAAAGTGCTCCGTATGTCAAGTTGTTGGGCACCACAAACGTCATTGCCCAGGACTACCATCAAACAATTGGTACTAAAATTTGTACTAAGTTGTTGTTGTTGTTGTTTGGTTCAATATGATTGTATTTGTATTGCGTATAATACTTGAATAAGATTTGTACTACCAACAGCCTTAGTTCGAAAAGGGTAATTACTATTTGTACTAGCACGATATTCATTCGAAAAGCAATACATACTACTTGTACTAAACATGATATTCGTTCGAAAAGCATGAAAACTAAAAAGTAAAACAACATCAAAACCCACAAAATTCGTTCGAAAAGCATGAAAACTAGAAAGTAAAACAACATCAAAACCCACAACATTAGCTAAAGTCACTCATCTCCTTGTGCACAACGTCCTTGGCCACCTCCCCGGTTGTTTCTGCGCCTGTTACGAACTCGAGGTTGCAACTCAGTCACGGTTCGGGAAGGGAGCGGAGGTGGTGTTGCCATCCACGGAGAAGGATTGTAAGATTGGAAGTCTGGCTGCGGCACTTGGAAGCTTGTTTGAGGTAATTGAAAGCTTGGTTGAGGGGATTGGTCATAATAAGGTGGTTGGGCTAAGCTTGATGATCCTCCACCAAATTGGTGCTCTTGCTGGGCATAAGTCGATGATCCTACCCCAAATTGGTACTCGTACGGTGGTGGAATAGCTACTTCTTCTCGTACTTGCACAGGAATAACTACTGGCTCCTGTCGACGTTTGCTCCTTCTTGGTGGTGATGGCGGGAGGGGCTGGACTTCAATTTCATGGGAGGAAGGATGTGGTGGTGCTGGCAATGGTGGGTAGGTGATAACATCTCTTCTATGCTCTCGTGTACATGACCATAGGTTCTTGAGGAGTCTCCGTAAAAAGTTCATCTTCTCGGGCGGCAACGTGGGTTCACTCTCCACAGTCGACCTCGCAAGCTCAAACCCATCAACCTAGTTCACAACATGTTATTTGGAACGTCTTATACTGTTAACTATGGAAAAAAATAGATGTGTGCTTACCAAAGATCCGATGACAGCACCACGCTTGGTAACGAATCTCTTGGTAAACTGGCGGTACCAAATCATGTATTCGTCTTGTTACCCCATTGGCCTTGTCATCGGGATGCCTCCAACATCATGATTAGCTCGATCCCAAATAGAAATCCAAGGCTCATGTTTGTTCATCCACTCAGTGATAGCACCCCGCAAATCCTGGTTATGCTTGTGGAGTTCTTTCATCCCCTTTGGTGGCATTGCAGGAATCGGTTGTTGCCACTGATATTGCCGGACGCATCTATCTGGAAGGTGCCACTCAACGATGTTGAAACATATTAGTGGCACTTTGCATGACCACCATTGTTGGTCCTTAGGGGACCGCAATGCGTGCATCATCACCACTCCAGGAGCATACGGATCTCAATTAACCTACGAAGAAAATGGCGTTCTATCAACAGAAATTCAATTACTGTGCGAAAATTATGTTCAATTACTCTATGAAAATAACTTCAATTACTTTATGTATAGAAATTCAATTACTCTATCAAAATAAATTCAACTACTCTATGAAAAAGAAATTCAACTACTCTATGTAAATTATGTTCAACTACTCTATGAAATTGAAATAACCTAGTTATATTAATCTATATATTGGACTAAATAAGGTGAATTCCTCTATGAATTGGAATTGGAAGGTTACCTCATTGAACTATAAATTGTCAAGATGCATGCGATATCCAGCAAGAGAGTGTTCAGGACGGTGGTCTCTTGTCGAAGCTCCAGTCCACCTAGCACCATATGGTGCTTGCCTTAGATGATGATCGTGGGCCCAATTATTGGCGGGGCAAAATGGCGCAAAGCTTGGAAGATGCTCTCAAGCCCACAGTTGGACAATGAACATTGCGCCACCCGGTTGCTTTGTATTTGGGTCGGTACACTTGCATAGCTCTGCATACAACGTTGCCAGACAAGCCGATCCCCAGCTCTTTCGTCCCATGTCGTCCCTATCTCCCAATAGCAGCGGAAGCCACATGCAATGCATATACCTATTGGACTTGTTAGGGAACAACACTCTGCCAACCAGCCCAATAAGGTATACGCGAGCATACCGCTCGACTTGCTCCTCTGTGGGGACCTCGATGCCCAAGTGTGCGAGTATGAAAGCCCCCCAACCAGCTAGTGGTTTTTTCAAACTCCCAATTATCGCTTCTCCATTGATTGGCAAGTCGGTGATCAAGGTGATGTCCTTCAATGTGATCATCGCCTCTCCCTTGAGGAGGTGGAAGGTGTGCGTCTCTCTCCTCCACCTTTCGACCAATGTCGTGAGCATATTGTTGTCAAGCTCCATTCTTCTGAAGAATCGCGCCCTCGCCAACCCCACTCTCTCGATAAAAGTATCGATTCATACATCCCATGGAGGCAAGGCGGATATCCCCCTATGGGTGATAACATTGAGTTCTTCCTACAAAATAAAAAGTTAATAATTAGTTTTGAAGGGCAGATAATCAATACTAATCATATTGTATGATATATAAATAATACATGCCAGTTATATTGGACGAACTAATAGATATAATAATTGCTAATTACAATGGACGAACTAGTAATAATACATACTAATTATATTGAATAAACTAGAAAATATAAAAGGTAATTATATTATGAAATAGTAATACTAAATTATAATTTGTATGAAATAGATATAATAATTGCTAATTATATTGTACGAAATAGATATAATAAATAATAATTATATTATAAAATATAAATAATAAATGCTAATTATACTGTATGCATATGAATTGATAAATACTAATTACCGGGTCTGCCGCCCAAACACTTTGTGATCGATGAAAAGGTTGGTCTTCCAAAAAATATGGATTTCTCGGACCAGGATGAATATAAATTCTTGGATTGTAAATCTCCGCACCCAACTTGTATGGAAAAAAAAACAAATTAGTCAGAATGTGAATGAAGAGTTTAAATGCAACAATCATAGCACTATAAAATCAAATTGGAACAGATAAAAAAACATACCCTATTAGCTTCTTCCTCCATTTGGTGTGCAAAAATCAAACAGAGGTTGGTTAAAAATATTCGTAGGTAGGGTAACCACTAAAGAAAAATACTTCTGTTACAGGAAGATCAGCATACGCCGCAACCTCAGAGCATTTTCCTTTCCTTTAGTGGTGGAAATGAGAGGGAGAAGAGAATGTGGAGTGGTGTGGTTTGGGATGCAGGAAAGAAAGGGGGGGGGGGTATTTATAGTTCTGCTGCTGCTGGGACGTGGTTCGCTAGGCTAGGGGGCGAACTAAGCGATCGCGCCGTTGGGACGTGATCCAACGATTGTTCACCCGCTAGCTCAGCGATCCATGTACTCCCCTTGGCGCCAATCGCTGGGGTTTGCTAGGCAATCGAGTGATGCCCTCCACGTGTTCTGCATCGCACGACGTTGCTGTGATCCGCGCCAATTGATTTCGGCCAACCACAGCGAGCCACGTGCATCGCAACAGTTAAAGGCGAACTACACGTGGTTCGCTATACTAGGCAGCGAACTGCTTCAAACTTGGGCATTTTGGGATTTTTTTAAGTGTGGTATTATAGGATTTGTTTTTTGAAACTTGGGTAATTAAGGATTTTTTCCGCATTATTGATGCTACGTACTGCATATTGTTGTCCTTGCTCCTACTAATTACTGGTCTTATCCGTTAACAGGTGAAGGAAACGATGCCAATTGAATAAATGAGAGCGTACGTGTTAAGCTAGAATCGCAGGGGTTTTGGCGAAGCGTTTTGCAAGAAGATGGCTTTTAGCATTTTAAAAAAGTAAGGCTCCTGTGATTTTTTTTATGCGAGACTAAAAGTGCAATGATATGAAGGTTGAGAATCGTGTCCATCGTCTTGGATTTTTTTATTGTGTCCTTATCAACCCAGTTAATACAGCTGGCATGACAATATAATTTGGACTTGAGAGGTTTCATGTGTTGTCTTAGTGTATATATTGTTGTACATGGTTGTTGAGTGTTCCCACCCAATGTTATCATTTTGATTTTTTCATCTTAATTGTAATGAAAATATCTCTCAGTTAGAGTTAAATGAAATCTTTGTTCTTATCTCGTCCTCCCCTTCTACGGCTTTTGTTTTAGGTTATTTCAATTGTTTGTTGTCTACATACTACAAGGAGGCAGCCCTCCTTATCCTTCTGCTCTCTTCAAGAAATAGATTTTTAAGGTTCTCCATTCACATGGTCGAATCATCGCTCTCCGTAAGAAACTAAGAATACATAATGGAGCTTTTGATAGATGCTTGTGCGCATCTCTTTCGGTTGCCTCATGGCCAAATATACAAGTCATCCACCTCACGAACTAATAAGGGTCGAATCATCATATGCTTCCCCTTCAACTCCAACCCTCTGCTGCTATGCACACAAAAAAAACTTCTATTTTGACGGGTGTTGGATTGACAATAGTGAAGAAAAAATATAATTAATGACCAATGGTTGCAACCAGTGCAAGGTTCTTCTTGGGTCGAACTTTTTAATTTTTTGAAATTGTATCGACACAAGCTTTATGGATGGGTTGCTCGTGGTACCTCTATCCCAACTTACACAATTCGAGAAAACATAATGTGGAATCTGAACAGGGTAACCATCTGGTAAATTGGTTCGTTATTCATGAGTTACAACTCAAATTATTTGTTGCTTACCTTTTGGAAGAGATCTACTGGAGAAAAAAATTGAGAATGTATTGACTAATTGAAGACGATTTATCAACTTTACAGAGGAGAAAGAATAGAATCTTTGCTTTGTGTGATGACCTAGGCATCCTTCATTCTAAGGAGACAATCAAGCCCAAAGGTATTATAATAACCCTCTAATTTTAGCAGTCATTTTCTTCTGAAGCTAATGAAGATGGGTCGTATGTTAATGGGCTAATATTTGTTGCTCTTGTCACCCTTGCCATGAACAATTCTATAACCCTCATCCCATCTTGAGATGAGATTCGAGCTGCTACTTTCAACATAGGGAGCTACCAAGCAGATTTTGTTGGATTCACTAACATCTTCTTCCCATCTTTTTAGGTATCGTTGGAGAATCTGTGATCGATGCAATGTTGCATTTTATTCACATAGGGCACCTGCTTCACAACTTCAATCATACTTGAATAAGTCTCCTACTTAAGGTTTCCAATGCTGAAACGATGCATCCAAGTAGGCCTACTCGTCTCTGCCAAGTTTCAAACAAAATCATAACTCGCGTTTTGATGCTCAGACTTTGGGAGGTTCTTCCTTAAGTGTTAAATCCTTTTCAAACTGTATTTTTTAAAGATCAATTAATATAGTGTTCTTTTGAGACAAGACTTTACTCGTTTTTTGAAGACTATATCTCTAGTGAAGTTAGACATGGAGAAAGCATAAATCGTGTTAGATCCATGTTTTTTTCCCCAAGTTATGTGTGTCATCAATCTCTGGATTTGAGTCGCCGATATTGGAGAATTGGGTGGCAAAGATACAATTGAGAGAAGAAGGGAGGATAAATAGGGATATAATAAAAATTGCAAGATCGCTTTTGAAAATAAAAACTCAATGATATGGGATTTCAAAAAAGCTTACCCTAATAAGCTATTTGAAAACCCATGCTTGTTGGCTTGTTGCATTTTGAAATTCCACATAGATAGAAATTAGAAACCTTGATTTTTAAGAGCTCATTCCAAATGTGCAATTTAGTTGAAATCTCACATTTTGTGGGATTGTGACAAAATCTTGCATCTAAATGTCCATTCAAAAAACCTCTAATGTTTTTTTTTTTTTTGTATTTTTACGATCATATGTTACGAAATTTCAACCTCGATACTTAAATTCTTACTTTGCCCCTGAATAAAAGGATCGAGCAATGTTCGTTAAGAAAAAAACACACAAAGGTATATTAATGCTTACAACTAGTCATACCAACTTTTGCATTGTTGATCTCATTTTTATTTTGCAAGGAAAACATTTTGATAGGTTGAGGATCCTATGTAAATTCAATTATTACACATGATGTTTTCCCTTTCCAAGTCAAATGATGACGAATTAGATACTGTTGATAAATCTTCAATATAGTAATCAACTACTTAATCTGATTAATAATTCGTCATTATCATATCATAGTGCCTTTGTCAGTCTCTATCACACTCTCACACACATGTGAATAGAACGCTACACCAGACCTCTAGATCCGCACTGCTCAAGATCAGAAATTAGAACGAACCACTCCATAGCCAATCACCAACCTCGGAAAACCACTACGTCCATCCAATGATATCCCTCCTCCTGACACCATATATTATGCATCTCTAACCGATTAAATACGTCTCTCTACTACCTTTTACATCAACCATGCTTCTATATTTTGAAAAAATTCTCAAACATGCCCTTATGTTAAAATTTCCATTAAAAAATGGTCAACCATGGTTGGACCGAGATTCGCACGACCCGACATCGATAAAATATGGGGTGAAATATCAGTTTTTCTTCCTCGTTTATTTCTCCATGTCTTTTTACAGTGAAATTATTAGATGTATTTGGCTGTACAAAAGAAACAAAACAATTCTAAAGTGAAATTGTTAAAAATATTTTAGACATAGGTGTTGCCCAAACCAAGGTTCGACCATGGTTGATGGTTTTTTTATGCAAATTTTAACATAAGGGCATGTTAGATCATTTTAAAAAATATAGAGACATATTTTATGTAAAAAATAATAAAAAAGTATGTTTGATAAAACTGTATAGTAAATGGACATATTATACCTATGACCCTAATTGTAATCTTAAATTCGGAATCGCTGACGAATTTAGATGAACAAGTCATTGGTCTCAATTGTATTGGACATTGTTTCCAATTATTGTTAATTGAACTTCCCTTCTTTTGGGCCGAAAGAGACCGGAACTGGGCCTTAGCCCAAATCAAACAGCACGCGGTGGGGCGTTATACTTATACAAAAGGCCCAGTTTAGCAACTGGATTGGAAGAGTTGGGCACGGGTTACTCCTTAAGCAAGCCCATTAAGAACGATTGTCTCTGATCTGATGCGCTTTGCTTGCTCGACCTGGTCGCTTAAATGAAGACCGAGGTCATGTTCAATATGTTCATCATCCATTATCATGCTGAGAAACTGCTGTGCCCCGAGTGAGAATAACGCATACAATGGAAGAACCATTCCCATTAGATTTATTAGCCAGCCAGCTCGCAATTGTTTCAAATTACATCAGCTTCTTCAGCTGCCATTTGAATAGTATCAAAAGCCAGCCAATAGACGAAACATAGACAAAACTCCTTAAGCTGCAATCCATCCAACTGATGGATTGATTTCCGATCAATCAAGACTTCCAGTACCTATTGTGCAGCCACATGGTATCAGCTTCAACCGCGTACCCATCCTGATTCCGATGCCAGCCGAAATACGCATGCGTTCTGTTCTTTATGTCGAAGATCGCGTGCCCGAAGCTCGGTTCGATGAAAGCAGAGTACTCTGGCAGCGGATCAATTATGCTGCAAACAAAAAAACCACCCAAATCAGCACAATGTAATTATCTAACGACAAAGCGAGCAATTCACTACTTACCCAGTAGCCAATCCTTCGAGATTCCCACCGTCTCCGATTGTGATGTAAACGGGAGCAGATTCGTCTTTTATGGGATTGCAGATCCCGTTTGTTACCTTGTACTTGATGTTGGACACGCGTTCCTGTGATCATCCATTGCAGTTGCAGGATATTAACATGTTATTATCAGTATGAAAAATGTTTTTGAGTGAAAATATGAACAAGTGGTGTTACGTGTTACTTACCGAGCGTTCGTAAGCGTGAACATGGCCGGCGAAGACGACATCGACCTTATTCTCCACGAACCACTTCTCGTACACAACTCGCATGGTCTCCCCTTCCATGAAGTGAACGTCGTAGCCCGTGTAGAACGTGACGTGCATCACCACTACCAGCCATGGCGTCTCCGTCCGGTTGACTTTTGTGAACTCGTTTTCCAGCCACTTGTATTGTGGAGTGTACTTCCCTGCAAGAACAGAGACACATAAGAGAGGGTGACCATTGTTATGCTTCCAAGATGGTTGCATCAAAACTTGGTTTGTCCTAGCTAGTAGAAAAATGTTTGTGCAGATTCATTGTATGTACACTGCGTTTAGATCGAACCTTAAAACGAAGGATTACTGTGTTTCAAACAAGTTTTTTTCACGATCGAAGACTAATTATGGGTGTTCTGACTTCTAAACATTGAAAAGGAACGATAATCTCACTACTCGTGGTGTATTTATTTAAGGGTTTGTTTAGTGACTATTCTGGACTGGAGTATGTGAATTTAAGAAATCACGTGTCTTAGAGGAGATTGTACAACTATGTTTATATAATGTTGGTGTATAGTGACTCGTTGTAAGAATTATCATGGTAGAGTTTAACATTTTGAGCATGTTGTTGAAATTTTTATATGAACCCAAAATGAAAAAAATACAAACAAACATGATGTCATGTATTCTAAATTTATGTAGTGGGCTTCATTTTCGTACTAGATCCAGACAAGAAAAAACGATGTATTAGTAAAAAAATCGCGCATTCTCGAAATGATTGAGAAACTTAACGAAAAACCGAATAAAGCGAATAGGGTGAAACAAATTAATCAACAAGAGGCATCATTACCAGAAGCAGAGTAACTGGAGAGGACAATGATGTAGGCAGAAGCCCTCTTGACGGAGTACCACAATGGAGATGAACTCCCTGATTCCTTGTAGGGCGTTGGGTAACGTTTGATATAAGGTTGAAATGGTTCGTTCTCGCCCTGCATCCAGTTACATGTCACATACCACATCACTATTATAGCTACCAATTCCAACAATTTTAGCTAATCAAGATTCAAAAACAGAGTTGAAGAAGCTGTATTAGCAGTGTTTACATTCTCAGGGAGGACTTGGATGTCATGGTTTCCTGCAGACCAAATCGCAGGTTTGTACGCGACCAATTTCTCGGTGAACCTTCCCCATGTATCCCACCTCGAGTTGTCGCCCAACGGGTAAGCATCGGCGTAAGACAGGTCGCCGACGAACAACAACGTCTGTGGGTTCATCGAATTGGACATGTAGTGGTCAACCGTCGTGTTGGAATCATAAGTCTGACCAAGATCCCCTGCTCTCCAAGTGGAACAACACAACATAAAGTTGAGATGTAAAACAGAGCATATGTAATTCACAACAGAACACATCTTCAAATCCCTTCCAATGAAAGGAAATGTAATGAAGTAAAATAGCAATCACCTATGAGGCCAAAAGTGTAAGGGACATCAGGGCCAGGTTTAGGAGGGGTTGTGAACCAGAACTGGCGTTTGGATTTGCTGCCAATCCCCACCTCGTAGTAGTACTTTGTCTCAAACTGCAACCATTAGCATACAATGTTGGCTCATATATATGGTTCAAAACTCACAGATTGAACTTCAAACAACCATACAATAAGTGATGACAAAAAAAAAAAAAACTCAATATTTGGGTATCCCTAATCCAACTTATTATAGGTCCAATTAAGTTTGGGTAGTTTTACTTTTGGTGCATACTTATACCCAATTTTTAATTTGATTGTAAACTTGACTTATATCATTAGATATCTAAAAGAAAACGAGTAACCGATTCTAATGCAGTTTTTTAAAACCTTATTTGTGTTTATGTAACAAATAGAGGTGGAACCACCGGCAATAAAGATGTAATTGGGTCAGAGGCACTTAATGAGGTGGTCGATATTGTCATTTTGTGTGCACAATCATCTGAAACCAGAAACCAAATAGACCCATTTGAGTCTGACCCAAATGAGTTTACCCAAATTGGATCCAATTCAAACCCAAACTAAAAATCATTAAAAAGTACATTTGGATTGATTTGGGTCTGACCCAATAACCCTACGAATAATGATAATTGGATCAAATTGTTAGAATGTGGTATAAGATCCAGCAGAACCTTCTCCCAACAACTCGAGTTATTGGGATCAACTGGTTCTTGACATGGTATCAGATCCTTCTGTGACCGAAAGGTCTTGTGTTCGATTCCCGGTGGCTCCCATTTGTTAAGCACATGGTATTCTTGTCTTCAGACCTGTGCAAACTTCAAGCCCTTGTGAGTGGCTTTCGTTTGAGGGGGGCGTGTTAGTGTTGTGGTATATGATCCACGATTGAACTTCTCCCAACAACTGTGGTATAAGATCCAGCAGAACCTTCTCCCAACAACTCGAGTTATTGGGATCAACTGGTTCTTGACATGGTATCAGAGCCTTCTGTGACCGTGAGGTCTTGTGTTCGATTCCTGGTGACCCCCATTTGTTAAGCACATGGTATTCTTGTCTTCAGACCTGTGCAAATTTCAAGCCCTTGTGAGTGGCTTTCGTTTGAGGGGGCGTGTTAGTGTTGTGGTATATGATCCACGATTGAACCTCTCCCAACAACTCGAGTTATTGGGAGCAACTGGTTCTTGACATGGTATCAGAGCATCGAACCAAAAGATCATGTGTTCGAATCTCCACGACCTCCAATATTAATCGTTGTCTTTCAAGCACATGGTATGGTGGGCCTGTGCAAACTTCAAGCCCATGGGTTGGCTTTCGTTTGAGGGGGCGTGTTAGAATGTGGTATAAGATCCAGCAGAACCTTCTCCCAACAACTCGAGTTATTGGGAAAAACTGGTTCTTGACACAAATTACCAACGAATCATCTCAAGATCATCCTCCCACAAGTTTCTCAATTATAAGGATATAAAAGATTACCTCCAAACCTTTGATGGTACAGTGGTGAATGTAACCAGATGTGTAATTGGTATACTTGTACTGCAAAACAGTCCCTTCAGACTGACTCTTCTGCTTGGCGTTGCCTTCAGCCCAATACAGCACAATATTGGAGCCTGGCTCATCTGGTGTAATCCACGACACTATAACACCCTTCCCCTCCATATCTCCTTGTGTAATATGCACCTAATTTCCCATCATTCCAAATCAAAATAAATCAAATTCACTTACGTACATGCATGAATACTATTCAGGTATTCCATTATTGCATGTACATGTACTTGTTCTTAATTAACTAACTTGAAATGGAATATAATAAACAAAGCTTTAGAATTCCCATATGGGAATGGTGGCATGAAATCAATTAATTAAGTAAGTACCTGCTGAGGAGCATTGTAGCCAGGAGGGGCTTTGAACACGTCGCTGTCCAGCGTCATGTCTTTGGAAAGGTCGTATTTCCTCAAGAAGCTGCTGGTTATTCCGCCATTGCTGACCTCTGCTGCAAAACCCAGTAGCAGCAGAGATAGGGCAAGAACAATTGCCGCACCACTTCTAGGAACCCACTTCATTCCCATTTCTCTCCGAAGAAACAATAGCCAAAAAAAACCTCACTCTTATGTGCTTGACAATGGAGGTAAGGAGAGACGGGTTATATAGGATTTTTCCGATTTTGAGTTGTGGGTTTATTACATAAATGGTCACTGAAATGTTTGGGGGACACTAGTAATTAACATTCACTGCCTTCTCTCATTTGTTTTTTTTTTTTTTGTCGATTTCAAATAGTACTTCCAGGTTATCGTGTCAACTGACCATTAACTGAATCGACCAAAGTGGTTGAATTTTTATCTTGTTTAGGACCACACAACCATTCCACCCTTTTCTACCCAAATCTAAGAGAAATGAATTGAGTTGTGTTGATGATTTTTTTTTTCATGATTCAATTTACTTTGATAATTAGTTTTATCCATGAACTATAAGTGTTACTATACTGCCAATACTTAATAAACTAATCTCTTAACTAATATGTGTATATTTAGCTATAAATGCCTATGTTTACAGAACGGGAACGGATGCTGAACCGAAAAAGTTGGTGGTGCATGTGTGGTTCAGCGATTAACCGTTATAAAATAGTTGATAGAACCGTTTATGTGCTATAACATAGAGACCATACATAATATACTAATTAGAACGGAATTAATCAATGATCATAAATGAATTCAAATCCATATCAATCATCACCAAAACTTCTAACATATCATTACAAATTGTTACAAATGAAATCATAATTTTTTTATTAAATTCAAGTTAATAGTTAGGGTGACAATCAGTAGGGGACCACTTAACGCCGACAAAAATGTTGTGAAACAAAAAAAAAGAGCAAGTATAAATTAAATTAGTTACTGTGAATTTGATATCTTATATCATTACCTTAAAGTACCTCTCATACCTTTTTTATTATGATTCGTGAAATTTCATTTAATCACTTGCATGCATGTCACTTACCGTCAATTTGTAATTAGAGAACTAGAAAAATTGAAGACCTCTCAAACCACATTCATATTTCTCTCCATCCACAAAAAACTATGGCCATAAGATGAGCAGCTTCCTCCCCTCCCTCCTCTTCCGAAATCTCCAAATATCATTGTCCATTTCATCCCATATCGTAAATATACACCACATCTCTGAAACCCTAACCCTCACCTCTAGAAATCTCTTCTTTCTTTCTTTTTTTTTTTTTTTGTCTTTTTTCATTTTATGAATCTCACCTCTACAAATATGAACCACAAAGGCAGGAGATAAACAACACAACCAATCAAAACATATAAAATCTGAGTCTCTCCAATAGCAACCCTCCACGTGGCTGGTCTGTGCAACTCAAATCCTAGAGAATGGTTTTTTCTTTGTCTTTTTTCCAAAAAGGAACAAAACCCAAAAGAGTGAATTTACAAAACGTGGTTTTATATAACCCGTGATTTGCTTGTCTTTTTCCCTGCTGATTTACAAAACGTGGTCCCTTTCTCTAACCTACCTACCAATTACAATGCATGTGAGATGTAATACGTTTCTTCTTCCACACCAGAAGGCATTTCATTTATGCGACGCGACGGGATACGGTGACAACCGCTAAGGGGTTGTCAAATTTACAACCAAGAGTATTTTGGGTATGAAAAAAGGAATATATTAATTACCTTTTTGTATTAATTATATTGGAAATTAAAAACCCATATTAAATATAATTTTTTGAAATTTAAATCATATACATTAATATCTCTATCTATCTCTCTCTTCCTTTTTCCAGCGGCCACTCCGCATCGACGGACAAACTTTTTCTCCGGCGAATTCTCTCCGGCAGACTCCTTCTGGCAACCTGAAAAAATGTATCAGTGCGTTAAAAAGTGTACCAATCATTTAGTCTACTGGTAATTAATATACCAGTGCTAGTGGTACGCTACCAGTGCGTTAAAAAATGTACCAGTACTAGTGGTACGCTACCAGTACAGTGCTACCACTACCATATTGTATCGTACCACTAGCACTGGTAGCGCTACCACTTGCATTGGAGCGAGACCAGTAGAGAATAACACAAAAAAAACAGATGATAGTGGTACCAGATGATAGGGGAGCCACTGGTACGTACCAGTGAGTAGTGGTAGCGGCGTCGTAAAAATGGCGGCGGGGTCAGCGTGGCACGACGGTGAGCTTAGGGGTGACGGGGGCAGCGTATCGCGGCAGGAGCGGTGGGGACAGCGGGCGCGGCAGGAGCGGCGGGGACAACAGGCGCGGCAGGGTGGTGAGGACAACCGGCGCGGCGGAGGTCAGGGGTGGCGGTGGGCATGGGAGAGGAAGAGGGAGATGCGGCGGCGGCAACGTCCGCGGAAGAAAGGGAGGAAGGGAAGAAGGAGGTGAACGGCTGTGCAGTTGGTATGAGTTAGATTAGGGTTTTATTATTTTATATGGGAAGGAAAATGATTGGGTGTGGTAAGTTTTTTTATCCCAAAAACACCCTTCTTTTCATCTCAACCTTCAATTTAAAAATAACAAGAGAGAATACATCTAATGGCTATAAAGTGGGTTGTCACCATAACTCATGCGAGTCATACTCATATGACTGAATTTGATAATGATTATGTTAACGTTTCAGTAATTATGCTAGGGTATCCGTTATGGATGCTAATAATATGAATAATTAGTATATAAGTTTCAAATTAATTTAAAATGATCACTCTCATTCTATCGCTTTCCAAAATTATCTTAAATTTACCTCGTCGGACTTCCAACTTATTGAAGACATAATTAAACGACAAAACAACAAATTAACTCCACCTGAGCACCAAAACCAACATATTGACACATATCCGACCCGAAAACAACACCCGTCTCTCTTTCACTCACCTTTCGTCCCCTTGGGATCTCTCTATCTCACCACATAGCCCAGACTTTCACAAGAAATGGACTTCTATAAATTTCCATTATATATCCAAACAAAATCTTTTGGTGATGAGTGATAACCGTCCATCGACAACAATTAAAGACATAAAAAAAGACTTTCGCTCTCCCCTCTCTCCTTGCGAGTGGGGCGGTTATTGCGCATAGTGCGCCTCGCCGATACCGGCAACTGCCATCGTGCGACGCCGGAAGCGGCCCGCTCCGCCATGAAGGTTTTATATACCATGTGGATGCGCAGGGCCTTTCTACCTTTCAGCGCCCTTCTGCTTCCAGTGCATCTTCTTTTCGCAGACGGCATTTTTAGTTTTCCCCCAATTCCAATTGCGATGGCGGTGATCCGATTTTCCGACGCTGATGTGCAAGTGGGAGACAGCCGCGGCGAACTCACGCTAGTTGGGAGGGTTTGCGGTTCGCGACCAGCCTTGCACGCCCTCAAGGCAGACCTGTTGCGGCTGTGGAATTGTTCGGCTGCGATTTCCATTGTGCCGCTAAATTGGGACCTAATTCAAGTGGTGTTCTCAACGGCCAAGGATCTCAACAGGGTGCGGAAAAACTCCCCTTGGTTCAAGCCCAAATATGTGCTCCATCTGATCCCTTGGGAGACGCCATCTCCTTCCTTGGTTGATTCCCTCCTTCGTGTGCCATTGATGGTCCAACTTTGGGGCATCCCCTACACCTGTTGTACGGAGCGCCTTGGAACGCTGATGGGAGCTTCTCTCGGTGCCGCGGATCCGACGACCATCCATCAATCGGAGATTACTGGCGGGCTGTATGTGCGAGTTAAAGTCTGGATTGATGACTCTGCCCCGCTGCCTTATGAGGTTCCGGCGCTACATGATGAGGCCGGTAAAGGTGAATTCACTGCTGCTGTTAAGTTTGAGCGTTTGCCCCAGTTTTTCTACTTGTGTGGTGTTGTTGGCCATACAGGTGTCCGCTGCCTGCGAAAAGAGGAGCTCGGAGGTACACCGATGCGAAATGGCACGCATACGATTAGCCTAGACAAGGGACCCTGTGTTGATGAGCGAACTTTAGATCGCAAGAGGAAGTTCACTTGGATCCGCAAAGCAGATAAGAGCGAGACAAAGGCTTCTCTCTGGGGGCCTTTGTCGAGTCGTTCAGGGGCCATAGTTGTCCACAACAAGCTGCAGCAACTCTCCATTGAGGCAGGCGAAATCAATGAGGCTGCCCCTTCTCTTGCTCCTGCGGCAAAGTCACCAAAAGGAGGAGCAGTACCTGATCCGATAGAGCCGATTGCCAAAAGGCCTCGGATTTCCCAACAAGGTTCTTTTATAGATGCTGAGATAAGTTCAAGGGTGGAGGCAACCGACCCAGACCAGTCCCAGTCCATCAAATGAGCATCATGGCATGGAATTGTCGGGGTTTGGGCTCCCTCCTGACGATTCCATCCTTGCGGGAAGCCATTCGTGGTCACCTCCCTTTTCTTACCTTCCTAAGTGAGACGAGGAGGGACGACGAGTTTGTGGAAGGGCATATTCGTAGCTTAGGTTTCTCGAATGTTCGTGCTTTTCATGGAATTAATAGGGGTGGGGGATTAGCAATAGGCTGGTCGGACCTTGTTTCCTGTACAGTTTTAGTATCTACTTATGCATATCTTATTGTTGAATGCCTTCATCCGTCCCTAGGGCGATTTGTAGTAGTTTTTGTGCACCTCAGTTGTGATGTACATACTAGGCAGTCTGAACTTAATGAAATTAATGTTTTCCTTTTTTCGTGTGTCCGTCCTGCTTTCGTATTGGGTGACTTTAATTGTTTGTTGTCATCGGCTGAGAAGCAGGGGGTTCGAGCTCTCACCCCCGCTGCCTTTGATCAGTTGGCGGAATTCTTATTATTCACTAATCTCACGGATCTAGGATGTGTAGGAAGTCCTTTTACATGGTCTAATCGTCAGTCGGGGTCTCGCCATATTACAGAGCGACTTGATCGATGTTTAGCTAACTCTCAAGTGCTCTCTTCGTGGCCTGATCTGCAGGTGTGGCATCTCTCGGATATAGGGCTAGATAACAGGATCCTCTTGGTGTCTTTCCTCAAGCCTCTGTCCCGACCTAGATGTCGATTCAGGTATGACATGCACTGGGACTCTAACCCGGAAGTTCCTGGGATTCTGCAATCAGCGTGGCAGCAGGAGGTTCATGGCACGACGCAATTCCGAATCCAAACGATGCTCAAGAACCTGCGGCATGGGCTAGTGGAATGGGCCAGGAAAGGAACTTCGAACTCCACCCGGAGGATTATTGATCTCAAGTGTCAGATTGAAAATGCGAAAGAGGAGTCTGCTGTGGACTGGGAACACATCAATGGGTTGGAAATTCAGCTAGGAGAGGCATATAAGCAGGAGGAGATTTATTGGAAGCAAAAGTCCCGGAATGGCTGGCTTAAAACTGGTGATGCTAATTCTCGGTTCTTTCACTTATCCTTGATCCATCAGAGGCGTTTCAATTCTATTTTATCTTTGCGAGATGAAAATAGGGTGCCTCGCCAATTAGAAGATGAGAAAGGGGAGATAGTAGTTGACTATTACAAGGTCCTCTTCACCTCTACAGGGACTGATCCAGCCAACTATGTAGGCAGCCTCCACTTTCTTCGGCTTGTCGACGAAGAGGCGAATGCAGCTCTTACTGCTCCTGTCTCAGTAGAGGAGATCCGCAAAGCGGTGTTTGCTATTGGGAAATCCCAGACGCCAGGCTCAGATGGTTTTACAGGGGAGTTTATCAGAGATTCTGGCCAGAAATTGAGAGGGACGTGTGTGCAGCGGTCTTGTCCTTCTTCAGCACTGGGCGGCTCCTCCACAGCATAAATCATACTTGGATCGCCCTCATTCCCAAAGTCCCAAATGCTGACACCATGCGACAAATGCGGCCGATCAGCCTGTGTCAGGTTTTGTACAAGATAATTTATAAAGTTTTGGCTGCTAGATTGAGCTTGATTCTCCCTAACATTGTTAGCTCTTACCAGAATGGCTTTATCAAAGGTTGTTCTATATCTGACAATATTTTGATTGCTCAAGAAATTATGCATTTCCTAAAAACTAAAGTACAGGGAAAGGAGAAGTGGATGGCGCTTAAGCTAGACATGGAGAAGGCCTATGACCGGGTGGAGTGGCAATTTCTACTCCAGGTCTTGGCAACTATGGGCTTTTCTCCCACTGGGATACGCTGGATCCGGTCTTGCATTTCCACTGTTCGGTTTTCAGTTCTAATGAATGGGGTAGAGTACGGGTACTTCCAACCTCAACGTGGAATACGCCAAGGTGATCCTCTCTCCCCGCTTCTCTTTGCGCTATACACAGAGGCCTTCTCTGCAAAGCTGATGTCTGAAATTGCTATCTCGTCCCTCCATGGCCTGAGAGTTCACAGGCGAGCACCCATTACTTCTCATCTCCTCTTTGCTGATGATACATATCTGTTCCTCCGGGCTTCCTTGCCTGAATGTGCTAACCTTCTCCATGTTTTCCATGAATACGAGGTCATAAGTGGGCAAAAGGTCAACTTACACAAGTCATCAATGTGTGTAAGTGCAAATGTGACCACGGAGGAGTTTGCGGCTCTTACAACATTTCTGGGTGTCGGCGAGATGGGGATTGGAGATAAATATCTGGGACTCCCCTCGAAAGTTCAGCGTTCCAAGTCCTTGAAATTCCAATTTGTTGAAGAACCCTTGGCAGATCGGATCCGAAGTTGGAAAGCAAAAGCCCTTTCCATGGCTGGGAAGGAGGTCGTCATCAAAGCGGTTGGAGCAGCAGGCCCGGTGTATGCCATGTCAGCCTTCCGTCTTCCAGTTACCACCTGTCGTCGTTGCAATAGTCTCCTTTCCAAATTCTGGTGGGTGGGACAGGATAAAGAGAACGACATTAGATGGCTTTCTTGGTCAGCAGCCTGTCAAAGCAAGTTTGCAGGGGGGTTGGGCTTTAGAGACTTCAACGAGTTCAATGTTGCTCTTCTTGCTAAACAGGCCTGGAGAATAATGCTTAATCCTGAGAGTTTCTTGGCCATGATCTACAAGGCGAGGTACCATCCTCATCGTCACTTTCTAGATGCTGAAGCTGGTTACCGGGCCTCTTGGGCATGGCAAGGTGTCTTGGAAGGACGGGACCTTCTCAAACCCGCCTGAGGTGGCAAATTAAGTCGGGACAAGCAGTGCGAGTCTTGGAAGATATATGGCTGCCCACTACTCCTCCGTCTCTGCCTTGCTTGCTGCCAGGTGTCCTCACTTGCCCCCCGAGGGTGGCGGACCTGATTTGCAGCGAGACTCGAACTTGGAAACGTGTTGATCTTCTCTCCCTCTTCACTCCTTCAGGCCATCTTGAGCATACCTCTTCCCCTCCACGCCATAGATGATCGCCTTGTATGGCACTATTCTGCTTCCGGCGAGTACACAGTGAAAACCGGATATCACCTACTCACCAATGAGCTTAATGCTCGTCATCCTCCTGATGCTTTGCCGTTTGACTGCAGGTTTTGGAAGATGTTGTGGAACCTCCCACTTCCGCCGAAACTTAAGTTTTTCTTTTGGAGGGTGGTTAGGGGGTTTCTTCCCCTTCAAACAATCCTATTACAGAAGACTCTAGTTTCCTCTCCTACCTGTCCTGTTTGCTCAGATGCCCCAGAGACCTTTAACCACTGCTTTTTCCATTGCAGGGTGGCTCGACCACTATGGACCCTTGCTGGCCTAGCAGATGTTCGTATCAAATTGGAGGGTTTGCCAATGGATGATGCATGGAATAACCTCTTTTTCTCGTTGCATCTGTCCAAGTTGCAGGTTGCGGAAGTGGTATTTCTATGCTGGAGGATCTGGAAAGGGCGCTGCTGGGCAGTACACGGGGGCATCCAGTACCTTCCCCCCGCCCTGTTGAGACAGTCTCCCCAGCCCTAGGTGCGAATATGGGGGATCTTCTTCTCAGATACCAGGGCCCATGCGAAGTCCGAGTCCAGCAACAACGGGAGTCATTGCCTCGCGCGTGGTGGACTTAAGGTACGCTTCTTCCCAAGCGTGGCTGGTTAGATTTGACGGAGCCATTAAACGCGACCGGGGATGCAACGTTGGATTCGTTGGTTTTGACTCTCTTGGTGCGCTCACTTTTGCATTTGGTAAGTTCTATGCTGGTATCCAGGACCCTTTTCTAGCTGAACTTCTAGCCCTTCGTGATGCTATGGATTGGTGTCTAACCCGGGGCTTTCTCACTGTCAAATTCTTTGGGGACTCGCAACTTGTGGTACGACGAGTGTTAACCGGTGATCGTCAACACGCGATGGGTGGAGCTCTTCTAGAAGATGTACACAGGATGGCGCAGGGGTTCGAATTATGCTCGTGTTCTTATGCCAAGCGCATCTTTAACAGGGCCGCCCATTTTGTGGCAAAGCAAGCCCTTTCATCGGAAGTTCGACTATTGGTCGACTTCCGCACGGCGTTGAATTCTGTACTTTGACTTTGTGATTTTCTTGTTCCTCATGTTGACTATGTTAAAAAAACCCCAAACCTCCTAATCCACCCAACATAACGTAACCAATCCTAATTGTGTTCCAAAATGCATAAAGAAATGGAAAAGCAAACAGAGTTACGCCGAGTGGTTGTCATGAAATCACTCTTATCAAGATAGAAATCTATTACAATTTATAACGGCTTAATTGCAAGTTTGGTCATTCGAATTACTACAAAATTTCACGTTTGCCACTCAAATTAATTTATACCATTTATAGTCACTTAAATTAGTTGAACAGTCCAAGTTTGGTCATTCTCCGTTAACCTCCGTTAGACTCTGTTAATGAAGATCGTTAAGTGATGTCGTGGCTAACAGAAAATCACAATCAGCATATTTTAACACTAAAAAATGACGACCCGACCCGCCACGTCATATTTACCCGCCATGTCAGCCCTACTTGCCCAACCCGCGAACCAACCCAATAATTTACCCAACCCCAAACCTGAGACCCGACCCCCTTGAATCTGAAAAGTAAAATCGAAACAGGAAAGGGTAGGGTACTTTCCATTCTCCATCGTCCTCTCATCCTTTCCTCACCCATATGTTCGAAAATCCAATCGCCGAAGAAGGAGGGATGGAGGCCGTCGCACCGCCGCCCTGAATCCCTTCCCCCAATCTTTTCCTCCCGCGTCTGTTCTTCCTCCCACGTCTCTTCTTCATCGCGCGCTGCTCATTTTTCCTCTATTGCAACCCGACACGAAACTCTAAATCGGAGCTGGTCTTTTCTCCGGCCGTGGGTTGTCGAAGGAGACAAAAGAAGTCCCTTCCTCAAAGCTGCAAGGCTTTTCTCTCTTGTTTTGAAGGTAAGGCTTTACATGTATTTGGTTCTTCTCGCTTTTATTCGGAGATGCGGAAAAG